TCTAGCCACAAGCTTCAAATGTAATAACCTTATAATGGCACAAAAAGAGACTAAAGAATTATTGAAATCCTAATCACCAAAAGATCTACTCTCACTCATGTTGCCACTTTATAAAACCCTCCTATGAATTGCACAACAAGGATTTTTATGGGTGCATATTTATGGGTGCATAATGACTGATGATCATGTAAAAAGCACCAATAAGTCCTAGAGAGCACCCAGCATAGTACAAAGCATGAATCATGAAGAAAACCATCTAAAGTGTTTCATTGGAAAAATGAAGTCCAAAGTCCCTCATCAATAGCTAAAGGTGTGGTTTAATATTATAAAAAAGATTGTCTGTCATGAAAGTAAGTCTTATGCATACTTACTTAAAGGTTACTCATAAAGGTTATTTTATAGTCTAAATAGGACTATTCTAAGGAATAGATAGACATTCTAAAGGATCTCAATAGTAGGTTTAGGGAAGGAGAAAAAGACTTAGACATCACAATAGAAAATATGATGAGGAGGATTGTCTACATTTTGCAAAGAGAAAAGTTTTTGACACTTTTCATTGGGGATGATCTTGAGTAGTTTTCATGGAAGGACTTCATCACTACTAAACTTACAAAGCTTGGAGATGATTAGTTGCTAAACAAGGCCACAAACATAACTCCATTCAAAATAAACAATTTGACCAACTTTACTTCATACAACAAGTAGCTTTCAAGTGATATATAATTTCTCAACATTACTCAATTTCTTCATATTGCATTTCAAGTATCTTTAACATAAAGGCATTCCTCTTGAAGCACTGGTATGCAATCCACTTTTGAGGCATGGCATAATGGATGGAGGTATATATTTGACAACAATGAAGTTTCTAGCAATGATAAAGTGAATTTGCTTTTGGAATTGGAGATCCAAGACTATACACTAGAAAAGAGGCTACTAAAGGCAATAACAAAGATGTGTTGAATAACAAAAGTGGTAGGCATAAGAATGTCTATGGTATTAGTGTTAATAGCAACAAGAGTGACGATGGTAGTGAGAATAACTTGCAACAAGTTCCTCCATAACGGGAGGAAGAGGAACTGGAGCAAGTTCCTCTAGGACAAAAGAATTAGAACATGCAAAAAGCTCAACCATAATAAAGGTTTGTTGCCAAGTCTTGAGGAATTAGTCAATAGTGATAATGATTGTCCAAAACATGCATGTAACCAAAGAACTTCTTGAGGTACATTTCTTTTAATCTTTTCTATTCTTGGTCTTTTATAAATGGTTGCAACAAAAATCATTAAGAGTAACTTCATTCTAGCTCATCTTAATGCATAAAAAGAGGATATGGAAAAACTCATATCTACAACACACCACATGACTCTATGGAAATTACTTGATCTCCTCCTTACCTTCCTCTTCGCCCCCCCCCAATTCACCCTATTACTCTGGTGGCATCCCATGGTGAAGTTGGAACTTTATTGATAACATCTTTTAAAAAGGATATAGTTGTCCTGAAAAAGTGGGAACACTTTTGTCAGAAGATCTATAGGCAATTGCAAGGGGATGGCCTGATGGTTTTTTAGATGCTACTAGTAATGTCCTAAACTAGAACATCTTGACTAACAATCACTTGAAGGATTTGGATTAAAATTCTGGATCAAAATCTAATGCTATATCTGTAGCTTTCCATCATGATCTTCTATGGCTCCACCTTGATCTTGACTACTATCTGCTACTATAGATTTTGGATCATGATCTACAGAATTCACCAACAATGTCAACACCAAGATCAATCGGACATCAAATGTCCTCCGAATTCACATCACACACATCTACATATCTTCTTATGATTTAGAGCAAACTATCAATGTGGCCACATTATTTTAGTCAATATCTCTTATTCCTATTCAAGGTAGCAAAATCTTTCTCTTGCACTAAAGGTTTCTTTTTCTTTTTCTTTATCTATCAGACAGCATTAAAGCTTGGGAATGAGTTTTATTTCTTTGAACTTCACATCTTATCAAACAAGGGGTCAAAGTGGTATGAAGTTTCTCTTTGTACCTTTTTTTTTATCCCAAAAGGATGCACTCTTCAGCTGAGGAAAGTCATGATAGAAAAATAGTGAAATTGGCCCAAACTATATAAATTGACTATCCATGGGGCCATTGGTTCTTGGATCTTCCACCACTTGTGCTGGTTCTCTTTATATCTTCTTGATCAATCAACAAACTTAGAACTTGTGCTCTGTGTAATGTCCTGTTAGTCTCTTCTACCAAGTATACAAACACATCAGTACAACTTGCCACATCATGAATCAACATTGTGTTTTCACAGATATTTAAAATGATATTTCAAATTCATGGGCAGTGAAATCCTATAAAAGAGGCTAACTATAAAGTGAAAATGCAGGTCTTCCTCATGAAACCCTAGTACAAATTCCAACTGCAACATAGCACAGATTTCAAGGGAGAAAGAGGTATTTGGATGTCAATTCCTATCTAAATAACCACCTAAAACATTCTAACACCACCTCTGGCAAGATTAACACTGCCTCATGTGAGAAAAGGGCGCTAACCCTTGAGTATTTTCCTGAGAGTCCCAAACTCACTAAATCTGAATGAACCAAAAAAGAGCATAGAAAAACAAAAACATACCCTGCTGGTTTTTGTTTTCCAGGAATTAAGTTTAGATCTATATTGTCTTAGACGTGTAGATTTTAGATGGTGCATGCTTCTCATGCGTTGTTGGGAGAGACCCTGGAAACAGCTAATGAATGAATGAATGAATTGGCTGCTCATGAGAAGGCATTGCCAGGAAGAGCCTGGGATTAAGATTTGTATATCACTTGCTACAAAAAAAGGAGCACGATGCCTTTTGCTTGAATCGAAAATATGCAATTTCAATAGATTCAAACACGACAAAATTCAAGAAGGATCAAGCACACGAGGAAACCGAACGAATAACACCGAGTATTCTCTCAAGCAATAGAGAATACCATGCTGTAGTTTGGAAACTGTTTAGGGAGTTAGGGTATTTATCATGTGCTGATAATGATCTGAGCCACAGTTAGAAGAGAGCCAAACTGCTCTCTTACAAGACGTAACCAGTATGAAGGCATCAACTAAAACATTTCAAGACTCAGGAAGGAGCTGCATTTTGCCCAGAAATTTCTTGCTTGTCTGTTGTAAGCAAGAAGGATGTAAAGACGAGGCACAATAAAAACGAGGCACTGGCTGCAGGCTAGGCATAGGGTGGAGCGGCATTATTACTTTTGTTCCAAAGCCATTCGAGGGTCTTTGAGCAGACAGTAAGGTTTTCAAAAGATACTTTTTGAACTTCATAGCCTCTGGTATGAAGTAATGAGTGCTTCTCTAGATATCTCTAGCTTGTTAGCTCAAAAGAGGGTTGCTGAAAGTTCTTGATGTTTCAGAGGAGGAAAAGACTCATCCAATGGGACTTAACACTGTCAACGTGTAGCGAATGGTATCATGTATGATGTATCTCTGTAGAAGTTTTTCTTTTCATAAGAAGCTCATACAGCAATTTCCATTATCTTTTCTGTTCAAGCCAGGAGGTCATAGGAATTGGAAAGGGTACCTGAGCTATATCACAGTTCAATCACTGTCTGTACACATTCCACTGCACCTTAGCTGTCTAATCTCATCTCTTTTTCTTTGTTTTGGTTTTTATTTTTTCAAGAATTGTAAAGTCATAACATAGACAGTCATAAAAGAATAAAGATAGGCAAATAATAATATATGGCATCATAACTATATATCTAGACCTCACATATGTATTTATTTGTTTGTTAAATTTGGGAGGGCTCCCTCCTCCTTTCACTTGGTGCTAAATTGCTCTAGGCATTGTTAATCTAACTTGAGGCTGTGTAAATAATAGATTTCACGAACTTACCATAAGTCTCTCCAGCATCAGTGGAATTTGCAGTTTCTTGGCGTTCGTTAACATCCCTCTCAGAGTTTCCTGAAGGCCAGCCAAAGTAAAGAGTCACCATAGCATCCATCTAAGGTCTCCTTCCCGTCTCTAAGCAAGCATCCCCCTGCCCCTCCCCCACCCCATATTCCTTTCCTTTCTTTTTCATTGATGCTGTCATTGTTGTTTTCCTTCATTCCTCCATAGTTTCAAGGCTGATCACTCACTCAACCTGGCATGGATGGATGACATAAGAAAATCGCGATTAAACATGCATGAGTGACAAATAACTCTAGGTGAGAAAACTATTCCAATCCACTAGCAAAAGAACCAAAGCGTGAGTGGGTTTACTCAAATGCTCTTGGATTATAGGACCGGGATGATTTGGCAGCGGATGGAAGCTTCCTCCTTCATAGCCATTCACTTTCTCACGTAGGGAGCAGATATTTGGTGTTGTTCAGCCATGGGACTCCAGCGATTGCATTCATCTCGTGCTCTATGTCGCAACTGCAGCTCACAGACGAACAACAAAGGATTTCAATCACTTGCTGCAAAGCAGATCGAGTTCTACAGCATCTTTCTGTCATTGTGTTAACTGATTGTGCGCCACCACGAAGCTGTGGAGCACATATCCATGGCACTTTCCTTCATAATTTATGCAACGTCGGAAGGCAGATCTTTGAAATAGTTTAATGAATCTCACGTGAGCAGCCCTGGATCACAAGGGCTTGCAAGACTAGCAGCAAGGCAAGACTACAAGTACTAGAAGTACATGCACCAGCTTCCATCAGGATACTGAGTTGCAAATAAAACAAGTTCATAAAAGAAGTGTCATAAAAGGTGAATTTAACCTTTTAAAAACTCTCAGTCAGCATTTACCTTAATGAAGGACAGAACGAAAGGTGATAGTTTTCACAGGTGCCGACAACACCGCGGTAGAAATCCATTCGCACGTGGACCCGCCTTGCCACGTGAGCATGTCTAGTCATTAAAATGAATGCTGAAACCTAATAACCGCTCTATTGTGTCTGTTGGTCTAGCGTTTTAAATTCTTACCCAGGTCTCGCGTGCATGAGAGAGAAGTCAAGATGTCGGCCTATATGGGAAAATATGCTGGTAATGTCTTTTCATTCCACCTGCGGCTGTTTTGCATTGACTTTTTTCCTGCCCTGCAGACGAGCTTATCATCAACGCGAGGTACATTGCCAGCCCTGGGAAAGGAATTCTTGCAGCAGATGAAAGTACCTCGACAATTGGAAAGCGTTTCCAGAACATAAATGTGGAAAATGTAGAGCAGACCAGAAAGGATTACAGAGAGCTTCTCTTTACGGCACCAGGCGTGATGAAATACCTGAGCGGCGTGATCCTATACGAAGAAGCCCTGTATCAAAAGACCAACTCCGGGAAGCCGTTTGTTGAACTAATGAAAGAAGGTGGCGTTCTCCCGGGAATCAAAGTCGACAAAGGAATTGTTGAACTCCCTGGTACCGACGGTGAAACCGCTACAACGGGTTTAGATGGACTTGGAGAAAGATGTGCAGCATACTACAAGGCCGGTGCCCGCTTTGCCAAATGGAGAGCAGTCCTGAAAATCGGTGAGAAGGAACCAACTGACCTGGCAATAGATGAAAACGCACATGGTTTAGCAAGGTACTCCATCATCTGTCAAGAGAACGGACTGGTACCCATAGTTGAGCCCGAGATTCTATCTGACGGTTCACACGACATAAAAAAGTGTGCGGAAGTAACCGAGAGAGTCCTCATTGCCTGCTACAAGCACCTCATTAACAACCATGTCCTTCTCGAGGGAACGCTGCTCAAGCCAAACATGGTTACTGGTGGCTCGGACGGACCAAAGTCGAGCAATGAAGATATTGCGCGCTACACCATTCTTGCACTTCAAAGGACGGTTCCTGTTGCTGTGCCAGGAATCATGTTCCTGTCTGGTGGCCAGAGCGAGGAGGAGGCAACGCTCAACCTCAACGCCATGAACAAGTTCAACACCATGAAGCCGTGGACGCTTAGTTTCTCGTATGGACGAGCATTGCAGCAGAGCACTCTGAAGGCCTGGTCCGGAAAGAAGGAGAACATTCCAAATGCGCAGAAAGTACTTCTCGGGCGTTGCAAGGCCAACTCTGATGCCACACTCGGGAGGTATGTTGGAGGGGCAGGTGGTGCAAGTGCATCAGAGAGCCTTTACGTGAAGAATTACAAATACTGATCATTACGGTGGATTTCTAATGCTACCTGAACAGGCTTAATTGCTTCAAACGAATAAAATCACAATAAAAGCATAGGTTACGGGAACGACGTAATTTTGTCCCTCTTTCTAAATGTAGCAAGAAAAACTTTCTTTCACCCTCCTCATTACGCTCTTGTGCTCACTTCGTGGAATCTCCCCAATTACAAGCATTTGTTGCACGTGATCGATTATTTCAGCAATCTCCTTCTTCTTAGCCGCTTCAATCTCTGCTTTCAGCTGGTGCATGTACACAAAGCACGGGTCTTGTCCCGGACAGAATGGAAGGGAAACATTCTTACTCTCTCTGTTCGCGTCAGCGCATCTGCAAGAACTTTCTCAGACTCCTCAGTGGCCAGAGCCTTTATCGTATGAGCTTCTTCACGGGCTCTGGCCAGCAGCCTATCAGCCTTGACCTGGCACCACTTTCAGGAAAATGTGTTATAACGAAGCTTTGACCCACTTCAGCATTATGGATCAGTTGCTCTGCTCTTTGCTCTTCGCGCTTTCGCAAATCAATAGCCTTGGATTCGTCGTGCATTCGAGACCGCTCCGCTTCAGCCTGAGATCACAGCGCGTAAAAAAGCTAGTTCCAGGGCAACTCCCCTGGGACTGGCAGAACAGAGCATGCACCTGAAGCCGCTGTGACTTAGCCTCCGCCTTGCGTGTGGCTGCTTCGAGATAAGCTTGTGCTTCGGCTTCGACTCGAGTCCGGTAGGCCTCCGCGATTGCTTCCGCTTTGTGGTTGACTGCCTTGCTCAGCGAGGAGCAAGCGCTGGTCAGTGAGCAGGCCGGGCTTGCCTGCTGTTGCTGCTGGAGTAGAGCCAGTGCATTGTGGATGCTGGGGTGAGGAGGCGAATACTCTATGTGGCTCCCGCTCTCAACGACGGTGTCCTCGGATTGGCCCATGGCATCCACCGCTTTTTTTCTTTCGTCTTGTCTGTCCTGAAACTTTCTGTTGCGCGCGCGGAGAGTAAAGTAGTTTTGTTCCTTTTTAACCCGGAAAAGTCCACGTGTGCCTCTGCCGCGTGGCAAGCAGATGTGCCCCATCTGTTCGAAGCTTGGGTAAGACAAAAGATGGAAACAGGTGGAGGTCATAGGAAACATTTTGTCCAACGTAGCGGCAGCTAGAGATGTTGTTGTAGCGTCGACCGTGTGCAACAAATGGCGCAACGCAGCCCAGTGCCACCTCCACAAGCTTCGCTTCTCAAGTATGGACTGGGATGCATTTTCCAACGGGGCACTCAGCACCACAGATATTGAGGTTCTTATCACTCAGACGGTCCTGCAGACGTCCTGTCTCAGCCATCTCTCCCTGTGCATTGGAGGCGATCACGAGTTCTCGGCGGCCCCGGTTATCGCGTGGCTAATCTTCACCAAGGAGACGCTGCAGAGCTTAACTTTCATGATCTACGCAGATCCGAGCGTCAACATGGGCGGGACAGGCTCGAGGCTCTTGCTCTGGGCCATATAACCATACCCAAGGTCGACCTCGGCATCCACAGGTTCCCGTTGCTGCAGTCGCTGACATTGAAAAGCGTGAGCCTGTCGTCCCTGGATGTCAATCTCATGCTGTCCGCCTGCCCCCTCGTTGAGGGCGGCTCTCAGAGGCTAGCCATCCGGAAGACTTTCAGAGGAATCAGCATTTTGGGCGTCTATGCGCCAATACATTCATTTGCAAATACAGTTCCAGTTCTACTGATTACAATGGACTGCTGTATGTCAGCCTTTAGCTATAGGCGGGAACATTTATCGATTTGTCTAGAGCTACTTGGGATTCGTGTAGACTAGCGTCCCGATGGGAATGTCGAAAGTCCTGGGCTTGTAAGGGGCGGGCGGTGGGATCTTGGGCACCACTACGGTCAGCTGCCCGTCCTGGCAGGCGGCGGACACCCCTTCGAGGTTGGCATTTGATGGAAGATTGAATTTTCTCATGAACTTCCCTGCCGGGCGCTCCGCTCTTACATATTTGACATCGAAGGTTGGGTTGTCGTCGCGCCTCCTCTCACCGCTGATTTTAAGGATGCTGTCGTTCTCGATTTGTACCTAGAGGCCAAGATGTGATTCAGTCGCAAAAATAGAGTGCAGTGTATGCCAACCCAACCTTGACCTCGCTGTTTTTGATCCCGGGAACATCAGCCACAAATACGTAGGAAGCAGGGAGCTCCTTGACGTCGACAGAAGTGCTCGCCATTGAGTACTGTGGCTCTCTTCCTTGCCGAGCGGTCTGTAGCACAGGACGCAATGAAGTGTCTTTGGTGTATAGGCACGAACCTTTTGGAGTTCGGTGGGGTCCACGAAGATGGATTCCCTGTAGTCGATTGTGCAGTCCAGCATGAAGTTGCAGGCCCTTTCGAATGCGGTGGCAGTGGCCTTGGCTTTTGTACTGTGCTGCCTGCGTTTGATGCGATTGACGGGTATGCTCTGGGGGTCCGTCCACTCGGGCCTTGGAGGCACGTCCCTACGCTGCTTCTCTTCTCTCTCCGCTACCTCTCGCGGCCTCCAGCGACCCTTGCTGGCGTCTGCTGACTCCAGAATGGACAAATCGCTGAGACACACACTCCCTCGCAGCTCCTCACCAACTTGGCATTTTGGTGCGCCTGCGCGGCCGGTGTCTCTTGACCGACGTGTACATGTGTGACGTGGGAAGGCTTTTATTCACACTTCTGTTTGCGTGTTACATTCGGAGCTGCTAGCCGCTAGCCGTATGACAGATGGTCATATGCGCTCTTGCTCTGCCGCAGTGGCGATTTCCTTCGCAGCGGTGACGATTCCCGTGACTTGGTGCTGCTGCTCTGTTGTCCCAGCGGAACCACCACCTTTCTGGGCTGGCCTGCAGCATTGAGGGTGCGGTGTGTGCAAACCGGGTCTGCAGCTGTTTGGCTGCGCGCCGAGAAGTTTGCCGCGTTCCTGAGTATGCCTCCCACGCTGTCAGCGAGGCCTATCATGACGGGAGGCTCGTTGCTGGCCGTGGACGCGGACTCGCACGCGTTGTCACTATCCTCGTTGACGCAAGCCTTCCTCATTTGACTCAGAGGGTCTGCCATTGAGAGGCCCCCGATTGCAGTTTCAATGCCTCCGCTACCCTTCCCTGTCCTGGCCTTGTTTGGCGACCGGTATGATCCAGTGGATACATCCTGGAGTCGGGTGGACGGTGCTCTATATACCTCGTGCTGGTGGCTGCTCCTCCGGCTACTCTTGGTTGACTCGGTCGACGCCCTGTGCTTGGACTGTTCCCATACCAGTTGCCGCCCACCCGAGCTAGTCGTTTCCTACAAGAAGAGCACACACAATTCTCAGTCGCTCGGGTAGCTGCCGTGAGCTTACAATGCTCTCGGTCGTTACTCTCTTCAGCGCGGGACTGGTTGGCGATGTTTTGGTGGGAAACAGGCTTCCTTTCCCTTGGCTCCATGCCGAGGCATTGTTCCAGAGGGTCACAAGAGGAGAGCTCCCGCTGCTAGTCTTGCTCCTGCTGCTCCCATCAGATCTGTGACGTCGTAATCCATCACCCTGAAGGACAAGGAGACCAAGAGAGTGACTCGCGTGGCCACATGTAAACTTCAACTCACAGCCTTCCACATGCGAGCTTGCATGTCTCTGAGAAAATGTTGCTGAGGCCCAATGACACTCCCTGGCCTCGTTAATCGCAAGTAGCCCAACACCTGCAGAACAATGAACAGTGGTGCGGGGCAGCCACCACAGCCTTTGGAAGGCGCCTACCTCATTGCACGTGAATCTAAAGTGCTTCATTATGTAGCACCCAATCAGGACTCCAGTTCTACCCAGCCCTGCCTGGATGAATCCAGCCAGCCGAGCAAGAAAACCATTAAACGCCTGTAGGCTCGGAGCATCAAAAGGGCGGGGCAGTCAACATACCTTGCAGTGGACGGCTATGGCCCCGGCAGTTTCCTCTACAATCTCCATAAATCTTTGGACAATCCGCTCAGGAGGACAGCTGAAGAAGCCCACTTTGAACACAGGCAGGAGCAACAACTTTAGACACGTCACAAGAAAAGACGCTCAACACAATCCAGCCAACCTGCCATCCGGGAAGTAGAGGTCGTAGTGATTAATGCCGTGGTCTGTGAAGCGTCGCCTGTCATACAGCCGCTTGTTTAGTCTAACAACAGCAACAACGCCCACCTGCGGCAGTCAGCAGTGAGACAAATGCGGGGTGAGGGACGAGAGGGCTATTGCCGGCTCAGCGTACCCTCTTGAAGTACTCAATGTAGTCCTCGGGCACAAGGCTTCTATACCCATACATCTGCCAGCGTACAACTTGACAACATTCTGGAAACAAGAGCGATGGGTAAACCTGGGAACGCCTTGGTGCAGGGCCACTAAAGGCAACCAGTTTGTTAGGGACAATCCAGTTGAGGTCTCCATTCTCCACCTGACACGCAGGATCCCCTCAGAGTGTTAAAAATGTTGGTAGCCAGAAGCAGGGGCACGCACTTGTTCGAAATACTCGTACTCTTCCAGGTTGAAAGTGCTGAAGTCAATCCACCCAACTTTTTTGCCTTTTGCAACTGCCTGAAGGATCCCCATTCACCCACAAAGATGGCTTACGGACGTAACTAGCATAAGCAAAAGCTTGCATACCTGAATGCAGTCGAGAACTGTGAGGTGGTATGTGGATATGCCACATGTGGGGTCTCGAAACGGGAAGTACGGTTCAAAGAGTGCCAGGGGCGAATACGCCGCATCGGGCTCCCACGACTCAAACAGCACGAGATACGCTCCAAGCTGCACACAAACTGGTTGCTTGAGCCGCCCGGTTGCAAAGTGAGGTGGGCACCGGAACGAACCAAAACTGCGGCGTTGGACTTGGTCTTGGTTTCAATGCTGGTGCAGAAGCATACACACCTCCCGTGTGCCCTGGCATCCTGAGAGCACAAGCAAGCTGTAAGTCATTCCAGATGGGCGTGGTTTGCGTCGAGGTGACCTGAAGCAAGCCGTGAAGCTTCCAGCAGAACCTGTAGGTGCATGCCATGTTGAGGGGCCCAAAGTCCTGGAAGAACGGCTCATAAATCTGCAGGGTAGGCAACAGCGGGAAGTGAGCTCGCTGCTCACTCGCTGGACAAGTTGAGAGGCCCACCAGTTCATTGTCGACGCTGAAACACAGTGCGGGGCGAGGGAGCCACGAGCCTTTGAGGTCGTCGGGCCTCTGCAGCGCTGCGAAGTAGACCTTTCCTTTGATGACCTCACATACCCCACTCCTGTCGTGCTGCTGTTCCTTGTAGACCATGGTAGGCACCGCTCCTAGAGTGGCAATGGCACGCCGTGGCCCTGGATCATGCCGGCATCACCACTTCCAGACAGCTGGGGTGGCGTGTGCCCCATAGGATCTCAAAACCACGAGAATGTATGAACCCTCCTGGCTAGGGCACCACCAGCGGCCACGTGGCGCATGGCCTTTATATCACACTCGGGGATACACATCTCATTTGTTAAGAGGCCGGTAGATTTTGGTCATCTCGCTCACCACGAACTTGAGCCTGGGCTGGAACTCATGAGGGGGAAACGCCACCGCCTTGTCCAGCAGGCTCAGCCCCTCCTGGGAGTTGATGTCGTCTTGCAGCAGCAGGGCAGCCAGCTCGTAGCAGCTGTAGGGAACAAAGTTGCTGCGCACGCACAGCGTGGGGGCGGGTGAGCAGGCGGGAAACGAACAAGCCCCCTGCTTACCCGGGAACGTTTTCAGAGTTCTTCACTACGTGGCGGAAGCAGTCCTGCGCTTTGTGCTTGTCCCCCAGGGCCTTGTGGCAGTGGCCCAGCAAGAACCTTTAACAAGAGCAAGGTAACCACAGGTAACAGAGGCTGTTTGGTTCCAAGCATTACATACCTGCACAGCAGCTTGCTTGTATTGTTCCACCGGATTTCGAACGTGCCATGGCCGCCAGCCTTGGACGTCCCCTCCCCACTCTGCTACTAGACAGCAAACGCAATCAGGCATACGTGAGTTCCCTTCCAGCCACCAACTGGTACCTGTGGCTTCTTCTGAACGTCTTCAATGGCGTCCATGTGCCGCTCAAGCGATGGTTTGTCCATGTGTTGGAACCCATTGTACACGGCTGCCAGCTCCAGTGCTGGGAAGAGGGGAGCCTAGACGCCAACCAAAACCAGCAACACTCTTATCAGGATTGCAAGCCCTCCCTGGGGACGTACCTGGCTGCTGGCCACAAACTCGTTAGCCATCCGGAGGCCGTACTGCTCGAGCGGCCCCGTCTGCTTCTTGCCCGCCACAAGCTGCGGGAGCTCACGGAGGACGCTGCTTGCGGCCTCGTGCTGCTTGTCGCCGGCCTCCCACAGGCAGGCCGCCTGCAGGCAGGCGTAGAATGGCTTGAACCACACGGTGTCCTGCCAGAGACTTGATAGTCGACACGTTCAGTTCATGAGCGTGTTACCTTGAACAGTTTGCCAAATTGCTCCGCGGCCTTGTCGAATTCCCCTTGCAGAAGGTAGCACCAACCCAGCTCGTCTATCATAAAGTTCCTCAGCCTCTGGTTGCAGCCACGGTTGCTTATGTCGTAGGGATCCGTCTTGGAGTTTCGGACGAGGGTGTCGAGTGACTTGGAAAGCATTCCCTCATATCGCTCGTAGCGGGACAGCATTATCCTGAAGATGGACCCGTTCTTCCACTGGGCCTGCACCTTGTCCAGCAGCTGCTTGGCCTCCTTTCCATGCTGGTCTCCATATGGCAAGAGGCCCATGATAACCGTGTGGTCTGCCAACACAAGCTCACGAGTGTAAAGCCATGGTCCATCTGCTTTTACGCTTACATTGCAGTAGCATGACGAAGGAGATCGGCGCTCTGGGATGGTTTGTGGCGGCAGCCTTTTGCAACAACCTGAGGCCTTTGTTCCTGTCACCCGGCAGGCCCATCACCTCCGTGGCCTTTTGGAACGAAGCGGGAATGAGCGAGACAACGAGGTTGAAGGCCCCGATCCCGAACTCGAGGCCTATCCGCAGGGATGACAGCTCGTAGTCCTCTTGGATCCCTTTCCTCGTGTCCAGGACCATCCGCTGGTCATTCCCTAGAGCGTCCAGCTGCTTTATGTCCAGCCGGGCGTTGTCGATCCTGTCGCCAGAGCTGCTGCTCATGTCCAGGTCTGCCAGCCTCTCCGCCAGGCTGCGGCTCTTGGACAGGTTGCTGCTCTTTCCTTTCTATATATCAACAACGTACTAGATAGAGAGCTTGCTTTCACACAGCCTATGTAGATATAGGTGTTATAACTCCCTTACCGAGGAGCCTCGATCGTCGTTGTCGTCGTCTTCGCTGCCCGAATCACTGTCCTCGTCGGACCCGTGCATGCTCTCGGGCACCTTGAAGCTGCCCCCCATCTTTATCCACTCTTTGGTCAGCTTGCGGAGCTTCTTCTCGCAATGCTGGTAGATGCTGGCTGTCTTCTTGAGGTTGTAGCCAAGCTTGACCATGCTTGTCCAGCTCTCCCCAGCCCCAACAATCTGCGAGTGAGCCAAGCACGCATTGTTCCCAGCCATCCCCAATCCAGTTCAGACCTGCAGCAGCGACGTGAGAAGGTAGCACTCGCCCTGGATCTGGATCGCCCACAGCCGTGCTCGTCTCGCACGGTGGAGGTGGACCATCTCCGCGAGCGCACCCTCGGCTTTGGTCTCTTGTTCTTCAGCTGCTGCCTTGGCAGCCCCAACCGCGATGCCTTTCTTGGCCATCTTTCCCAGCGCCCACGACTTGAGCGACGACACCGCCTCGTTCACCTTCTTGATGTTGCTGTGGGTGCTGAACCTGGCAATTGAATATACATTGTATCGCTCAGCCCGTCCCTCTTTCCATGCTGGGCACCTTACTTTTGAGCTTGCTGGCTGGCCAGCGCTTCCGTTTCCGAGAGGAGGGTGATTGCGCGCTCCACATCGTCTTCGTCCGATGACATGAGGGCGACGTAGGCCGCCACCCAGGCATGGTGCAGGCTGAAGCGGGGGTGGTGCAGCCTCAGTTCATCGAAAAAGTCCTCGCCCTCGTTCAACTTGTCCGAGTAAAGCAGCTCCATGCCCTTCATTATCTGCCCAAGAGAGAGCTAGCCCGTCAATCAGGTTTCTCTACATGCATTTTCCATGGCTTGCCTGCTGTTCTTCGGCATCAAACTCGGCACCACGGTCCTCGAGCGACATTATAAAGTCGTTCTTCTTGGGCTTGAGCAGATCCATTGGCACGTCGGTTGCCCTCACAAGAACCCTAAAACATTTGTCCGGTATATTCGGGCGACACGTGGCTGGCGCTCTCGAGGCTTCTAGAGCTCTCTCTCCAGCTCCTACAAAACATTTACCTAGGGCTACTGGGCAGCTCCGATTGTGATCGCACAAGGGAAAAGGATGAATCCGGATCGTTTCACGCACAAGACGCGCGAGGCCCTGGCGGCCGGGCAGGAGATGGCGCAGTCCATGGGGCATGCGCAGTTCACGCCCTTGCACCTGGCGCTGGTGCTGCTCACCGATCCCGAGGGGCTGCTCAAGCAGGCGGTGGGCGACGAATCCGCGGCGTCCCTGGAGAGGGTGCTCCGCCGCTACCTCAGCAAGATCCCCTGCCAGAACCCCCCCCCGGAGGAGGTGCCCGTCAACAGCGCATTGAGCAAGATCGTGCGCAAGGCACATTCGGCGCAGAAGAGCAAAGGCGACACGTACCTGGCGGTGGATCAGCTCATTCTGGCGCTGCTGGAAGACTCGCAGCTGTCCGACTGCCTGACGGAGGCGGGCATCTCGCCGTCCAAGGTGAAGTCGGAGCTGGAAAAGCTGAGGGGGTCCGGCAAGAAGGTGGAGAGCGCGGGCGGGGACACCAACTTCGATGCGCTCAAAAAGTATGGCAAGGACCTGGTTGAGGAGGCTGGCAAGCTGGACCCCGTCATTGGGAGGGACGAGGAGATCAGGAGGGTGGTACGCATCCTGTCCCGGAGGACCAAGAACAACCCCGTGCTCATTGGGGAGCCCGGGGTGGGCAAGACTGCCGTGGTGGAAGGCCTGGCGCAGAGGATCGTGCGGGGCGACATCCCCAGGTGCGTGTGGATGTATATGTTTGTCTCTGTTTTGACTGACTTGGATGGATGGCAGCAACCTGTCGGACGTGCGCGTCATTGCGCTGGACATGGGTGCGCTCATTGCCGGTGCCAAATACCGGGGTGAGTTTGAGGAGCGGCTCAAAGCCGTGCTCAAGGAGGTGGAAGACGCGCAGGGCAAAGTCATCCTCTTTATCGATGAGGTGCATCTTGTCCTCGGAGCCGGTGCGTGCAATGGACACTTGTTTGTCGCACATGTTGCTCATACACCATGCATGCAGGTCGTACCGAAGGCTCCATGGACGCTGCCAACCTCTTCAAGCCCATGCTGGCCAGGGGAACTCTCCGCTGCATTGGTGCCACTACGCTCGCTGAGTACCGCAAGTACGTGGAGAAGGACGCAGCTTTCGAGCGGCGATTTCAGCAGGTCTTGGTCAAGGAGCCGTCGGTGCCCGAGACAATCAGTATTCTGCGTGGCCTCAAGGAGAGGTACGAAGGGCATCACGGAGTTAGGATCATGGACCGGGCACTCGTTGTTGCGGCGCAGCTCTCTAGTCGCTATATCGCGGGTACGTAACACACCGGAATGCCCAGCGTTGCTAACACAATGTTTGGCTCAGGACGGCACTTGCCCGACAAGGCGATTGATCTCGTGGATGAGGCTTGTGCTAATGTCCGCGTGCAGCTGGACAGCCAGCCGGAAGAGATTGACAAACTGGAGAGGCAACGCATTCAGCTCGAAATTGAGATGCACGCGCTTGAAAAGGAAAAGGATAAAGCCAGCAAAGATCGGCTTGTGGAGGTATGTAGGCTCTGGGTCCTGGTGATTCTTACTGATGGTGTTGCATCAGGTCCATCAGGAGCTGGACAATCTTAAGGAGAAGTTGCAGCCTCTGAAGATGAGATACCAGAAGGAGAAGGAGCGCGTCGACCAGCTGCGTAGGCTGAAGAAAAAGCGTGAGGAGTTGCAAATCAGTTTGCAAGAAGCGGAGAGAAGAATGGATTTGGCCCGCGCAGCCGATATACGTTACGGGGGCTTACAAGAGATAGATGCTGCTATTGCGAGGATCGAGAAGGAAGCTGAGGAGAATAACATGCTAACCGAAGCAGTAGGCCCCGAACAAATCGCGGAGGTACGCCGGATTCTCTTGTTTGTCATGTCCTCAATACGTTACCGCAGGTAGTCAGCCGATGGACAGGAGTGCCTGTGAAGAGGTTGGGTCAAGACGACAAGGAAAGGCTGGTTGGGCTTGGTAAGCGACTCCATGAAAGGGTGGTTGGGCAAGATGAAGCGGTTGAGGCCGTCGCGGAGGCTGTGCTCAGATCTCGTGCGGGGCTGGGTAGGCCACGGCAGCCCACCGGATCCTTCATGTTTCTTGGACCAACTGGCGTTGGAAAGACTGAGCTGGCGAAGGCGTTGGCCGAGCAGTTGTTTGACGACGAGAATCAGCTCATCCGCCTAGACATGTCGGAGTACATGGAGCAGCATGCCGTCGCAAGGCTGATCGGTGCACCGCCGGGGTATGTTGTGTGCTTTCTACTTAGTTGTGCCGAACTAAACGAAACGAATGCTTTCCAGGTATGTCGGCTACGAAGAAGGTGGCCAGCTAACTGAAGCTGTGAGGCGGCGTCCATACAGTGTGATTCTGTTTGATGAAGTCGAGAAAGCGCATAGTTCAATTTTCAACACGCTATTGCAACTTCTAGATGACGGTCGCCTTACCGATGGCCAGGGTCGTACGGTAAACTTTGCAGAGTGCGTAATCATCATGACATCCAACCTGGGAGCCGAGCATCTGTTGTCTGGAATGATTGGGCAGACAACCATGAAGGCGGCGAAGGAAAAAGTGATGATGGAGGTGAGTGGTCTATTACCAGTTCAAGCCTCTTTGACCAACTGTTGTTGCTCCAGGTGAGAAGGCACTTCAGGCCGGAGCTGCTTAATCGGCTGGACGACATCGTCGTATTTCATCCATTGTCTCACGAGCAGCTTCGCAAGGTTGCCCGGATACAGATGAAGGAGGTGGCAATGCGCCTGGCTCAAAGAGGAGTGGCCCTTGGTGTGTCGGACGCAGCTCTCGATCACGTCCTATCGGAGGCCTACGATCCGGTATGAACTCTTTCATTCTCTCTTGTTTATCCTTCCGAGTATCGTTGTTTCAGGTTTACGGCGCCCGTCCTATTCGCAGATGGCTCGAGAAAAAGGTGGTGACGCAGCTTTCACGAATGCTCATCAATGGAGAAATCGACGAGAATTCCACAGTCTACATTGACATAAGGCCCGGAGGAACAGAGTTAGTGTGCCGGGTAGACAAGAATGGAAGAGGCACGGACAAGGACGTGTTAATAAGTGTTCCGTCGTCAACGGCGTCTAGCACAGACGCCCGTGTCAAGAAGATGAGAATAGAGGAGACGTTGGATGACGATGACGAAGACATGGAGGAATGAGAGGCACACACGGTACGACATGGACGAAGACACTCTTTTCTGGTTATTTCTTTTTTGTCCAGGGTGTCCTACCTATCTTATTGAGAAGAAATCAATTGCGTTGTCCCACAAGCTAGATGGAAACCGGTTCTCTAACAGAAACACAAGAGAATCCCGGTTGCACTCTTGACACCTAGGCCTTTGTACCTTCTTTGCCTTGATGCCATTCTTGCTTGCTACTACTGACCGCCGACCCGATGTTACCTCTGAGAAGTCGTCGAGGTTTCGGTCTTCAGTACTAGCAGTAGCCCCTGGTAGCTGCTGCTGTTTGTGTTGCATTTCCTCGTCGCATTCCTCAGTAATGACATCCATGCGTCTCACCACCTGCTGCTGGACGGCAGCTGCATTTAGCATGGCTTCCGCACTCTGAATGCCTGCCTTGCTGCTCTCAGTTTGTCCTCTAGAGGATCTCAACACGGAAAGCACCAGCTCCATGCTCAGTTCTTGCTGGATGACATCCCTGTTGCGCTCACTCCCGTAGCATGCGGCCAGAAGCGTGCCGACTAGAATCGGTGTGAGCTCGGCATCACTAAAGAACGCAAATGGCAAATCACATATCTGTAAAGAACGAAGCACGTCAAAAACAGGCTCGGAAGCCGAAGTAAGACAACAGACCTTGTGCAGAATCGTCGGGCTTTTACCCCACCTAAGTACTGCTTGGTTCCCAGTGTGCAAGAGAGCAAAATAGCCAAGAAGTAGAAGCGTTTCGAGTAGCAGTGATGCCACCTACAAAGAACGTTACTAGGTAATTTAAGAGGCAAGTTGTAAAACCTGATCCGTCGTAGTTCTCCACTTGCCAGTGCAGTACGATAACAAGAAGCTAACCAGATGGAAAAATTCCATCTTCAAATCTGGCATTGCCAACATGTTCTGCACTAGAGAGAGGTCTAGGCATGCGGTGTTGTTAAGAACCCTGAGAACACTGGTAGCAACCTCTTCAAAGTTCAACGGCAAGGCCTAGAGCCAGACAAAGTCAGTCAAACAAAAAGCAGTGGAAAGGAAATTTGCTTGCCTGGTCAGTGGAAGCAGCTCTTGGATTAGACTGCAACAGAACGGCGGTAAGCAGTGAGGGAAGGCCGACCATTCCAGTCTCGGCAATGGCCACGAGAAGAAAGCCGACAGATTTACTCGCGTACGATGGTCTCCTCAGTTCGTCCCTGTTGCTCGTTCCTGCATCCAATTTGGAAGTGCGGTCAGCCTCGACTAGCTGGTCCTCGGCAGGTTCGCTGCAGCTAGAAGCGCAGTCTGATGGATGGCGGTTGCTCTCGAGCTCGTCAAACGGCAACTCCTGTACTTCGGCCGGCCTCTTCATTCCCATCAACTTTTGAAAGTAGAAGAATTGAGCTGCCATACTGGACGGAGACTGTGCCGCCGTCAGCGTCTTTCCTCGCGTCAGTGTGTCGAGTAGCTTGAGGCCGAGAAGTACGGGTGGTGGGAAGGGCGCCCCTTCAACCTGTGGCCTGTCAAAGAGTGCAAACAAGTTGCGGAGGCGATGAATGATGTCACAGGCTACAATGAGCTCCACCAGGTCGTCCTGCATTTGCAGCTGCCGCTCATCCAAAGAGCTATGTCCCATGACGTGGGTGACGCACTTGAGCAGGTCTTCCAGGACCTCCCCAACCGCATTGAACTTGTCGTCCACAACCAGCTTGTCACCCGTGCTGCTGCTGGCCGAGCAGCCCACACTGCTGTAATTCTCGAGCGCAGTGGATAGAATGGGTACCAGAGGCGGCAGCAAGTTTCGCGCCAAGAAATAGCTTCGGTTTGCAGGAAGCGTGAGCAAGACCACCAATAGTTTGAGAAGGGCGACTGTAGTCTGCGAGGCCTCCGGTTTCGAGGTATGAGAGGCAGGAAGTGCTGTAGCAATGAAGTCAACAAGGCCCGTGTGGCGGGCAACATGCAGCTCAGCCTCTTTCCCGTCGAGGTGCTATGGACAGAAAATTAGAGTAAGTCAGGTTATATGAAGAATTATGTGAAGAGTTGGTATACCTTGATGATTTCCGCAATAATCTGGACAGTTGCCGAAGCCCCAGCTTTCCTTGCTTGCTGGAGCCTTTGCAACTCCTGTACCCAGCGTCCTAGCTTAGACCTGCTGGAGCTCTCCACCCCGGGAGCGGGCGTCTCAACAAAGTCAAATCTCCTGGTGGTCAGCCTCTGTCGTATTTTCTTTATCCGCTTCTTGAGGTGATGGCCATCGGAACTAGCCGTGGTAGTCGATGCTGCATTCGCATTTGGAGAGAACTTGACCGGTCCAACAAGCCGCATCTCACAAACCTCAGGAGGAGCGTCGTTGGCTAAAGGGGCTGGAGCGCGGCCGGCCTGTCCACCCTCTCTGCTAGAAGGCCGCCTCGACAGTGGTGAACCCTGCTCCCGCGTGTCCATAACAGCCCTCTCCCGGATCTGCTCCAGGTATATTTTCCGACGGAGAGCACTCTCGCGCAGACGCTCGGCCAACTTTTGCCTCAGCAGCTCCACCTCCTCTTCCTGCGCTTTGGCCCTTACTTCCTTCTTCCGGACTTGTTCCACGGCGCGTGCCTCCCGGGCAGCACTAGCAGCCTTGCGCTCCTCCTCCCTCCTAGCCTGGGCTTCTTCCTTTTTCCGCTGCGTGTCTGCAATACGCTGCAGCCTTTCAGCCTCGAGAAGCTTCCTGCGCTCCATTGCAGCCTCTTCTCTGGCAACATCTTCCTTCTGCTTGATTCTGAGGCTCTGGAGCCGCTCCGCCCGCCTTACCTCTGAGTCTTGAAGCTTTTGCTGGAGGGACAACTTTTTGTTTTCCTCGTTGAGTGACGTGATGAACCGCACCTCACTCACTTTGCTGCTCTCGTCACTGGCCCTCCTTGCGATCTGTGCGAGGTGCGCCTCATGCCGCGACTCTCCCCGCTGTTGGCGTGCATGCATTCCTTCTCTCAACTTCGTGCTTCGGACAGCTTGCCATTCACTGACACGATTGAGCTTCTCGGTTGTGCGCTGGAGACGAAGAGCTCGTTCATTTTCAAGTTCTCTTCTGATTCTTGTGGCCCGTGCTTGCTTCTCGTCAACTTCTTTCTTCATCTCCATGGGGGACTTCTTCTTGCGTTCCGGTGACATGAGCTTGTCATGCAGAACGCGACCACGCTCGGTACTTTTCCTTCCACCACCTCCAGGAGAAGCAGATGCCTTGGGTACGTTTCCCAGAGGGGAGGATAGGATATCCTCCCAGTTTCTCTTCTCCTTCCATGCTTCCAAAGCCGCCGGGTTCGAACTGACTTTTCCATCGCAGCGCAAAGGCCTTGGACTTGCATCATGGTCGCCGGCCTGAGAAGGCTTAACGTCCTCCTTGCATGGAGGACAGTCCAGCTTCTTCACGTCGATTGCCGCCGCCGCCACTTTGTCGACGTCCTTGTGCAGCTCCTGCCCCTTGCCATGCGGCGCTAGTGCCTGTTTCTCCTCCCGCTCCTCTGTAGCAGCAGCATTATCGTTCACCACGGGCATGGTGTCTTGCTCAAAGGACAGAAACCGGACGGCACTCCTGCGACTTGTGTGATGCGTGCTCTCGTGCTGCTTGCTGCTTGTTCCATTGTGCACTTTCTTGAAAGCCTCAAGCGACAGGGAAAGGATGTCGGCACGACGAGGAGAGGATGCCATTCTACGCACCTGAGGCAATGCAACCGTGCGTCTGAGCAACCAACAGACAACAAGAGGCTCAATCAAGCCCGTACCTCCCAAGCGATAGCATGCGGTCGTTGCTCCACCTTTGTGGCATCACTGCTGTCCATGGCTTGTCCAGAACCGGCTTTCTTCTTCTTGAGCGTTTCGAAGTTTCCAACTCTAGCCTTGAGCTCGCTGAAGTCCAGGCCAGCTTCGTTGAAAACCAGGAGAGCCTCGTGGATCTGCTCCATGTCACATTCCAGCTCGCACAGGAAGTAGAGCTCGTCGATGGCGCGATTCAAGTTCTCAAACAGATAGCACCACAGGCGGTGCCGAAACCTTTCCTTCTTCTCTCCGCCCGACTCGGCAGGGGCGGGGGCGGCGGGGGCTCCTCGGGCACAAATCCTGAATGTTTCCATGACCACGCTGTTGTCCATGTCCACAGGAGCTTCACCAACATTGTGCGCACTGGGTGACGAAACACGCTGATCCTCCTCCGCAACTGATGTAGCAACAGCTTCTTCCTCCTCCTCCGCTGCCCTGGTAGTGGATTCATCCTTGTCGCCGCCAGCAGGGAGTGACGGTGCCTCCTCCTCCACCGCCGCCGCCGCCTCCTCCTCCTCCTCCTCGAAGTCCCCCCATTTGAATTTGGGAGCCGGGGGCAGCAGCACAGTGGGCATGATCACCGGGAGCTCGCCGTCTACGCACTTGGTGGTGTCGCCCAGCAGCCGGGGCGGCAAATCCACCATTTCCTTCATCGCACCCACAACCCTAGCTAAGCTAGCCCTATCCCGGGACCGCCACGTTGCCCTAGGGTGGAGCTATGGTGGAGGGCGAGGAGGAGGATGTAGATCCGGAGGCGACGACGCTCTTGGTGGTGCGCGAGGTGTCCGTGTACAAGATCCCGCCGCGGACCACCAGCGCCGGCTACAAGTGCGGCGAGTGGCTCCAATCGGACAAGATCTGGTCGGGCAGGCTGCGCCTCGTGTCCACTGGGGGCAAATGCGAGGTGCGCCTCGAGGATTCCAACACCGGGGAGCTCTTCGCCGCATGCCCCGTGGAGGCCGGTAAGAGAGACGCGACGGTGGAGAGCGTGCTGGACTCGTCGCGCTACTTTGTGCTGAAAGTGGACGACGGCAGGGGCAGGCACGCGTTTCTGGGCCTGGGCTTCAGCGAGAGGAGCGACGCCTTTGACTTCAATGTTGCTCTCTCCGACTTCGACAAGCATGCTGCAAGGCGAGGAGGAGGAGAGCAGCATTCCCAGCATTCCCCCTCCGATACCAGCCTCGACCTCCGTCTCAAGGTGCCTCCCTCGTACCTCACCCATGCACAACTGACGCATCCTCTTGTTTCAGGAGGGAGAAACGATCAAGATCAATGTCAAGACGCGCACAGCTCAAAGCGGCGGCATCAAGAATGCAACGTCCTCCTCCATGGCCAGCACGGGGCGGATGGCGGCGCCTCTGGCACCCCCACCGGGGGGCGGGCGCATTCGCTCGCCTCTTCCACCACCACCATCTCCTGCAAACGACACAAAAATAAAGCTCCATCAATCTCCTGCATTGCCCCCGGATCCGCTTGCAGATCTGTCCCAGCTCCAAGTAAGTGTCTTTGCCTTGAAACTTTAAACTGGTGGTAACTAAGGAAACGAGCTCGCGCTCCAGGCCGGATTGCCTTCCTTGGCTAGCAATAACAACAAGAGCAGCAGCGGCGGCACCAGCAGCAAGGGCGCGGGTTGGGCAGCATTCTGAGTGAGCACTTCAGTCCACGACGGTGGCCTTGAGAATCTTGACGTCGTGAACAGGCCTGTAAGCACGAGCATGAGAAAACGCAAGACTTGACAAGCTCAAGCCAAACCTGTCGCTCTTGTCAGTGTGCACGTTTCCCAGTCGCTTGATAACATCCATCCCTTTGCATACTCTCCCGAATATGGTGTGCTTGCCTGCGTGAGCGAGAGGAGAGAGAGCAGGTCAGGCCGGGAATCTGAATAGATACCAACCATCGAGCCACGGCGTGGGGGCGAGCGTTATGAAGAACTGGCTCCCGTTGGTGTTTGGGCCGGAGTTGGCCATGGATAAAACACCCGCTCCAGTGTGCTTGAGCTCCCGGGTTAGCTCGTCCTCGAACTGCCGGCTGCATACAAAACCAAGGAATGGGAATGCTTGATTGACAACAGAGAAGGCGAAACATACCCGTAAATTGACTCTCCTCCTCTGCCGGTGCCACTGGGGTCGCCTCCTTGGATCATGAAATCCTGGCGGCGGCTCGGATGGACTGAGGTGAGAGAGCAGCGATAAGAGTTACCTTGATGACGCGGTGGAACTTGACCTGGTCGTAGTATCCCTGCCTGGCCAGCTCGCTGAAATTTCGACATGTCTTGGGAGCGTGCTTGTGGTAGAGCTCCAGAGTGAAAGAGCCCATGGAGGTGTCAAGGGTGACTAGCGGAGCAACGCTCTCTTCCATTGCGGATGTAACAAGAGCCCTAAAACAAGCAAAACCTAGCTTTATCTCGTGCCAAACCCAAAGCTCGAGTTGTAGTGCTTCCTGCTGCTGCTGCTGCTGGTGCAGGGCAGCAGCTTGCGTGCCTTGGCTCGCTCCCTCTCCTCTCTCTGCAACCTTTCAGCTCGCAGCTCCTCCAAGCTCTTCTTCCTCTTCTTGTCACCAGCAGCAGCAGCAGCACCACCACCACCACCACCTTGCAAGGCACGGAGTTAATTTCTTTCATGTACACACTGCCGCACAATACCAACCTGTTGCAGCAGCGTGATCGTGTTCCTCCGGCCTCGACTGCATGTACCAAGGCTGCGCCGTGGAGCGGGCGCCGCCCAGCCTGTACCTCTCCTCCGCCTCACCAAGTTCCTCTTGCTTCTTCTTGGCCTGCCGGATCTCTCGCCTCCGCTCCCTCTCCAATTCCTTGTCCCTCTTGTGCTCCCTCTCCTTGTGTTCCTTGTGCCTGTTCCTGGGCACCAGCGCCACACCCTTGTCGTCGTCGAAGAGATCCAGGAGCTGGTCGTGGGTGGTGAGCGGCGCCGCGGGGGCGGGCGCGGGTGCGGGCGCGGGCGCGGCGGCTGCGGCTGTCTCGTCAGGGGCAGAGGGTTGGGTGCGGCCGGTGCGCGCGCTGGTGCGAAGCTTGTCCAGCCGCGACTCGGCATCGCGATCCCGCTGCTGCTGCTGCTCCTCTTGCTGCTGCCGCTCCGCCTCCTGCTCGTCCCTTCGCACTCGCTCCCTGTTGTCCCAGTTGTAGACGTTCCAGCGCTTCTGGGGCAGGATATTGAGGCCGCCATGCCCGCCCATCTACCTTGTATGACCTAGGTACTGCAAGTTTGCGCAGCGCAGCAAAGGGGGACAATGGAGCAGCACCGATGCTCCTGCAGCTGCGGGGCGTCGTGTTGCACAGGCGGGGATCGGCAGCCGAGGAGCCTGTCGGCCAGGGGCACCAAGGCACTCCTCCCCTTCTCGCCCTACATCCAAGCAATGAACGAGGCCAAGAGCTTCGCCTGGTCTCCTACCAATCCCCATGGCTACTTCCTGGTCTGTATGTAGGCATCCCGCTCGCTGGCCGGCACCTCGCCTTACTCCGCTCCACTCACTGCTTGCAGATGGCAACGGCAGAAAGTGTTCTCTCCTTCGACTTAATCCACGACAAGATCAGGTTGGCGCACTTCTTTTCAATCCAGTCTTACACTTGTATTCCTCGTTTTATTCCCACCCAGGAGCTGCAGGGAGATCCCACCCACAGCTGGGCTGTACAGCAACTTTAGAGGTGGACAAGCACTGAGAAATGCGCTCGCCAAGATGATGCAAAGGACGTTCATGGGTGTTGAGGTGGTGGCCTGTGTCGTCGTCCAACAATCTCTAACACGCTCTCCTCCGTTGCTTGCAGATCGACCCCTCGCACATTTGCATCTCAAGTGGTGTCACAGCGTAAGCTTGTCAAAGAGCCTGGCTAACACCCTCACACACCGCTGTGCCTTTTAACAGTGTGCTCGATCTTTTCTTCTTTGCAACCTGCGACCCAGGAGATGGCTGTTTGATTCCTGCCCCTTACTTCCCAGCGTTTGACAATGACATGAACATTCGAGTAACTTTACAAGCGCTGTCTGGGACCGTTTTCATGCTTGCGTTGCGATGCAGAACGAGGTAGCGCCGCTGCCGGTGCAACCTAAAGACACACATACGTACATTCCTACCATTGCTGAGATGGATGCAGCTGTTGACGAGGCTGCAAAGAGAAACGTCCGCGCCAGAGTTTTGCTCATCACCAATCCTGGCAACCCGCTGGGGACACTGTATCCCGAAGCTACACTCAAGGTACACTTGCTGTTCTGCCATGACATTTCAAGTGTGACACCGGTGGCAGGAGCTTTTGCTATGGGCTGTTCGAAGGGAAATGCATGTCCTTTCGGATGAAATCTACGCCAATTCCAAGTTTGGGTATGCGTTTCGTTTACTTTGGCTCACCTTGTTGTTTGCTCTTCTAAAGCACATCAGAGGACGAGTTTGTGAGCTTGGAGAAGGTGGCGCAAAACGCCGTGGAGGAAAAGCTTCTGTCACCCGAGATGGTTGCCGAGTTTGTCCATACAGCATATGGCATGAGCAAAGATTTCGGGATGAACGGGTTCCGGGTGGGGTGCCTTCACACGAAAAACGGAGACCTTTTGAATGTGAGTAACCTTACCATATAAAAGATAATCCCCGTCTGTAACGAGCGTCTCGCTTCTCTTTTGCAGCTATGGCAAAACATGGGAATGTTTGCAGCCGTGTCCAACGACACACAGCATGCTCTGGCAGTCATGCTCCAAGACGATACCTTTGTTGACTTTTACGTGGAGGAAAACAAGAGGTAAGTTCTTCCTTGTAGTTGCCAAAGCTCAAGCAACTTGTCTGCAGGCGTTTGAAGAATTCCTACAATCTTCTCACAAGTGCGTTCACTTCTGTCAAGCTAAACTACATGCCTGCATGCGCAGCAATGTTTTGTTGGCTGGACCTACGAAGTCTGTTAACCGAGGTAAGGCTTCACAGCAGCTTCTTTTTTGTTCCTGACTTGGTCACTTGAGCCAGTGCACGTTTGAAGCCGAGCGAGCATTATGGAAGGAGATTCTCGAGGACTGTAAGGTGCTCTTGACTCCAGGTAAGTCTAATATGCACAGTTTTCCCTCTCAAATATTTTCACAAAAACAACAGGAGAGGCATGCCACTATGCTGAGCCAGGATTCTTCCGCGTCTGCTATGCGTCCATGCCACCGGAGCACCTGCAGGTTGCTTGCACTCGCTTGACATCATTTGTAGAGAAGAAAAGGCGCAAAAGAAAGTTGTCGAGCGCGTGAGTCACATAGTTTTAAGTTTGATCTTACATCGCGTCTCTCTAAGGAACTAGAATTTGCCGACCATGAGAAGGAAATCTTTCAGAAAATTTTCTACTCGTGCTTCACTCATCGACCTCTCCTTCAACACCCAATTTGAGATGTAGGTGTTTCTCACGCTTTTGAAACTCCGTAATCCCCTTACCGCTGCCCGTAACGCCCACTTTCCCCCTGGGATCGTCGGGAGACTTGAATATACTCTCCTTCTTGCGCCCTGTAAAGAAGCCGACCTGCAAGTAGCTTCAGTCCACTTCCTAGCAATGCAAAGCTCACCTTTTTTGATTTGCCTTTGGCTGTCTGGAACTGCTGCCAAGCATTCTGCCGCTTGTTCTGGGCGACTTCCATCTGCTCCAGCCGAAGCTTGGATTTGAAGGCATGAATCTTCTTCTTCTTGACTTGTCGCTGGAAGAGGCACACGCTGGTGTGTTAGTACGGGGAAACAGACGAGGAACCAGAGACGTACAATTTCCTCAGGGTCGTCAGGTTTTATCTTCAACTTCTGCGGCAGATCTCTAGGAACAACTCCAACGTCGGCTGCCAATGCAATCTTTCGCTTTATGGCTTGCCTGGTTGCCTCGGCTTCCCTTTCCGCCTCCACAAGCTTGTCGTCGTCAAGGTTTACTTGCCTAATGTTGGCGGCATCTACCTGAGCATGCATGCACGAAAGAACGTGAGTGAAGTGTAACCCGTAACGCTAAGTTCACTTGCCTCCTCTTCATTGTTCCACCCGTCGTACATCACCAGGTATCCATTTGGTGTGACGGCGCGAATTGTGCCGTTGTACCTGACAGGAAGTGTCCGTGAGGTTCAGAAACAGAAACAAAGGCTATCGATACCATTCACCGTCTTCGCTCCATACCGCCTGCACCTTGGTTCCAATCGCCATAGTTTCATGTGCCTCTTCCTCCTCGTCCTCCTCGTCCTCCTCGTGTTGCTGCTCTCCTTGCTCCTCCTGCCCATAAGAGTGAGTGCACGAGAGGAGAAAAGGAAGAAGGGAAAACAAAACATGTTGCTGAAGATGCTGCTGCTGATCCTGGTCCTCTGCATCATCAAGGTCCACGTCCACTTGTTTTGCCAATTGGATCACCTGGCAACACACAAGACGGTAACTACGACAGTAATTGGCAGGCGAGGGAAATCGCAGTCCAGATGAGATAGGAGGTTATAAACCCTGGTACTAAGTTAACGGACCAACAATACCCCTTTTGTTTGGTGCCACAGATAAATTCAGCAATCTCCTTCCCTTCTTCTCCTCCAAAACTGTAGTGCCTGAACAAGATACCGGTGATTCCTTTAGGCCACCAGCAAGGCGGGTTTACCACACCTCACGCACACGCTCACGCAGGCGCACAAAGCTATAGGGCAAACGGCTTACCTCTCTCAGTTGCTTGGCCATTTCCTGGTACTCCACATTGTGTGGCTCCTTGGCCAGCAGACGATTCACCTGCAGCAGCCAGCAGCAGCAAGTGAGAGTGGGCGGCCGCCGGCCGGGCAGGGGAAGCACACACCTGTTCCAGCTGCTTCTCGAAATCATCGTCCATGGCGCGCAACGCAACACAGCCACTTGGGCAAACCCTAGGTCATCCGCGAGTGGATCAAGTCTTTATACGTATGTATACTCAATTGAGCGACAGCACGAGAGACACAACACAAATTCGGTTCAGGGCTCCATCACCTCCATCTGGATGTCGGGGTCCTTGAGCGGCACATACTCCCCCATGTAAGCGTCCAGGTGATCCGACAACACCATCCGGTCAATGCTCTCGTGGTGGAACGACTTGACGGAGAAGTAAAAGAGGCTCTGCAGCAGCATCCCCAGCAGGTTGACGAGCGTGAGCAGCGCCACCAGCAGCGCCGCCAGCGACAAGCGAGGCCCAGCCGACGGCAGCCTCGAGTTGGCGCTCACCACCCTGGCGTGGAACAGGGCCGCAATGATTCCCGAGGCGACCATGTGGGTGAAGACGAGGCATGAGCCGACCATCCGCTTGCCCTTCACCACCCGGGCGCTTTTCTTGAGCGCCGCGATGCCATAGTGCTCCTCCAGCACCGTGATGACGCTGGCCAGGTGCCAGATGACGTTGAGGTAGACCTGGAGGGCGAAGAAGGCGAGCGCCAGCAGCAGCAGCAGCGGGAGCAAGAGGGCGGGCACGCTGCCCAGCGCCACCAGCAGCAGCCCAACGGAGACGATGAAGGTGACGTGGTACGCAAACATGATGAGGAACACCCACAAGAAGGTTACCATGAGCCGCTTCCACACCCGGGGCACCACGCCTAGTACCTTGGCCACCGTCACGCTCTTGTCCACGTATATGCATGCTACGCTGTACACCACCGCCGCCGTGGACAGCAGCGAGAAGGCGAGCACGAAGACGAGGTAGGCGAGCAGGAGGGTGCCGAGCCTGCCAAACTCCGAGTAGAGCTCCCTCCGCGTGTGGACGGCGGCGGCGCTGTGGCCATCGCTCCTCTCCACCGCAAGCATCTCCTCGTTGAGCCGTATCCGGTTGAGCAGCGGATCTGTGACGAGCGTGTGCCCCAGCAGCGCAAAAGACAGCGGCAGTACCAGAATCAGCGCAAACCAGGCCATCAATCGGGCATGGCGCACCAGCAGCTTGAACGATTCCTTGAAGAAGCCAAAGAAGCCCAGGAACTGCATCTCCTCCACATCCATGTCCATGCCGCTCTACCGCTCTGCCCTATGACGAACAACGCGCAACCTAGCCTAGGGCTTTGACCCATGGGTGTGCACAAGTTGTGGGAGATATTGGAGCCCGCCAAGGAGCGGGTCCCGCTCGACTTGCTCGTGTAGGCCCTTGCTCCCTCCCTCCCTGATTGTGTTGCTCTACTCACCGCCGCCAAATGCTTGCCCAGGGGACAAGGCGTCTGCATTGATCTGTCATATTGGATCATCCAGCTCAACAAGGTGAATGGCGGCGCTGTCAAGGACAAGCCGCATCTACGGGGCCTGTTTCACAGGATTCGGGCGCTCCTCGCCCTCAACTGCCATCTCATCTTCGTTACTGGTGTGCGCCTCTGCCTCTTGCCCAGGCTACACTTCTTTTAAACCTCACAGTCACGGGCACAGATGGAGCTGTCCCCGCCGCCAAAGCTGGCACCTATGTGCAGCGTCTCGCCAGGGCGCGCCAGCCTCTTCGTCCGCAAAGACAGGTCTGTGCGTCCCTTCATCTCTTGCTGTCGTATGTCACGCAAATGCCCAACCAGGTTGCCGGCCTACCGCTCAAGCGTAACAAGGGCTCACAGTTTGGTCGCATGGTGGAGGACGCCACGGCGCTAGCCACCGCATTTGGTATCCCATGCCTCGTCAGGTACTTCTTTCACTCTCGAAAATATGTTGCTCATTCTTCCAAACACCTATCTAGCCTCGAGGAAGCTGAAGCTCAGTGCGCGGCACTCAATGCTATGGGCTTTGCCGTAAGCTGCTCCGTCTTGTTCTTCCCAAAATGTATAAACAAACATGCGCGCTCCCGCAGGACGCTTGTTTCACCGCGGACTCGGACGCGCTCCTCTTTGGTGCCAAAGTCGTGTATAAGGATATAAGTCTCAAGCCAGGTCAGGTGGTGCTCCATTCAAAATGATAGTCTTCACTTTCTATGCAGGTGAAAGCCACGTTGTAGCATATGACATGACAAAGATCCGAAATGCATTTGGATACGGCAGGAACTCTCTGGTATGCCACGCTAATTTCTTTTCTAACTGATCATCGCACAGATTGCTCTCGGAATCCTGCTGGGATGCGACTATTTTCCTGGCGTGCACGGGTTGGGACCGGTACGCAGCCGTTTTCCTAAGAGTGTCTAGAATGCCACTCGTTTCATTTTACAGGAGAAAGCCCAGCAGATAGTCAAAAAGTTTGGCGAAGACAAAATTCTCGAAGAGATGCTCCGTCAAGGTCCCGTAACGTTGGCTAAGAGGACGTTAAAATGCAAAGATAAAGAAAACTCGACGGTATCTAGCGACGGTAAAAGTAACTAACAAGGCACTGCTTTGTGGCCTTTGACATTGGACGTGTGTAGCAGCTCATGGTTTTTCTGAAGACGACAACATGGCTTGCAAGGCCATATTTGCTTATACCCATCCAAAATGCCACGCCCAAACATCTGAGGCTGTACACAGGCAAGTAAATATGCTGATAAACAAAGACGAGAGCCGGGTTTCTGTTGCAGCGTGCTACTGGGTGGACCTCTCCAAATGGATACCATCAGAAGAATATGCATGCAAGAATTCGAATGGTCTTTTGAGAAAACAGGTCAGCCACGATATCCTTCCTTTACAGGACAGTCTAGTATTGCTAACTTTGATGCAGACGATTACATTCTTCCAAAACTGGCTGAGCGAGACGTGCATAGGATGGCATCCATGCAAGCAGCCAGTTCCGGGGTAAACTTGGCGGGACTTCAATTCAAAATCTCAGAAATTGTCAAGAAGCGGCAGCTTCGGGGCGTGGATCACTACGAAGTGAAATGGGTTGGAAATCCTGACATTCCTAGTAGCGCTGTTCGTGCCGAACTCGTACAGAGGTATGCCACCGTTTTGTTTGTTCATCAGCACCTAACACTGCGCTGCATCCCAGAGCCTACCCCTCCAAGGTCGCAGAGTTCATGGCCAAGTTGGCCCTCAAAGGCGGCAAGAGCACAAGGCGTCCAAATGATTTGGTGACCAGCGACCTGTGTGGAAGGCTGAATAAGATGACGGTGGAAGACGGGAAGACAAGCATGAACAAGATGGCGGTAAAAGACGACTGGAAGACAATGATGGAAGTGAAAGACGACGGGGAGACGCCTTCCATCATCGACGCCTTCCACCACATCAAGCAGAATGACGCTAGTAGGCTGGAGGTGATTGATCTCACGACCCCGCTGGGCAAGGGCATTCATCTCGTTGAAGCCTCAGATAACGATGACGACGACTTAAAGCACCAAGCACGAGTGAGGCAGTTGAAGAGCTTCATTGCTAGCATAAAGTGATGGTCCAATTGAGGTCGCGGTAAGAAAGACAATCTTACAAGCCGGCACAAGTCTGCGAGTGGTTTCATTCCAGGAAGAACCCCACTATGCGGCTATACCCGAAGGACAGGATGACATCCGACCTTTTCACCTCTGGGCCCTTCGTTGCTACTGGAGGGACTTCATCTTGTCCACGCAACACGCGGGCAACGAACGCGTCATAAGTCAAATGCGCTGGGAAGAAGCCGTCTCTGATGAGTTGTGAGAAAATGCGTTGGGCAACTCCCGGGTCCCGTTGCTCCAGTATTCCGTCAATGACAATATTCCAGGTTGCGGGTGTGTAGCTGCAATGCTGCTTCATCTCGCGGAGAAGCAAGCGTGCTTCATCCAGGAGCTCGTTCTTGCACAAGCAGTGAAGGAGCGTGTTGTACGTAATGGCGTCGGGCAGGACGCCTTGGCCCTTCATCTTGTCAATAATCTGCCGGGCTGCTTGCAGGCGATTGTCACGGCAGAGGGCGTGAATGAGGATGGTGTAAGTGGCCACTGAAGGGGAGACGCCGTTGTTTAACATCTCGGCCCACAAGTGCGCCACCCCAGCTTCCTGCTTGGCCCCGGACAAGCCGTGGAGCACGATGTTGTAGAGGGCGAGATCCGGCCTCAGCCCCTGGCCTGTTGCTGCTTGGTACACTTCTTCGACCTTGCTCAGGTCTCCGGCCTTGAAGTAGGCGTGTACGAGGAGAGAGTAGCTCACAAGGGTGGGCTTGTCGATCTCGCTAAACAGCCTTGCAGCTTCACTCAGGTCGTTGAGCTTGAGCAGGCCATAGAGGAAGCTGTTGTACGTGACCGCATCCACCTGACCAAGCCTCTTCACCATCGCCCTCCACACCCGGGCGGCTTCCAGCACTTTGTCCGCCTTGCACAGAAAGTGGATGACAATGCTGTAGGTGCGCTTGTCTGGACGATCCCCGTTGCTCCCAAACATGTGCTCCAGGCAGGTGTAGAACAGAGCCAGAGTGTCCTCCTCCACCGAGTATGACTCTTGCATGGCCTCGGAGAAGAGCGCCTGGCCAAGCTTTCCAAACTCCCGGCGCTGCCGCTCCATGATTGCATGCTTGCATATCCCACTCACGAGCGTATTCTTGTTGTTGATGGAGGGTGTGCACCCTTTGCTGGGCATGCCTCTCAAGAGCGCGAACGCGTCTTCCAGCTTGCCGGCCTTGCACAGGCTATGGATGAGGCAGTTGTATGTGACGGTGTTGGGGCTGCAGCCGGCTGCCTGCATTTGCTGGAGCAGCACCATGGCGGCATCACGCCTGCCCGCCTTGCAAAGCCCGTCAATGACACTGGTGTAGGTGACCACGTTCGGGGGAACCCGCTGCGCTTGCATGGCCCGCATCAGCTCCAGCGCCCGGTCGCAATCGCTTGAGCACAACGCGTGGATAACAGTGGACAAGGTGACAGCATCCGCGCAAGCTGAAGGCCTGCTCTTGCCCAGTACGTCCCATGCCTCGTCCGTTCTCCCGGCTTTGCACAGGCCGCACACCAGAGAGTTGAAGGCGAGGTGGCTGACACGGAAGCCTCTGCTCCTCATCTCCTGGTAGATCTCCACACACGTATCCAGCCTCCCTGATCTGCAGCAGCCCAGAGCCACAAGGTTGTAGGTGACGCGGTCGGCCTGGGCGCGTATGGTCAGGAAAGTCCCAAGAGCGGCCTCCACCTCCCCTGCCTCGACAAAGCCTCGGATGAGCGCGTTGTGGAGCCTCGCGCTCGTGTTGTCGTCATGCATGAGGCCCATGCAGTCGAGGCTGGCCAGGAACGTGGTGGCCGATTCAACCTCACCAGCAAGGCCCAATCCACCAAGAATGGCCTTGCAAATGCGATGTGTGGGAAACAGTCGCGTCGTGTCAACCATAGCTCGGTAAACGGACAGCGCGGTGTCGCATTGACCTGCGTCCATGACAACTCGGATGAGAGCCTCGTAAGTCCTCGCCACTGGGGTGCACGAGAAGTCATCGCTCATCCTCTTCAAGGTGGCCACTGCACCTTTCACATCGCCGGCTCGGCCATAGCACTTGATCACGGTGGAGAAGATGCCTGCGGGTATGTGAAGATGAGCACGCTTGTCCATCTCCTCCATAAGATCCCACATTTGCTCGAACTGCCAAGCCTTGGCCAGGCCCACAATCACCCGGGCGTAGCTGCTGTAGCTCACCTCTGCCTGTGCAGTTGCAGCCCATCTGAGAAACAGGAAGGCGGCGCCGGCGTCGTCCTTGATCTTCTTGACAATGTGAGCAACGAGTCCCTTGGAAAGGCTCAAGTTGAGGCTACCTAGTGCAGCCCGCTTGTCTTCCACACTCAAGCCGCCATTACACAGAATGTTTGTGATCTCGCCGATCTCAGCAATGCCTGTGCCAGAGCTAAACGAAGCCCAACATCTACCTTCTGCTCCTCTCAAGCCCGCAACCCTGTGCTTTCCCAGACGGCCAAGGAGCATCCCCCCATATCCTCTGCTTCGTTTCACATAGAAGGAGCATTACCTAAAACAAAATAATTGTTCTTTTGATCAGTGCCGTGGAACAAATACTGGGGATTGCTGCGAGCGTGCAACGCTGCTCCGAGTTAACAGCCTTGTATCCTGCTGCTGCTGAACCAAGGAAGTGGGAGCACTCGCATCTTCTCTAGCCCTGTCTGTGGTTGGCGTCACCATTGGGCCCCCGTAGAATATCGATGACCCGCTGTACAAGAGCTTGTCGGATGCAGGCCTGAGGGTGTCGGCTACTCCTCTTGCCGCGCCCGTTGCCGCAATGCTGGGAATCGTCGCGTTGTGACTCGTCCGATCCACGCTCTCGCCACCCGATGCTTCATACCCGTCGCTTGTTAGCCACTGCCTCTCTCTGCTGCTGCACTTCTTCTCGTTAACGAGCGGGCTCAGCCGCCCCGAGCCACTCATTGAACAGCTCGGGCTGCTATAACCGCTCCCTATGCCTTTAGCAAGCTTCAACTTGGAGGACGGGGGAAGCCCCGGGGCATACCTCTTCCCATACATCTCAATGTTGCTCAGGCTGCTTCTCGTGCTCACGTTGCTGCTGGTACCATACTCCGTCTCTGATATCTTCACGTCTTTGTGAGAACCAGCTGCCGCTACTGGGCGTAAGGTAGACGAGCTTGCTCTCGCCTTCAGCACCGCCTTGGCAGCCTCGTCCGGGTTTAGCTTGGCCAGCCTCCACGCACTGATCTTGACAGTGCGTTTTTGTGACCTCGACTCTCGCCTGCTAATGGAGCTGACGGTGTCGGGATCTTGCGTCGAGGACAACTTACCAGGCCCCAAATGTGGGACAATCTCATCCTGACAAGGTAAAGAGTATCCCGTCAGTCCAGAGTGCAAACGGCAAGTCATCAAATACCTCGTCCACAAATATTCTGGGAGGTGTACACCAGGCACCCCTGTATTGCAGGCCCAAATTCAACGAGCTGGATACGCTTAAGCCGGTTGCGTTTGAGCTGGTGGGAGATGAAGGAGCACTGGCACCGTCACCGTCGTTTGAAGCACCTTGGCCCTCGCTTTGGGCCCTCATTGCTACCACATACTCGTACGTCGAAATTCCCTGGCAAGATCCAACCACAAGTTTCAGGGAAAGCCAAACGACCGAGAGTAAACAACGGGGAGTACCTTTCGGATTAAAATAACATGGAAGAAGAAGAGCTCCCCGAGCGGTAAAGACGCTAGCAAAGAGACAAGTGTGCAACAGAGCTGCATTTGCAAAAAGAGAGTCAAAAGAGATGGACTCAGGTACGTGCACTACGTTACCACAACAGTTGCAAACGGGGCCCTGGTGAAGCTGTCGCCTAGCTTTCTTGCAATCTCCTCTTGAGTGGCTCTCTTGTTAACAAAGCACTGGACTAAGACGGCCGTCCCCATGCCCCACTCAAGCATAAGCTGCACAAACGATTGAGCTTGAGATGGCAGGATGCGGAGTGTAAGGATGCATGTACCAACCAGGGTGAGGCTGGTAGCCATGAGCGAAACAAAAGTCACGTAGTTCTTCTTCCCCACGCAGTTGTTAAGCCACTGAGACGAGGAAACCACCGTTTGTCTGAGTCCTTTCTAAATCTCAAGCGACCCTACTTACGCGACAGTGGTGGTCGAAGCCGTCAACGCACTTGTCACAGCTCCTGCAATGCTTGCTGAACTTGCGCACCTAGGTAGAAACAATGGTAAATGCCATGCACACATAGCTAAGTCCTGACGATTACCTCGGCATTGCACAGGGTGCAAAAGAGCATGTCCTCGTCGGTCACGGGGTCGGGGCTTGGGCTGCTCCTGCAGCCGTCGTCGGCAGCGAAGCATGCACACACCAGGAAGTGCGGCGCAGGCTGCTCGGGGATCCACCCTCCACCTCCTGCCTCAGCGCTCGAAAACTTGTCTCCGGGCGAGGAGAGGGGCAGCGCTGACAAGACGTGCTTCTTCTCGTATGTGCGGAAGCCCTTGTGACCAGTGAAGATCCCGGAGTCGGACGGATCGATGGCCGAGCAGCGAATGTAGAGCAGAAACACCGCCAAGGCCTAGATGCAAGAGCGTTAGCGGGCGAGCACAAGAGGTGCGAGGGGGATACACATACCACGGGGGTGTAGAGCGCGATTGAAGCGTATTCCAGGCTGCTACTGCCCAGGAAAGGAGCCACAAACACATAGAATGCAATCGCGAGGAGGAAAAAGAGCGTGATGGCAACCACCTGGAATGCAAAGGATGCCATGAGCAGATCTCCAGCCGCCACAAGCCACATACCTGGAACGCATGGGCAGGGAGCTGCCAGCCATGGCGCCGCACCATTGTCAGCGCATCGAGTCAAGGAGGAGGGCCGAGGGAGGAGCGTTACGAAGCGCGAGGCGCCGCCCCTTTTGGTGTGGGAGGGATATATAAGCAGCAGGGAAAAAGAAAAGCCCTTGGAAATATTGTGGTGAGCGGGAAGAGAGCCGTTCGTTGATCCAACCATTGATAGCTAAAATTAAAATATAACCATGTACAGTCGTGTGCGTGGGGGGCGCGCTCGAGTAGTTTATCAAGTTAAATCGCCGACGACAAGCTCAAGGTCGACGGGCACATTCCAATCTTGGCGCAGATCTCGTCGTCATCGAGCACGGCCTCCAGATTTGCCAACACCTGTGGCCCATACTCCAGCACCAGCAGCTTGCACTGCACAGAAACCAACCATGTCACACTCGCCTCCTTTAAAAACCAGCTCGAACTGCCATTACCTCATCCTCATGGTTGTGCAATTTCTGGCAGTTGGCAAGCAGGAATTCAATCAGCTTCTCCTGGTTGGTGATCGATCAAAGCACAAAAGCATTTAAGACGATAGCCTGGAAACGCTCGTTACTACCTGTGTCTCGGGGTCCTGCAGCTTCGTCTTCATCTCCAGAGCTAGGTAGCGACAAAGCGCACAGTTGTTGCGTCCCACACCTTTCACGCCATTCGCCTTGCACACCTCTGATTCCATGCAAAAATGAGCTGGGGACCCGAGCAGCCCTGGACCGAAACGATCCAGCACAGACATGCACTGCCACAAGACATTCAGGTTATGTTGCTACAAGACGAGACGAGGAACTTTACCCTGTCTTGGATCCACTTATGGCTGGAGCATGCAGCCGTGAGCTCTTCACGGATGGCCTCTGGACTCAGCCTGTTACCTGCGGCAAGAGCCTTTGTTGCCAAGAAGTGGCATGCGGAACAACTGGTTGCAGACATTTCCAGGTGTTTGGCCCCAGCGCATATGCCCGTGTCCAGACACATCTTTTGCGGAGTCATGTAGTCTTGTAAAGTGGAGAAGAGAACCGAGACATACTCTTGAGACATCTCGTCGCACTGTCAACAGCAAATCTTTTGAGATAATTGAAAGCCAAGAGATGAAGCACAACATTGCCTTGTCTTTGTATGCCAGGGGAACCTTTGCACAGCCATGAGCCTGGACGAAGTCGACGACAGTCTCCAAATTGTGAGGGCTCGCCAGGAAATCTTGTGCGTCGGTGGCAACGTCCAAGCACTCCTTGCAAAACAAACCTTGCCAATTGGGAAAGAACAATCCGTTAACAAAAGAGGGAAGGAGAGAAAATGGAGCAGAGGCCACCAGAATCGGCTTTGTCAGCTGCTGCAGCCACCACCAAGGCCATTAAAACCACCGCTGCAGGCACCGCCATCGCCATCGCCATCGCCATCGCCATCGCCCCTCCCTAATTCCAAAAGACCTAAACTGTTGCGCGCACGAGACGAGTGGCAGCTTCACTTGGTAAGTTTACAGGAGCACGTAACAAGCTTGTCCAGGAAAGACGCCGTGTCCTTTCTGAGGAGAAGATTAGCCAGGGAATTATTGTCACCATCAAAGTCGGAGCCAGATAGCACCCTGTGAACCTTTGAGACGGTGGCCACATTGCGACCAGCTCCGACACCCATGGCGGTGGCGCCACCCACGGCATTTGCAAGCGTCAGGGTGGTGGTGGCAGGCAAGCCGCAATTGTAGCCCAACACCGCCGCCGCCGCAAAGCTATCACCACAGCCCACTGTGTCGATCACGTCAACCTGTGCATGCAAAACCAGCATGTCAAAGGTGCGCGCAAGGATACAGAGCAGCTACCTTGAATCCTGGGACGTGGTGGCAGCCTTGACGATCCGCCATGAGCGACCCTTGAGCTCCCATTTTCACAATCACCCATTTGGTGTGCATTCCATTGTCCAGGAGAGCTGTGGCAGCAGCGTAGGGATCGTCTATTCCGGTCAGCGTCGCAGCCTGAAACCATCAAGAGGACGGGTTGCGTCACCTCCAACATGATACAAATATCACGTTACCACCTCGTCGGCTGTCAGAAGCAGCACATCGCTGAGTGTAAGGATTCGTTCCAGCGTGCTCCGATCCTGTCTAAACAGCGACTCGCCTCTCGGGCCCGGATCGAAAAAGACGGCGTTGCCCGCCGCGTGAGCGCAGTCCACCGCCGAGAGGATAGCGGAAGGCAGCAGCTCGTCGAAGGCGAAGCCATTGAAATGGAGCGCTTTCGAGTTTTGTATGACGGACTCCGCTTTGGGGGGCAGCTTGTGCATCTTGTCCAGCACTGGAGCCTTGTTGAAGTCGAAACGGCTGGCGATTACACTTTAGCGAGTGACAACAAAGAGCAACTAGAATAGAGGCTCACCTACAAAACGCGTGCTGGTGCTCGGGGTCCACGAGCACCCAACAGACTAGCGTGCTGCCATCAAAGTCGGAGGTCACGTCTGCGCTGATCCTGGCCACGTCCACGCCCTCCTTGTCCAGGATCCTGCTCAAAAACTTGCCAAAGGGCTCGCTTCCAATGTGGCCGATGCTCACGCACTCGAGGCCCAACCTGGCTGCCGCAATGGTGAAGTTGCAAATGCCACCGGCCTCCCACGCACTCTGCTCGCTATGTCACGCATGCTGTGATGTGATCAAAGCCAATACAAGCACAAACCTCGTCGGGCGGGCAGGACTCGAGGTGACGCAGGAATTTGAGCTTGGCAGCTGGGTTGGATGGCGGAAGGCAGGGCACATCGAGGACGATGTCCACACACAGGTTGCCCAGAGTGGCTACATCGGCCTTGCTCCCACACGCACACACAACCGCCGCTTGCCTCCTCCATGGCTTGTCGACGGCGGCGGCACCCAGGCTCGCGGCGCCAGCAGCAGTAGCCGACATTGGCGCTCAAAAGCCCTAGCGCCCAAGGGGGTTTGGCTTTGACTGGGCATATTCCTCTCTCTTTTTCACCTCTCTAGTAGTCACTTGTTGCTGTTGGGCTGGTGTGCTGTCTCTCACGCCTTTTGTTGGGAAAGAGCAACAGTGAGAGGTGGTGACAAAAGCGAGAGCGCGCTTGGCACAGCACAAAGGGTCTTCAAGAAGGGCAAGCTTGTCCACCAGATCCAGAGCTCGCGTGCCCAATTCCCAGGTACGCTGGGGCTTAGGTCATCCGGATCAGGAGAGCAGCATGCGTTGCCGAGGCCACATTGCATGCACTGTCGCAACCAAATACGAATCTGGTGGCTCAACAAGACAAAGGGGCAGCCAAATGCAGGTAGCAGCAGCACTAGAGCATAGATAGAGAGCTGGGGTTTGTAGCGCTTCTCGATTCCCACTCCCCGAATTCCATCTTGTCCCAGTGTCTTCATGGCCAACATACCAGTAACCAACTTCCCCTCTCATCAGCTCAGCAATGGCCTCTACGTCTCAGGTCGTCCCGACCAGCACAAGGAGAAGGCCCCAACCATGACGTCCTCGGCAATGCCGTACACTGGAGGCGATGTCAAAAAATCTGGCGAGCTCGGCAAAATGTTTGACATTGCTGTCGAGGCCTCCAAATCCAAAAAATCTGGCCCGATAGCCTCCGGTGGATCGTTCCGGGGGAGCAGCACCGCTACTGGCGGCACCCCTACAGGGCCTCCCAGATCTGCATTCTCCACCTCCGGCCCGCTCAATTCCGCTGGCATGCCCAGGCAAAACTCTCAAAAGTCCAACTCGGGTCCTCTCACCGGCGGCACCGGCTCCAGATCCGGCAACCTGTCGTCCACGCCTAACCTCAAGACCTCGGGTCCCATCCCCAACCCTCTGAAAACATCCGGCCCGATCAATCTTCCCGCCACAGGCCTCATCACGTCCACTGGCGCTCCACGAAAGGTGTCGGGGCCCCTTGGAGGAGACGCTGGTGCATCCTTCAAGTTGGCAGCAAATACTGGCAGCCAGGCCGTCAACAACCTCAGCCACGACAAGCACTACTCGTACAGCAAGAACATCCCCAGGGCCATCCTGTGGACCGTCATTCCACTCTTTGTCATGGGATTCATCGCTGGAGCTTTCATCCTCGCGGCTGTCAAGAACCCGGTCCTGCTTATTATCATAACCTGCCTCTTCGTGGCAGTGCTGCTCCTGCTGCTGTGGAACACCCTGTGGGGTAAAAAGGCCGTTCTTTCCTTTGCAGACAAGCATCCAGACGCGCAGCTCGCAACCGCAAAAGACGGCCAGTACGTCAAAGTCACAGGAGTAAGTTCTCATCTCATCCGAACATGAATTGAGACTTGTTGTTGTATTGCAGGTGGTCACCTGCGGAAGTGTTCACCTCGAGTCTCCATTTCAGAAGGTCAACCGTTGCATCTACACGTCTGCGAGCCTTCACGAGTACAGAGCGTGGCACTCCAAGCCTGCCAACGACAAGCACCAGCGTTTCACCTGGGGATTGCGCCACCTCGAGGTAAGGCTTTTAGCTTACCAGGCATCGCATTCTCTCAGCCGGCGTTCCCAAACAGAGACACATTGTCGACTTCTACATCTCCGACTTCAACTCCGGGTTTAGAGCCTTGGTGAAAGCCGGCTACAGTGCGCGCGTGTCGCCATACGTGGAGGAGAGCAAGATTGTCGAGGTACCAGCGGGGAACCACAGCGTGCCATCCGACTTCACACAATGGCTCACGGAGCGCAACTTGTCGAGGGACGACCGGAGGATGCGATTGACCGAGGGGTGAGTGACTTGGCCAGCCCCGACTCTGATAAGACTCATCCATTTCTCTCTTGTGCGGACAGATATATCAAGGAGGGTAGCAGTGTGACGGTGATGGGGGTGGTACAGCGGAACGACAACGTTGTCATGATAATCCCACCCCCGGATGCGGTGTCCACGGGGTGCCAATGGCCTCGTCTTCTACTCCCCGTAACCCTCGAAGGCATTGTCGTGACAAGCCAAGAGACGAGTTTCAAAGTGGATGTTGCCTAGTGTTGGACTGCCTCTCGTCTCGTCTCATCTCGTCTCCTACACACGAAAGAACATGTTTGGTGTATATAGACAAAACCATAGCTTGAAGATAACCATACGTTTTCTTTTTCTCTTCTCGGGCTGCTAGGCTATCTTATGGGGCGTTCACCGTGAGCAACGATGCGTCCGGTGGGAAGGATGCTTTCAACTCTACCAAATCTCTCTGGCGGCCACACGACACGAGTCACCCTCGCTTTGAGCAGTGCCATTGGGATCTGCAAACGAGTGTGATCAAGGAAGGTGATCTGCCGTGGATGATGCAAAACTTACGTACCGGCCCCATGTTTCTCGAGTCCAAGCTCACATTGGCATTGTCCCCTTCCACCCAGCAGCGCCCCTTGGGCACTTGAACTAGCTCGCGCTTGCCTGGAACCCTGAGCATGTCGCCTTCCACGGCAATCAGCCTCTTCACCATCCAGTACTGCGGCTCGTGGGGAGACCTTACCAAGAGCGTGTTATACTTGATTTGCCTCTCCGTTTTTTGTTACCTGAGAACCACAACATCCCCTCGAGAGAATCCAAAATCATGGCCCGGGAACTTGTCAAGGAGCAACACATCGCCCTCCATGAGAGACTTCCCGGCTACCAGCGTTGGCTCCATGGAGCTCCCCTGCATGCGCGCCAAACTCACTAGCTCATCCGACACTGCAATGCCGATCATGGCTCCAATGGCGGCCCTCTTGGCCAGGAGCAGTGCCCAGCCCATGTAGGGCTTGATTGCCTGCTTGCTTTTAGGGCACACGCGAGCTCCATGGGTTTCATCGCCCTGCAGCGGTTGCCAGTAGCATTAGGTGTTGCGCATTGTTGTCGGAAAGGCCTCCGCCTCTCGGCCACCACATCCACAGCAAGGATGGCGCTGGGTGACAATGGCGGCTCGGCGGCTCCTCCGGCTCCCTCGTCTGTCATTCACTTCCTTACGCTCTGCCAGCGCCTCAAGGTAAGCGCTTGTTTTCTTGCGTACTCCACCAGCTTGGCGAATCTCGCCCGGACAGCACAGACGACCAAGAGGGCGGGATGGCTCAATCGCGACGTGAAGAACGCCGAGTCCATTGCGGATCATATGCATCGTATGGCGATCATGGCTCTTATAGCCGCTGATATTCCAGGCATTGACAAGGATAGGTGCGTCTTTCTCTGTGCACCAGCCCAGTGCCTCCACTAAACCCCCACACGCAGGTGCGTCAAGATGGCGGTGGTGCATGACATTGCTGAAGGCAAGTACTTCGTTTGCTTCCGGTGCTCACGATGCTTACAATGTCTCTTGTTCCAGCTATTGTGGGTGATATCACCCCAGCTGATGGCATTCCCAAGGACGAGAAAAGCAGGCGAGAGAGAGCAGCCATAGATGAAATGTGTGACATTCTCGAGAATGGCCGTGCTGGTATGTTCGTGCTCACGCTAGCCATGGCTAACTAACCCCCGGCTCATTGTTTATGGCAGCCAGTGAGATCAGAGAGCTCTGGAACGAATACGAATCTAACCTGTCGCCTGAGGCGAAGCTTGTCAAGGATCTAGACAAGGTGAGTTTATCTCGTCTCACGTGATCCACTACTATTACCTTCCTGGGTTATAACACGAAGCAGGTCGAGATGATTCTCCAAGCTTTGGAATACGAGAGCGGTACGTAAGCGTTAGGAATCAGTCGTAAGTGATGATTCAATTGCCTTCCCTGTCACTCGCAGCTCAAGACAAGGAGTTGGATGACTTTTTTATGTCAACTGCTGGTGAGTGTGCTATAGCGTCCGAGATCATTGTCGACGAGTTCTTCTAAAACCTTGTGGGGCGCAGGCAAGTTTCAGACCGATATTGGCAAAGCGTGGGCAGCGGAGATAGTCTCTCGTAGGGAAAAGAGGAGGGAGAAGCTGCATGCTGCCTCAACTTGAGTTTGAAGGTGGAATTTGTACATAACGCTCACGACTCCGTTCAGTGATTCATTACAACCTTAGCTTTGACTGGGCCATCCAAGCTACTGTTCCTCGCCGTGGACTTTGGACCTCTTGATATCATTTTGTTGTGAGCGTGGGGTTGACTTTTGGAAATCTCCACGTTCGTAACATTACATCGACGGAGACTCGGGCACAACGCGCTACACGACGAGGAATTTCAGCGGAAAATAGTTTACTTTCGAAGATTAATGGCAGTGACGGGGGAGCACACAAAGTATTCACAGAGCTCTTCTCCCCGTTTTACAAGTAACAAGCAAGCGGAAACAATTATATACTCCAAATCATCTCCAGCTCCAAGCAAAATTCTCCATGTTCCACGATCACTGCGCTTTGATTTGCAACGTATGGACGTCGAGGAATTGCTTGACGTAATTCTTGCGGGCAATGCTGTCCTCCGCTCGTTGGTGCTGAGTTCTCTCTGGCACCTCAGTGTAGAGGAGCAGGGCCTGGCTCATTGAAAAGAACATTCGTTGTTAAGTGTTGGTGAAACAGAACCCCAACGTACGAACCTCAATGTAATCGCCTGTGTCGAGCGTGAAGCGGTGATACATGCCTGGCGGTAGCACTACCAGATCTCCTTTCTGGACACGGAAACGCACCCATTTGTCATCATAGTCCCGAATGTCCCAGTAGCCTGAGGCAGCGGCATTTAAGCAATTCAAAACTTCAAAAAATGTTTAAATCGGGCATGTACCACTTCCGTCAAGGATGAGCCGTATCTCCTCTTGAGAATGCATGTGTTCTTGAAAGAATCCCCCGACTCGAGCATCAAAATCAGCCATAGCTTCCCGAGATACAGTGATCTTTTCCTGTCCCAGGACGGCAGGAAATTATGAGAAACGATTTCATCCTTCCACTTGAGCGTCTGTCATCTCACCCAGTAGTTATATCCTCGCTCGACTTTAATCTCTTCTAGTTTGGGGTCGCTCTCCCAGTTGTCGGCGTCTAGCTTCCATGTTAAAACGCCAAGACCTGTGTGTGTATGACAAGTTTAAAGCTAAGAACAAAAGAAGGATTTGTCTACTGACTGTGAACGTGAGAAAGCGGCACTGGACGATTGGGCGAGAACTTGTGAGGAAGCTTGGAGTTCTCTTCGTCCCCGGGATTATACTCCCAGGCTTCAATTGATGACTGATACAAATAGACGAATCGAATCTCGTTAGAAGGAGGGAAGACAAAGATATGGATGTTGTAAGTACCTTGTTGCAGTCGGCCATTGCAACTGGCACAAGTGGGAATAGATAGATGTAATATGCTGAAAGAAAGAGCAGAATTGAAATGCCAAGGTGTTGCAAAATTGCGTATAAGGTCTCTGTGTGATTTCGTACAGCTCGAATCGATCTTATTTATAACGTACAAGAGAATGTATTTTGACTTTATTTCGTTCTCAACGGCCACGATGCACAACGGGGACGCGTGGCGCAGCTTCGCTACCTAGCTTGACGCCGGAAGGGAAGGTTAGTTGTAAGCTTTAACAACAAAGTCAACTCAGCAATCACAAAACCCGCGATCTAATCCACCACCTCCGTTCTATCTTGACATTCTCTTGTCTTCCTCCCCCACAAAAGATCCGTCGGCTTGATTCGGAAGGAATGGATCTGTTCCACACGTCGGTGATGGAATCTGGGCGCCGGCACCAACAGATTGCCCTCCCCCCTTGGTTTGCGCATTGTGAGCAATAGAACAAGCCATGTTCCAGGATCAAACGCAACCTCGGATTTCGAGATGACGAGATGAAATTGACTTTTATAAACAACAACGTGCAGGAGATTTTTAGGTCTGTGGCTGTGAGTCGCGCGAGATGAGGAAGTGTAGAGGAAGCCGGGGGCTGGATGTCGGGTTGGCGATCTTCTTCGCGCTCAACGTGCCCCTCGTCTTGTTTGTGGACTCCACGGCCGTACTGCCCATGTCTTGCTTCCCGGCCGCGATCCAGGCGCTCGTCCGGTGGCACATCCGTACGTCCGGTGACTACCTCATGCGCGACAAGCCCCCATTCTTCCTTGGCCTTGTGTTCTGCGAGATCTTCGTGCAGCTCCCACTCTACATTGCCAACGCCATTGCCTTCTACTACGGTAAATCGAGCATTCATCTCTCTCTCTCTCTCTCTCACCATGGCCTCCAGGAAAGCCTTGGGGGAGAACCACCGGCATTATCTATGGAGTTCACACAGCCACAACGATGGTAAGTTTGGATCCACTTTGGCTATGTAATTTGGCTCATTGGTCGACAGATACCAATCTTGTTCGATATTCTGTGCTCTCAAGTCCCAACGAAGTTCCAGCTCTTCAGCATTTACGTGCCCTACCTCATCATCCCGTTGATTGTGCTAGTGCGCCTCATGCCCTACACGTATCCTTTCGCCAAGAAGCGGATCGAGTGATTTCTTCAAAAACCATGAATACCAAAAACCCTAATTTGTTTTGGCTACCCTAGAGCTAGCGATCGATGGGTAAGGCGATGGGAGTAGGTTGGAGCTCACCCAGCAGCTTTGATCTGTGCAGATTACGCTCAAGAACAGGAAATGGAGGTTGAGGCGCTGCAAGCCATTCTCATGGATGATATTCAAGGTATCCTTTTCGAGGATGAGCATGTTCTTTTATGTTCACTACTTAGTACAATTGCAGTGTTAGAGGACACTCAAAGTCCGTCGTACCAGATCAAAATAACATCGGAGGTATGGGTGCGCTTTCCTGCTCGTTTAGGCTCTTGATTTTTAGATATATGAATCTCTGTGCAGGATGAGGGGGAGGCTGGTCAGTTCTTGAATCAATAAATGAGATTTTTCCTTTTTTAACTTTTGTGGTGCAGCTCAGGTAAATCTAATCTTTGCACATACACCAAACTATCCTGACGAGCCACCCCTTTTGGATGTCCGTAGGTGAGCTGCATACTGAGTTCTCCAATTACTGTGTAACGACACTTTTGTGGCAGTGGCAAGGGCGTCAGGGACAGCGAAGCTAAAGAGCTCAAACAAAAGCTCCAAGCAGAGGTTTGCATGCTGTCATCCAGAGTCTGGAATCGCTGGCTTGACAATCCGGGTTTTGCAGGCCACGGAGAGCCTCGGAATGGCCATGATGTACACACTGGCTACTTCAGCAAAGGAATGGCTGTCTCTAAGGTTTGCTCAAGAAGACGAAGGGAGCGGGGAAGATGAAGAAGAGGCACCTGGAATAGACGAGGTTGAATAGATCTTATCAGCTGAATTCTAACACCAGCATGATTCTTTGAAGGTCGTGGAGCCGCATGGGGAGGTGGTAACTGTCGAAACGTTTGTGGCATGGAGAGAAAGATTTGAGGCCGAGCTAGCCCTTGAGAGAGCCAGGTATTGGTTGTCTGTACTCGTTTCCTGTGTCTAGAATCACTTTTCATGTCCCAGGTTGATGCCCGAGTCGGCTCTCACCACCACCAAGGACAAGCGGCTGAGCGGGAGGGCCTGGTTTGAAAGTGGTCGAGCTTCAGCTGTGGTAAACGTATTCTCCTCCTTGGGCTTGGGAGGGTGGCTCAGTGACAGTGCCTTTGAGATGCAGAGAGTTGGCAAACCCGTGGCTGAATCGAGCGAAGAGGAGGCAGAAGAGGACATTGACTTCGATGCCGATTACGATGACGAAGGTACGGGGAATTCGCTCGAGATTTTCAGATTTGGTTTTTAAATGGCTGGCTGTTTTGGCTCTAGACTTGGACGAGGACGACATGCTAGAACACTACCTGTCTCAGAAAGCTACCATCTAAACAGAATGGGAGCAACATTTTATTATCATGGTTTGTATTTTTCTTCTTTGTCTTGGTGGGGGAAGGGAGCGAATTTTTAAGTACATGAGAAGTCCCGTACTTCAAAGAAGGATCTGTTCTTGACAACAATGTCGTACATGTGGATGGTCTTGAACCTGGTGAAGTCTGCGGGCAGAGAGATGAGGTCGACCGAGGAGATCTTGTGGAACTGGATAAGATCGGGCTCTTCGTAGGGGTAGCGCTCCCACCCAAGATCCAAGAGTTTGGCCTCGAGGTGCGCGTAGGAGGAGATGATCTGGTTGCTGGGGACATGCACCAGCACTTTCTTGCGAAGAATTCCGCGCTCGCCGCTGTCGATCGGCTCCATGAGCGGATTGGAGACTAATCTCGCCACTCCATTCTTGAACACCCACACGCCCGACATGATGTTATATGTTGCTCACGCTGCGCACACACGCAATCTCAAAGCCGGCAAAACTGATCGATCGATATACGTGTTTGGCCCGCAGCAAAAAAGAAAGAAAGAGAAAGCAAAGTCTAAACGTTTCTTGTTTCAAGAAAGGTGAAGAGGAGCTTGAAGGGAGAGAAGGGAGAGAGCTATGTAGTCACTCCTGCTAGGGGATGCTAGGCTAGGACCAACAGCAAGACAAGACGCCCTTGCTCCACAACCAAAAAGAAGAATGGAAGGAGGAGCAGCTACTAGGAAATAGATAGTCTAAAAGAACAAGCAGCAACCCTCGTCCAGCCTCTCGCGCGCGTCTCTCAAGTCTTCTAGGCAGGTGAATTTAAACCACAGAACGTCCAGGTGAGATGGGAAGCATCAAGCGCGTGTGTGTCAAGTGTCGCTTTTGATTCGGATGCTGATTACCTACGCCTCTTTCTTCCTGGAAAGAATCTGCGGAAACACCATCAGCATCAATGAGGGCGCGGAGATTGAGAAGGGGCGGCCACGGAAACACGGAATCGCAATTGCAACCGAGAGCGACGGGATTATTCGCACAAAATGGAAAACTTCTCTTCAGCCGGGACTCGTGAGTCGTGAACGCTACCTCAATCCTTGCTACGGCGACGGCGCCACATAGCTCTCAACGCAATTGCTCTTCATTCGTGTGGCGGTGGTGGTGGTGCTGCTGCTGCTGCTGCTCGACTTGCAAATCCTTTAAAAAATCGAGAATTGTTCCTCTCCATCACAACGGTGGATAGAAGAAGAGGAAGCATTGCATTAAACACTTTGCACGTCCTCTACTATGACGTTGTCCACCGGTCCCCGCGCCACGTGGCATGCTCTTTCCCGCTTCTTTGCAACAAGAATGGAAGCAAGAAAGTGGTAGCTCATCAGCTCAGGTCAGCTAGGTCGGCAGCGAAGCGAAGCAGCCATGGAGGAATGGGAGACCTTTGTTCGTTCGCTCGCAGAGAGGTATGGATTGCAACAGCAGCAGAGCCAGTCCGAGAGTCAAGAGGATCAAGAACATCGTTGGGTAACCTCCTCCGTCAAGAAGCAGCACGACGACGACGACCGCTACGTTCGGGATGATGCTGGCATGGCCCCGAGCCAAGATCCTGTGCTGCCCTGCGTTCTTGAATGCAGTACCAGCAGTACGACCGAAGGATATAATGATTGCCAGGAATCGGCTGCGGCCCAAGGTATCACTGCTACCTTTGCCAGCCGTACACACAAGATTCTTTCCCCAGGCCCGGCTGCTGCTGTCTCGCGCCTCGAGCGCAACACCAGTAGCCCAGTCGCAGATGTTTCATATAATAGGCCAGCCTCGCCAACTTCCGTGCTAGCGGCTGCCCACACATGTAGTAGCAGCGACAGCAGCGCTGCCACAGACGTCCCCTTCAACCGCGGCCAATCGTCGGATTGTAATCTGCTCCCCGTCGCCAACACTCTACTCGCGGATGCGGGTTTCCCTCCAATCACAAAACCGCTTTCCGGGGAGCAGCTGCTGGGAACTGTAGTAGACCTCGCCCGGGAATACGTACGAAGAGAGAGCTTTATTCAGGTTCACAAAATGTTTCCCGCATGTCCCTTAGCGTTTCCTTGCAGGAGCTTTTAGAGGAGGCGGAGAGGAGTCGCAGACAAGAGGAGCAGAGCAACCTTCTCTTGGTACGGCAGGATGGCGAACTGCAACTGTGGAAGAAGAAGTTGGCGTCATCGGAGCAACGGTCGCAGGCAGCTCTGTCTGCAGCCGCCAAGGCTGCCTCAAGGTTTCGGAGGGAGGTCCAGTCCCTCGAGGCCACCAACTCAAACCTCCAACAGCGCTGTAGGTATGTCATGGTGCGTTTATCAACTCGATAGTTTCTTTCCTTTGGAGCAGCCAACTGGAACACAACTGCCGGTCTAAAGAACGGGACGCTCGCAAGTACCAGACGAGGCTGCTGGAATCGATTGAAAAGGTGGCCATAGCTTTCTCTCTATGTCATGGATCCGGAGACATTGATTAAATCCATGGTCGGCGGTCATGCAAGCAGGAGGAGAGCCAGCGGTCAAAGGATGTCGAGTGCTACAGGAACCTTAAGAACAAGGTCATGCGAGCACGCCAGGCACGAGGAGCAAGCGGTGGTCTCGACTGGAATCTCCTGTCCCGAGACCTGAAGCCGTTACAGCTGGTAAAGTCGACTTTCAGTTTTTGTGGTCCGACTCTCCCTGCTTGCTGATGAGACCACAGGTGGGCATTTATGAGAAGCAAAAGGCGACAATGGCCTGGGAGCTGGGCGCCTTGCGCTCCCAAGTGACTTCGCTGTGTCACGAGCTCCAGCACAAGGAGAACAACGCTGCCGCCACCCGACAGCACGATGTATGTATGCCCGATGCATTGCTTCAAACACTCAAAGTTCCACCTCGTGCAGATTACGGACCGTTGCGGTGGGAAAAATCACTTGTTAGAGCAGCTTTGCTACAAGCTGCAGGTTGGGAGTGCCACTCAGTTGGCGGTGAGAGCACTCCGCTTGATATGCTTCCACCGCTGATATTCCCTCTCTTGCGTGAGCCAGGGTGCAGTCGAAAGCTTGCTTATGGTCAATACTGCAGTCCCGTCTTTGGAGGATTTTGTGGAACAAGTCTGTGACGTCGTCCTGGTTGCTGGACGGGAGTTTCTTCCAAGGTGACGACGAACCTACGAGTAGCTCAAGTCTCTTGCCCGTACTGATATTAGTTTGCTGTTATGCCAGACCCACAGAAAGTCCGTGCGAAGTTCCCAGAATTCTCGAGGGGTGGCTGGATGTTCTGTCTGCGGTAACTAGAAGCCAATCGATCTCGTAGCTATTTGATGAAGGGGATTCCCGATGGAACACGCCGAGCGTAATCTTCGTACTGGGATCCAAAGAAGCGGCGGAGAAAGTACTCCTCGCAGCTGACGACAGGTAGTGTTATGAAGGAAAAGAGTAACAAGGAGGCAACATACGCAATGCGAGAGTGAAAGAATCTCCAGGTGACAATCGCGTAGGCGATGGTGCACAAGGGGTTGAGCATCATCACCTGTGTTCCCACGGACCACAGAAAGAAGCCGGCATAGCCAGGATGGCGAAGGAAGCTGGAGCACAGGTCAGTGAGACGGGCGCGGCGGCATGAATTCTTCGATCACGCACCTGTAAATCCCGTGCGTGACGAGGATGTGATTGTCATGGCGGCGAGTCTTGATGTCGTGAGTGAAGCCATTCCACGCGGTTAGAATTCCCGCCTTGCGAATCATCTCCCCCGCGACCACGAGAGCGAGGCCCGCGTTGCTCATCCACGGGTGCTCCTTGATTCCTGGAACCACCAAGCTCTCCGCAAGATGCTCCAGAACGCCCGCAGCCATGGCCACGAGGTAGTCGCGGCTAAAGAGGAACGCTGCCTGTCTACTAAGTCAACGTGCTTGCGAAACAAGGGAATCTTACACTTCCAGGAGACGTGATGGCGGCCATGGATGAGCAACGCGAGGGCGAACTCGGAGCTGTGGAAGAAGGAGAGCACACCAACGAGGAGGGCGAGCTGGTGGATCATTCTATCGCCCTAGCGTACTGAGCTAGCCCTACTGGATGGATGAGCTGGACGACCACTAGTAACACGTGGTCCTGTCTGGCAAGCACGATCACTGTTGTTGGCCAAGCACCATCACTGTTGTTGGCCCAAAGAGTTCCAATCCATTTGGAGTTTGCCCGCATCACAGCACTAGCTAGCAGCATGGCAAGTTCCCTGGCGCCATTGGGGCTGGGAGCGGCAACAGGGGACCACAACGCGAATGCTTGCAAGGCCACCTTGCTCCGCTCGTCTTTCTGCACGCCCAATCGCCTTGCATCCTCTTGGATCCGCTTGGTTCCCTTGACGGCGAGATCAGCTGCCATTGTCCCCTCACCCAAGTGCTTCTTTGGGATCTTCTCTGGGGACAAAGGTAAGAACTGAAGCTCTCTTGTCCGAATATGTCTGTGTGTCGGATGGATTGGCCGCAGCGCAGCAGCCGCGTGAGGTGCAAACCCTGTCCGTGTACGAGATCAACGAGCTGGACAGGGGCAGCCCCGTGCTTCTCAAGGGGGACAAAGCCAAGCCAACCAATGCGCTGGGCGACCTGGTTCCTTTCTCCAACAAAGTAAGCCCGCTACACGAACTTTGCCTCGCTCTTGATGATGTCCATGGCAGCTCTACGATGGTTGCTTGGAGACGCGGCTGGGGATCACTGCTGGCCTGTGTGTGCTCATCAAACACGTTCCTGGCAAAGGAGATCGATACGAGGCCACCTACAGCTTCTACTTCGGGGACTACGGCCACATCTCCGTTCAGGTATAGATCCCTCTTCCGGATGAATATGGGTTGTGATGGAGAGCTGGAATCAGGGGGCCTACATCACGTACCAGGATACGTACATGGCGATCACCGGCGGGAGTGGCATCTTCAACGGGGCTCGCGGCCAGGTGAAGCTGCAGCAGATCATCTTCCCGACCAAGCTCTTCTACACCTTCTACTTGGAGGGCATCGCCAAGCTTCCGGCGCAGCTGACCAAGCCTCACGTTGCTCCGGCCAAGCACGTCGAGCCATCCCCCTCGGCCCGTCAAGGGCAGTCCGTTGCTCCAAACTTCACAGATTAATAAGTGTGGCACATTAAGCAATGCGATGTATTTAAGCAGTGATCCCACTGAGGCACTGCCCTAGATTTGCTCTGCGCAGCTGAGAAAGAGGTACGCTGGGCTACACAGATTGATATGCGCGCGACATGGCCAAGCAGCAGCGCGCCGACAAGCGCTCCGCCGTCGTCCCAGCGGCGATCTGCATTGGCGTCAGCTTCGCGCTCGTGGCCGCCTGGATGCTGCTTGCTCCCGCCACGCCCCAGCGCGTAGCCACGCTTAGATCTGGACCACCTCTCCTCAACAAGGTGGCCGTTTCGGGGGCGAAAATTGACACACAAGTCTTTGAGGATTCCAGGATTGATGGCGACTCGGAAGCGTCAGATCCGGAATCCAGGGGGTCGGACAGGGAAGCTGAGGAGGCAGCTCACTCCGACGGGGATGCCGAGCTCACAGTGGAGAACAAGGAGATCGACGGCAACTTGGCCACTCAAGCCGAGGAATCACAGGAGGAGAAGGAAGAAAACCAGAGGCTAGACAGTGGCTCCTTGGAAGTCCCACACTACGACTGGAAGCTGTGCTCGTCCGCTGCTGGATCCGACTACATCCCATGCCTGGACAACGTCAGGGCCATCAAGAGCCTCAAGAGCACCAAGCACTACGAGCACAGGGAGAGGCACTGCCCCCTTGACGAGGGGAGCCGCTTGTGTCTAGTGCCGCTTCCGGACGGCTACCGGCCTCGCATTCCTTGGCCCAGGAGCAGAAGCGAGGTAACCAGCTCTTTGTTTCTTACGCTACCTCTACAATCTTATAGAGTTGTTTGGTTGCAGATCTGGTATTACAATGTTCCACACACGGGTCTAGTCTCGTACAAAGCTGACCAGCAGTGGGTGATGCGCAAGGATGACGTGCTTGTCTTCCCCGGCGGAGGGACACAGTTCAAGAAGGGCGCGACGCGATATATCGAGTTTGTGGAGAAGGTACGCTCGATATATCTTGCTGACGGTGCCAGCTGAAGATGATTGTCTGCAGACTCTGCCAGCCATTGCCTGGGGAACGCACACTCGTGTTGTTCTGGATGTTGGTTGCGGTGTGGCTAGCTTTGGGGGTTACCTGTTTGACAAGGACGTGCTTACCATGTCTTTCGCTCCCAAGGACGAGCACGAAGCGCAGGTCCAGTTTGCGCTGGAGCGTGGAATCCCCGCAATCTCAGCGGTGATGGGAACAACGCGGCTTCCTTTTCCTAGCAATGTTTACGATGCAGTACACTGTGCTCGCTGCAGAGTACCATGGCATGTTGAAGGTGAGCACGTCTTGACTCTCGGGCATGAAATCCAACTCGGCATTTCAGGCGCCAAGCTGTTGTTGGAGCTCAACAGGGTTCTTCGCCCCGGAGGGTATTTCATCTGGTCCGCCACCCCTGTCTATCAACACGAGCCTGAGGACGTTCAGATATGGAAAGGTGCTTGTTTCTGTGCGACTCTCGCTTCTTCTAACCCGTGGCTGCGAGTATTACAGAGACGACTAGGGCGGCATCGAAAATGTGCTGGAAGAGGCTGGCTAGAACCAAAGATCCTTTGACTGGTATCGGGGTAGCAGTATTTCAAAAGCCGTGGGATGATACATGCTACCGTCAACGATCTGCCAGTGAGCCTCCAATCTGTGAGAAGGAGGACTCCCCTGATGCTGCATGGTATGCTCTTTTCTATTTCCTGCTACTCCTGGTAGTAACCTTATCCGAACTGCACCATGACAGGTATAATCCTCTTGGAGGGTGCATGCATGAAATTGGAAAAGCTCGTGTAGACTGGCCTGACGCGTGGCCAGGGCGGCTGGAAGCCACTCCAAAATCTCTCCACGGTCCGTCTGCAGAGGAGTTTGCTTCCGAGACCGAGCATTGGAAGGGTGTTGTTCGCAACTCGTACGAGAAGAACGTTGGAATCGACTGGGATGGGATAAGGAACGTAATGGATATGAGAGCGGGTTATGGCGGGTATAGTCTCCTTCCACCTTTCTCTCTTCCTTTGTAAGCGTTTTTAAGTTTCTCTCCTGCAGGTTTGCAGCTGCCTTGGCTACTCTGCCAGTGTGGGTGATGAACGTGGTTCCTGCAAATGGCGAGGATACGCTACCGATTGTTTTTGATCGAGGTCTTTTCGGGATTTACCACGATTGGTGTGAGTCCTTCAGCACGTATCCGAGAACCTACGACCTCCTCCACGCGGACGGTTTGTTCTCGCAGCTGGGAACAAGGTAATCCGTTTCGTTTCTTCTTGCAAGTTCCTCGTTCTTTCGTTTTCTTCCTCTTTTGGCTTTCTTCCTTCTAACAGCAGTGTGGCTTCTTCTTGCAGCTGTAACGCCAGTCATGTTTTGTTGGAGATGGATAGAATTTTGAGGCCGGAAGGCTGGGCTCTAATCAGAGACAAGCCAGAAGTTTTGAAGGAACTAGAACCGATCGTCAAGTCGTTGCACTGGGAGGTGAAGGTGCTCTCCTCCTCACGAAAGTCGTCACAGGAGGTGGAGGACCAGGAGGAGCAGCAACAGTTTGTGGCCGCTCAGAAGAAGATGTGGCGACCGGAGGCGAGCATTTGAGGTTTGAGGGGTTGTATGTATCATAAAATCGTCGTCATCACCATCATACAATACTTGATCGGGTGGAGTCCTAAAGCGTTTTTTGGCCGATGGAAAACTTGGCTCTCTGGAAAACTTGGGCTCTCTTCTACTCCTACTTGTAGCCGTAAGGATCCGGGACGAAAGATAGTGGTGCCGCGGAAGAGTCTTTGTAGTAGCCGAGGCCGGCGGCGTAGAGATGATCCGAGGGAGCGGGCGAGGATGAAGACGACGATGGTTTCTTGGTGGAGACGAGCAAGGATGGCTCGCCTCGTATGGAGCCCCTGTGGTCGCCTTCAATCTCCCGGTACTTGTGGAGGAAGAGCGAGAGCGGGTCGGCGTAATCGTCGAATCCGAGCTTGCTCATGGCCCAGAGGAGGTCCTCGGCGGTGATGGTCTTGCGCTGCTCGCGCTGGCATTTGTCGTTGGCCTCGCTGGTGATGAAGCTGATGAACTCGGACACGCACTCTTGGATCGTCTCCTTGGCGTCGTCGGAGATCTTGGCGTGCGCCGGCAGCACCTTGCGCATGATCCGGATGACGTTGGCGATGGGCATGAAGCGGTCCTGCTCCCGGATGCTGCTGCAGTTGGCATCGTCCGAGTTGCGGCTGTCTGTGCTCGCGGGACTCCCCGCGTCCGTCATCGTCGCCGCCCCTCCTACAAACGGAGAAAAGGCCCTATGATCTCTCTCAATCCAACTCGAGAATCTATCTCCAACTGGGTGATGCCGCTTACCTTCAGCGACACACGAAGTGCCGCATACCCGCCCGAAATCCGTCCCAAATCTGACGCTTGCTGCCACCCCTTTGCATGTTTATATGTTGCTTTGTTAAGATGCCATGTCAAATTAAGCAACACTCACACTTCCAAACTGCATGATACAGCTTTTACTAAGTATGATACGCTCGCATTTTTAGGGTTACACAGAGCTGGTTGTATGTGCTATGCGGAGGAGCGTCGCCGCAGCTCGAGGTATGCACAGCCACAAGGAGGCATTGCTCAGGAGATGGCAGTCTCTCACCGGGGATTGCGAGCCGCCGCCTGCCATGCTCGTCAAGCTCGTCGAGGAGACGGCTACCAAGATTGAGTCTCTCGGCCCTCCTCTCAAAGTCGAGGTGGTTTGAGTGGTTTGAGTGGAGTGGACGAGTAATACTGGAATTTTGCAGCTCGAAGAGGACAAAAGGCATCGTGCTGTTTATAGAAGCATTGCGGATTCGGAGCAGAAGCTGCAGTTTTTCTCTTCCCGGCAGATTGCGTGCCGGCTGCTGAGCGCCGATGGCTACCTGTGTGACGGGGTATGCGATCTTTCTCTCGCCCGTAATTTTTTTTTTTCTTGGTGCTTTGTCTATTTCTAGTGCTGGCTGCCTCGTCTGGAAGATTGCATCTGCAACAAGATCCTCAAGGCATCGCTGTGGCGCGGTATCAAGCTTTGGCTCTACATGCATCCCAAGGTAGTGTCGCTCCTTTCGTGTCGTTTCTTTTTACTCTCTCCGCGCTCTTCGTTAAAGGATTCAGCTTTGAGTGTGGGGCATGCTGTGCTATTTGGTATGAGCCTGCCTGCTGACTTGGCGTGATTCAAGTGACTCGTGCTTCTCCTGTGCAGGATTTCCTGAGGAAGAACAATACCGGGAAGCTGCTCTGGCAAACCTTTGGGTTTGAGGCGGTGAGGCTGTGCATATTTGGCGTGGAGCAGCAAGAGAATGCCATGTGGAGCGCTCTTCAGCAGGCTGGTTTGTGGATAGATGGACCAGACAAGTATCACTCACTTATTGAGCTTTGCCTTGTGTGTACAGGCCACGAGAATGTGTGGTGTGTCTATCCGGGACGGGATGAAACTGGATACCGGGTCGACGAGATTCCAATTGCAGACGTGTTTGTGGAGGAGGCATCAAAGCGGTCGGAGGTAAAGCTGAAGGATACGTCGAGGGGGCATAACTCGAAATGCTTTATAGGAGGAGGCTGCGTGTGCACTTCACTTCATTTTGATGGATGGAACTTGGACCAACTCCAAGGCTATGCTCAGTCGCATCAACGTAAGCATATCTTTTCTCTTTTGCTTTGAGCACCTGTCCCTTCCCAGATTCGCGCCAATCGAGCATGGAACGATGCGGTCCCTTGCGTGACTTTAGAGCCACTTCTGCCCTCGGCAATGCATGCACTGAGGTAAAAGCTCCGCAGTGTCGATTTGTTTCCACAGCTAAAGCGCAAGCACTGGCAGGCCCCAGCCGTCCACTGAGAAAACTTGCACAGCAGCCGCCGCGAGTCAACTGCTGCGCGAGCTAAGCTCCCGCAGAGAGATGGCGCTGGTGGGGGCTCAACTCGAGGAATCGGCTCGAGTGATTGATAAGTCGATCACTTGTCTCTTCGATTCACTTGCCTGCCGACGGAAGCGTGGGGGCAAGCCACTTTGTCGGCTGCCAGCCCAGTTGCAGCAGCTGTGATGGAGGAGGAGCGAGGAGCTCTCGACTTGCTCTCTCGTCAGTGTTCGTTAGGATTTCCATTCGAGTGACAGAGACGGGGCTCCACTACCAAATATAAAAAACAAGGGGGTGATCATCTCCTCCTCAGTTGCAGTGGTGGTGTCATGCTCTTGCTATGGTCGGCTGGCTTTTTCCGGGGTGTGTCTGGCCACGTTTCACATTACGGCAATAGCCGGTGAAAGGTCTGCTAGCTTCAAGGCCAGGCGATCCGGCAGGGGGGAAATATATTCTTTTTTGCAACTTTTTTAACTCATGCTCATGTCATACAGACGGGCTCGGCCTCATATAGGATGGGCAGTCATTTGTTTTCTGGTGGACTGCGGCGCTCGCCATCCCTTCATCTGGTGGGAGGGGGCCGTCAGGGGATCCGGTGGTGCGGCTCAAATGTAGGGATGGATTCATTGGTTGGCACCTAAACGGCGGAGAGTGACGGGGCTCTCCTCCGGTTGGGTCCATCCAAGAGGGTGCGCAGGAATGGAGGCGACGACGACGATGATCGAGGACCTGGATCAGGAGGACGAGGACCTGGAGACATGGGGGGATTTGGCTCCCGAGCTTCTGACCAACGTGGTGGAGAGGGTGCAGCAGAGCAAAGGCCAAGCGAGGCGCGTGGTTGCAATGGCCGGGGTTTGCCGATCGTGGAGGAGCCAGATCCTTGGCTTCGTCCAGCGGCAGGGTAGCAAGGTTGGGGATTGGGCCGCTTCCGCCCCGCCTTCATGCCCAGTGATCGAGTTCCCGTGGAGACTGATGCAGCCGGGGCCTCGGGGTCATCATCCTCCGATCCAGTGCTTGCTCACGCGCAAGGGGAACCACTTTCTTCTGTACCAGACCCTCATGAGCAGTGGTGTGGACGCGTCGGATGCGGGTGCTCATGGCGACCACAAGCACTTCCTCTTGGCTGCCCGCCGGAGATGGCTCCCGACTGGATTCTCGTACATCGTCGGGAAGGACCCGCAAGATCTCATGGACAAGCAGGGCCCGGACACTCTTGGCAAGCTCAAGTCCAACTTTTGGGCGTCCGAGTTTGTGCTGTGGGAGAAGCAAGACGACGCGGATGACGACGACGGCAAGACCAGCAGCATTCCGGTGGTAAGCTTGAGATTTGTAGAGCATATAGTGAACGGGATCCGGCAGAGACGCATCCAGTGCGCTCTCCCGCAGCCATGCAAAGCTGGCGGCGGCCTCAGTTTTGTTCTCGAGAGGCGGAGGCTGAGGAACGAGCGCAGGCTGATGCCTGCGTCGGTCAGGTCGTGGCTGCTCACGTGGAGCTGTGCTTCCCCATATGCTAGCTTCAAGAGCTGCGGTAGCAGCAGCAGCAACAGGATCAGGCGGAGGAGTAGACGGTCGTCGATGCTGGAGATTGCTGCCACAAGCCGATCGGCTGCGGCGGCGGTGGCTCTCCCTCCGGCTGCTGCTGCTTTGATGCCGGTGATGATGCAAGCCGAGGGAGACGAGAGTGAGGTGGAGTCGGAGGGCTGCCATCACCTGGAGCTCCGGAGCAAAGTTCCTGCATGGGATGCCCAGCAGCAGTGCTGGTCGCTCGACTTCAAGGGCCGAGCAACGATGCCATCCATGCACAACTTTCAGCTGATTAGCGCCGACAGCAGCAGCAACAGCAACAACAACAACAACAACAACAACACGATAATCTTGCAGCTGGGCAAGATCGACAAGAACGTCTATACCATGGATTTTTGCTACCCGCTGTCGGCGTTCCAGGCGTTTGCAATCTGCCTGAGCAGCTTTGCCACTAGTGCGGGGCTTGAGCCGTGACGAGAGTTCTCGAGGCACAAACAAAGCAAATAAGTAAAGCGTTTTGAGTTTGAGGAGAGGGAGGTGAGCGAGCGAGTTAAAACAGTGAACTAGGAAGGGAATAAACCCAAGGTATGACCTTTCATCCGTGTTCGTAGCTAGCGAGGAATGGCTAGCCTCACGAAATTGAATCCGTCCTTGTTCTTCACCGCGCGTGGCCACCACCTCCGCCGCCATGCCTACTGTTGTTCCAGGCTTGCCTTGAGAGGCCCGAAGGGTGTCATAGCTGCTGCTGCTGCTGGGGATCCTCCTCCTCCCCCCAGTTCCAGGTAAGCCAGCGTATGGACGAATTTGTGAGCTCCTCCTTTCTTCTCTAGAGCAGATGCGGAGAATGCCGGCGTGGCGGGTTTCTGCATCATCGAAGGGCCAAACACAGTGCAGGATTTTGCAGCCATGGAGCTGCAGGAAATTCGTGACAACATCATGAGCCGCCGCAACAAAATCTTTCTGCTCATGGAGGAGGCGAGTGTGGGATTCGATTCTAATGGGTACGATGTTGAGCAAACCCGTGTGTTTCCGCAGGTGAGAAGGCTGCGGATCCAGCTGCGAATCAAGAACGCAGAGCAAGGAGTGGAAGATGACAGGGATACGCCCGAGTATCCATCGTCCATTCCCTTCTTTCCTCCACTCGTAAGTTTCGTCGCATGGAATCAAATCCAAACTCGTGTCTCTTTTCTTCCAGAAAACGGAGACCTTGAAGCTCTACTACGCAATTTGCTTCGGCCTCATCGCAAGCATCATGCTTTTTGGAGGCCTTCTCGCCCCTTCCGTGAGTTCTCTCTTCTTCTATTACGTGGCTTTTTCACCCTGAGCTCTTGATCTCCAGTTGGAACTCAAGCTGGGACTGGGCGGTTCTTCGTACAAGGATTTTATCCAGATGCTGCATCTTCCGCTCCAGCTCAGGTACTTAGCTGCGGCAGTAAACTCAAAAGGTGGTGTTTTTGCAAATCCAGCCAGGTGGATCCAATTGTGGCTTCCTTCTCGGGTGGCGCGGTGGGCGTGATCTCGGCTCTAATGGTGGTGGAGATCAACAACGTGAAGCAGCAGGACTACAAGCGGTGCAAGTACTGCGTAGGGACCGGCTACCTCGCCTGTGCGCGCTGCTCTGGAACTGGAACCGTCTTGATCCTGCCCGACACAGCTTCGCCAGAAGTGCCAGCAGCAGCAGGAGGAGGAGGAGGAGGAGGAGCAGCAGCAGCAGCAGCAGCAGCAGCAGCGAGAGGAAAATCGAAAATCCGCCGGACGACCACGCAGAGGTGTCCCAATTGCTCGGGAGCAGCCAAGGTGATGGACCTTTTTCTTTTGTTGTGTGTTTTCGTGACTTAAGCGGGGATACAGGTGATGTGCCCGACTTGCCTGTGCACGGGAATGGCTCTGGCCAGCGAGCACGACCCCCGGATCGACCCATTCGACTGAGATGTCGCTGGATATGCATTTTGGCTATATAATCTTAAGTGGGCCGACCTACTAAGTATGAAAATTTGTGCCAAGGGCTTGGCTAGGGCTTGGTGATCCATGGAGAAGCAGCTGCGGCTGCTGGCTGCCGCCGCGCTGTGTGGCGCGGCATTCTTCCTCCTCCTCGTGGATGCGTCGGTCCACGACTACTCCCACGGCCGGTTTGAAGCGCAGGGTAATGCTTTTGTCTACTTCGGCGGCAGCGAGGGGCTCTACGCATCGGCGCCGCGATCTGCCAAATCCGGGCTCGCCAATGGCCGATCGTACATCAGGTAGAGAAGTGGAATTCTCTCCGTGGAAATTCTGAGTGAGCGTGCTTGCGTGCTTGCTTGCTTGCACAGGTTTGATCAATCGCTTGTGTTCCGGCGCAAGGCAGCCGGCGGGAGTGGGCACTTCATCCAGGCTCTCGCGTTCGATGTGGCGGACAGGGACGATCTGGGCGGATCGGCCTACGTCGGTCGCCTGGATCTGTGCTGCAGCGCGGACCTTGCCAGGGAAGTTGGCTGCAAGGAAGGTGAGATCATCTACCGGAACTCCACCGACAACCCGAGCTCTCCGCGCGTTGTCCGGGTGGAATTCGACGAGTCCAGCACCCAGGCTCGGATGCCGGTCGAGGAGATTGTCATCACCAAGACGGGCATGTATCTGCTCTACTTCGTGCACTGCGATCCCGCGCTCGAGGCCGCCGAGGTGACCGGCAAGACGGTGTGGAAGAATCCGTCGGGTTACTTGCCCGGGAGGATGACGCCGCTGGTTCCATTCTACGCCTTGATGTCGGTGGCGTACCTGGCGCTGGGATTGGTGTGGCTCGTCCAGTACACGCGGTTCTGGCGAGACATTCTCCAGCTCCAAAACTGCATCACGCTCGTCATCGGCCTGGGCATGGCCGAGATGGCAACCTGGTACTTCGACTACGTCAACTTTAACGCCACCGGGAAGCGGCCGGTGGGCATAACGCTGTGGGCAGTCACCATTGGCGCTGTCAAGAAGACGCTGTCCCGCATCCTGGTGCTCATCGTCTCCATGGGCTATGGTGTGGTGCAGCCTACGCTGGGGGGTCTCACGTCCAAGGTGCTGTTCCTGGGTGGAACTTTCTTCGTGGCGTCAGAGTGCTTGGATGTGGTTGAGCACGTTGGACGGATCGACGAGATCTCCTACCGGGTGAAGCTGCTGCTCGTCTTGCCGGTGGCTGTCCTGGATGCCTTCTTCATCCTGTGGATCTTCACATCGCTGTCAAGGACGCTGGAGAAGCTGCAGGTTAAAACCAACGTTTGATTCTTTCTTTCCATCTCACATGTGTTTATTGATGCGCTCCAGGTGAAGAAACAATCGGCGAAGCTGGACCTGTACCGAAAGTTTACAAACTCTCTGGCCATTGCGGTGCTTGTGGCTGTAGCTTGGATAGGATTCGAGGTGAGTGTCTCTTTGTAATCACGGGAGTGATGACCGCTTCTTTGCGTGCGCAGCTGTATTTCAAGGCCTCGGATTCGGATGGGAAGCACTGGTCGAGCGCGTGGATAATCTCAGCTTTCTGGAACGTGCTCACGTTTTGCATCCTGTGCGTCATCTGTGCGCTTTGGGCTCCTTCACATAACTCTACGAGGTGAGTGAGCTATCTATCTATCTATCTATCGATGCCAAGCGGCGCTTGACTATGTTTGCTACTGATGCAGGTATGCCTACTCGGAAGAGATTAGCGACGACGGCGATGAAGAGTCCATTCCTCTCACAGCGTCGAAGATGACAATCCCGCCGGAGGCTGTGGGTGCTAACATCAAACCCGAAAGAAAGGAGAAGAAGATAGTGAGTAGCGACGTGTTTCGGCTGGACGAAGACAGTGAGCAGCAAGATAAGCGAGAATGAAGAATGTTCATACTGAAGAAACTTTTTTGTAACGAACGCGTTTAATTTGTTATGTTAAAACCTTGGCTTAGAGACGAAAAGGAAAGCCGAATGAAACGCACCACCTAGCGGAGGATGCTACGAGACACACGCACTCTGACATAAGCATCTTTCCTGCGGCCACAAAATATTGACAAAAACGAAGAAAGGCTGACAGCAGTGAGTGACTACTCTCCCAGCTCGCCGGAGCACGGATCTTCCCCGTTGGGCCCCCAACGGCGTTGATCGCCCCCAAGTGGTAGGCGTCGGGCCTTTTTATTTAACTCGCTCTCTCCTTTCTCTCTCGCTTGTAGGGAAGCTCTTTCTTGTGGCGATGGCTGCCGCTCCATGCGGTCTGCTACTCGTCTTGCTTCTCTTGGCCAGTAAGTGGAATCTCCGCTTGCATGCAAATCGCCCCTCTAATGTTTTGCCCCTGCTTTGCGTCGTGCTGACAGAAATCGCCACATCCGAGGACTCTCTAGATGCCATCAAAACTCTCAGGGACGAAGCCGTTGCCAGGCTCAACCAGCTCGGCAAGGTTGCGCCCTTGCCTATCATCTTTTTCGGTGTCTCGTTTGGATCCTAATCGCGCTCTACAATTCCAGACAAGTGATTCCAAGGAGTTTTTGGAGCGAACCTTTCTGAGCCCCGCCGCGATACGAGCAGGAAAGCTTGTGCAAGAATGGATGCAAGATGCGGGCCTCGACACGTAATCGACTTTTCCGGACATGTTTTGCAATGGTCCCTTTGTTTTTTGCCTTGTTTGTGTGTAGATGGATGGACGACATCGGCAACATTCACGGTCGGGCCGACGGTGCTAATGCGTCGGCGCCAGCCCTTTTGATGGGGTCTCATTTGGTACAGATACTTGGGGATTCCACTAGATTCCTAAGGGATTCTGATGAGATTCTCGTGCAGGATACCGTCATCGACGCCGGCAAGTATGATGGAGCCTTGGGGATAGTCTCGGCCATCGCCGCCGTCAAGATGCTCAATAGCAATGGCAAGCTCCGGAGCTACGTGCGTCCGATTGAGGTACCATGCAATTTGTCACTTCTAAATCATTCCTCCTGGCTTTTTGCTTGCAGATAATCGCGTTTTGTGACGAGGAGGGCGTTCGTTTCCAGTCCACATTCCTGGGAAGCGCTGCCGTTGCTGGGGTGCTCCGACCCGACATCTTGTCCATTCGAGATCGAAGGTGCTCTGCTCTCCCTTCCTCTTTTGCTACGTATACGATGTTGTTTGTGGTTCTGACTTTGAGCGTCATTCGTTCATTGCTTGCAGTGGTGTCACTTTGGAGACGTCTCTCAAAACACGCTCCTTCAAGGGGACCAGAGACAGCCTTGTGCAGCTCAGATATTCTCCGGAATCGGTGTGGGGCTACGTGGAGGTAAATTAAGCGAGACAAAGTGACAGAGAGTGGCTTGAGTAACTTTCGTCGCTGCTGCTTTAGGTGCACATCGAGCAAGGTCCGGTGTTGGAGGCCCGTGGGATCCCACTCGGACTTGTGGAGGCAATCGCGGGCCAGACCCGGCTCAAAGTACGTAGACAGCGCTTTCAGTGTATTTAGTCCATCCATTTTGATCACATGTATCAGGTGCGGCTGCATGGAGCACAAGGCCACGCCGGCACGGTGCCAATGGCAATGAGGAAGGATCCCATGCCGGGAGCAGCGCAAGCCATAGTTTCGGTGGAAAAGTTGTGCAGGGACAGCCCCACGCTGGCTCGAGTTCCCGGTGGAGGCCGGCTTGTGTGCACGGTGGGCGAGATATTTTCATGGCCCGGTGCCAGCAACGTCATACCTGGGGAGGTAATGAACAAGAGAAACACCGCCAGAAAAGAAAGAAAAAGCTTGATTTAATGGATTTGCTGGACCCGCCAAGCAGGTTGCGTTCACGATCGATCTCCGAGCGACGGACGATTCCCTTCGGGAGGAAATTGTGGGGGAAGTTGAAGAATCTATTCGCAGCATCTGCAGGGGGCGGGGACTGTCCTGCACCATCGACAAAATGGTAAAGTTCTTGCGTCGTCTAACAGTCGCATGTCGGTCCTCGGCTAATATTCTTTAGTGGTGGTACGTAGCATGAGGCCAAGGCTGTTGGCTGTGACAAGGATTTGATGGCTAGCTTAAAAGCAGCTGCTGAATCCACAGTTTTGGAGGTTCCTGGAGGAGGTGGTGTGGATGCACCGGCCGCGGACGACCTAGTGCCCAGCCTAATGAGCGGAGCTGGCCACGACGCAATGGCAATGTCCCATCTAACCAAGGTAGCTAAACGCTTTAGAAATTGTCATGGTGGCTTAGAGAATTCGCCTCATTTGTGGCAGATTGGGATGCTGTTTGTGAGGTGCAAAGGCGGGATCAGCCATTCCCCGGCGGAGAGTGTGAGTGACGATGACGTTTTGGCGTCCAGTTTGTCGCTGCTTCACTTCCTCAACAATCATCTCGAGCACGAGCAGCCAGCGCCAATCTAGGTCTAGTCCGAGTGATTTGTAAATAGCATTTGCGGGCGGTGCACATGCATGTTTGGATCTTTGTTTAGCGCTGATTCTTTCGCTTCTACACGAAAAAAGCTGACGTTGACCGATATTTGACTAGAGTCAAAGCTTTGCTCGCAATCAAAGAGGCCATGTGTGTTGTTGGAGGGGTGTGGCAGTAGAGTAGCGGGAAATGAGGGATTTCCCATCCAGCTGTGGTGTTACGGTGTCGTACCCTTCCGTGTTCCGTGCCTGGGGTGTACGACAGGGAGGAACAAAGTAGCAGTTAACAAGATAGATAAAGAGGGCAGAAGGCACTGGTATATTTATACTTGTTTGTTGTTTTGGCTAGCCTCCTAGGCACAGTGTGTGTGTGTGTGTTTGTGTCACAGCTAAAGAAAGGCTGTAGGAGCCTCTGGTTCTTTGGAGCGTCTTAAGCAAGAAGCAAGAAGAAGCCGCATTGGTTGGGGGCGATCAGCGATTAGCCATCCAGATGGGTGAATTGAGCCGCTACAGATTCTCTCGCTCCGTTTGCCACCGCATGGATCTGCTGAGCTTGTCCAGGGACGAGGAGGAAGGCCACGGGGAGGAGAGCCCCAGGAGCAAGTCAAAGATGAGCTCCGTGGCAGCAGCTCCAGCCCCTCCAGCTCCAGCGCCAGGGACTCCACCTCCGGTGCGCACCCAATCAGATCGTCGGCACAGTCTCCCAAAAGCGAGCTATGCCAAGTCCCTCTCGGGTCCACTGCCTGTGCTGGGCAGCGACGACGGTAAGTGTTCATCGCCGTCGGCTGCATTGCCATGCGGCGAGCATCAGCCCAAGCGAGAGCTCCGGCGCCTCGTGTCGTGGTCGCGCTACCTGGAGCCCCGGGGCGACGAGCAGGCCGTGGAGGCCGCTGAGGAGTGGATGATTGATCTGTCCAAGCTGCTGCTGGGTCCGAGGTTTGCATCCGGCGCGCACAGCCGCCTCTACCATGGCATCTACCAAGGCAAGGCCGTGGCTGTTAAAGTCACCCGGCACCCACAAGGCTGCGAGTCCGCCACCATTGGTACCACGACCCTGGACAAGCTCTTCGCGCGGGAGGTTTCCCTACTCTCGAGGCTCCGCCATCCAAACGTTGTCCAGGTGAGAGGCCTTGGAGTTTGTATGATGCCTCTCTCTCCATTCTCCATTCTTACACTAGAACGCAGCTCGTAGGCGCATGGAAGAGGCCGCCCGTGTGTTGCGTCGTGACCGAGTACCTGGCTGGAGGCTCGCTCAAGGACTTCCTCCGCTCCAACGGAGGCGCGGCGCTGCCGCTCCGGATGGTGGTGGACATGGCCCTGGACATCGCGCGGGGGATCCGATACTTGCACTCGCAAGGGGTGGTCCACCGGGATCTCAAATCCGCGAATCTGATACTCGACGACGAATTCAACGTCAAGATAACGGACTTTGGCGTCGCGGCCCTCGAGTCCGAGTGTGGCGACAGCGTCACCTCCGATGTTGGCACCTTCCGATGGATGGCCCCCGAGCTCGTCAACGGAAAGGCCCACTCGCGCAAGGTGGATGCCTACAGCTTCGCCATTGTGCTGTGGGAGCTGCTCACACGCCAGACTCCTTTCCAAGACATGACTCCAGTTCAAGCTGCCTTTGCAGTTGTCAACAAGGTACATTGCTGGTGTCTTGCTTTCCTTGTCGAGAGCCATATCTCATTTACTTTCTTGCAGAACGCAAGACCGGAGGTGCCGCGTGATTGTCCATCTGTTTTAAGTCAGCTCATGCAAAGGTGCTGGTCTCTGGATCCGCACGCGCGCCCTGACTTTGAGCAGCTCGTTGAAACTCTTGAGCAATTTCAGCTGTCAATGGAACGCAACTGGAGCAGCCGGAGCGATGATCCCCTTGAAAAATGGTAACAAAAAAGTCGAATGAGAAAACGAATACGAAAACTTATCTCTGACCAAGCCAAACGTTTGACATTCTCCTGGAGCGTCTAGCTGCGGGCCATCAATCTTTCTCATGTTCTATTATTCCGATCACGATCACACACACCTAGCTCAACTTGAACAAAAAAAGTGATCACTTGAGCAATGACTGCTTGATCTGCTTTCGGTTCAGCTCCCGCGACATCTTACACATTGTCATGGATGGTAACCTAACACAACGCAGTAAAGAAAAACTGGAACCCGGATACAAAATTCTGACGATGAAACATCCGCAAGGAAAAGCCGATGATGGCCATTATTACGTTCTCGGAGCTGCACAAAGTACGTGAGATGAGAATAGAATAGAAAAGGCTTTCTCGTTACCTCCTCCAATGGTGGCCTCGGGCAATCTCTCTATTGAGTACTTATGCTGAGTGATGAACATTATAGGCACGCCAGGAATCTACAGCGTTTACGTTTAGTAAAGCATTTTCGATTGCAATGCCTCACCTTCCGAATACGCCGCTTGAGATCACGATCGCATGTCGCTACAATGTAGCATTTGTGCTGTCATTCACCACCAAAAAAGCAACCGTCGGGCCTTGGACACAAAAAAAAAAAGATAAAAAGGAGTCCGCATACCTGAGTCACACGCTCAACCAAACAGTCGTCGGCATAAGTTCCTGGATGCGTACAAGGTATCCTTTTGAACTTTGGATCCTTGGCAATCCTACAAATCAAGCCTCAGCTGGAAAATACTACAAAGTTAAGTTCCACTTACTTGAGCGCCACGCGGTATTTAGTGCCAAGCTTCTCAAGTTCTGCCATGACACAGTCGGTAATGCACGGAGTACCTTGGAGTTAAAACCATGAGTTTGGAGAACAGGCTAAAGTATGCATGATCCAGTCTCACATTTTGCGTATAGGCAGTCCATCATCGCCTTTTCAAGGTCCAGCTGCGAAGGAACAACAAACACAGGAACAAATGTGAAGTGAGCAAAGGAAGAATGCGGGACTACCTTGTTCTGGATAGAGAAGTTTATAAAATTTGTGTCGACAAGCACATGGTAAGGTGGTCCAAGCGCTGTATTGTATTTAAAAAACAGAGCGGACGACACATTTGGACTGCAGCGATAGCAAAGAGGAAAAAAAACGAGTAGAAATCCTCGAGTCGTGAAAGAAGTGAGAGCTTACACATTTTTGACGAGTTTCTCCTTCGCCTTGTCCTTGTCCTTCTTGAATGGATTGAGCACTTCTTCCTTGTACCTGTGAGGAAGAAATGTGTAAGCTCAATCCTCTCAGGCGAGCTGCGAGTTCCAGGATCTCACTTACTTGCGAATCGCTTTCGGCTTGACCATAGATTTCATCTGTGCGAATTTGGGCGGCTTCGGCGCCTTCCCCATGGCTGCCACTGGCAGACCCCTAAAAGCCCTAGACCACGGGTTCGACTCCTGTCCAGCTCAAGCCCTGGAGAAAAGAAATATCTCAAACTGCCCTTCACAGGCCGTCGCGGCCGTCACGAGCAGAGGAAAGCAGAGGAGGCCGCTAGGGCTGGGGGTGAGCTGGAGTGGGCGGAGCTGGAGCGTCCATGGCAGTGGGCGCGGCGGCGTTGGAGGCGCTCATCCCTGGGGCAGCAAGCACAGCGGGTGAAATCAGGGTTTGATGGGGCGCAGGGTTGGATCGATTGGGGGCGCGTAGGAGAGGCTGCCTAGACAAGCCAGACATGGTAGGCGTAGATGTAGCACCTTGGCTGGCGTCGCTGCCCCTGGCGCCCGAGTTCCACCCCAGCGAGGAGGAGTTTGTGGATCCCATTGCCTACATTCTCAAGATTGAGCAGGAGGCCAGTCACTATGGTATCTGCAAAATCGTTCCCCCATACAGCCGGGCCCCCGAGAACACGGTGCTGTCCAACCTCAATGCGTCTCTCGCGGCCACCCAAGACGCTACCACTGCCGCCGCCACGGCTCCGGGATCTTGCTCCATCCACGCCGCCACTCCTCTGGCGCGTAGCATGTGTAGCGCCGTCGGGGGAGAAGGAGACGCTCGGGTTGTCATGCCGCAGAGTGTGGATTCGACGGCGAAATTCACGACGAGGAGGCAGCAGCTGGGATGGAACCCGAGGAGACCGCGCGGGGGATCGCAGTACAGAGCGCAAAAGCAGGTCTGGGAGAGTGGCGAATACTACACACTGGAACAGTTTGAGGACAAGGCCAAGGCCTTCTCCTCTACCACTCTCGGCCCTGGCTGCGACGACTTGAGCCCGCTGGCAGTGGAAACACTCTTTTGGAATGCCGAGTTCTCCAAGCCTATATCCATCGAGTACGCAAACGATATTCCAGGCTCTGCGTTTCTAGACTCGGGTGCTGGAGCTTTCCAAGGAGAAGATGGCCGAGAGCTGGCCGGCAGTGGGTGGAACATCCGCAACATTGCCCGCTCCCACGGCTCGTTACTCAAGTGCATGCCGGATGAAGTCCCTGGCGTCACCACTCCAATGGTGTACCTTGGTATGCTCTTCAGCTGGTTTGCTTGGCACGTCGAGGACCACGAGCTCCACAGTCTCAACTATCTGCACACGGGTGCTCGGAAAACGTGGTATGCGGTGCCATCGGATGCAGCCTGTGCTCTGGAGGAAGTCATTCGTTTGTATGGCTATGGCAGCCGCTTGAAGCCCCGAGGTCTGTCTCTCTATAAAATTGTTTCAGGCTGACGATCACTTTCTTTCTTTTTGGCAGCCGCGTTCACTCTTTTGGGAGAGAAGACGACTGTACTCTCGCCCGAAGTCTTGGTTGCCGCGGGAGTACCATGTTGCAGGTAGTCAATGATTGTCGATCGCTACCCAGATGCCAACGTTTCTTTTGTAATGTTAGGCTCGTGCAAAATCCGGGAGAGTACGTCATTACGTTTCCAAGAGCTTACCATCTGGGCTTCAGTCATGGTTTGTCTGTTTGTAAAAGTTTCTGTACATGACGTGAATATCTCGTACGTTTGACTTTCAGGTTTCAACTGTGGAGAGGCTGCGAACTTTGCTACACCTGCGTGGCTGGAGGTTGCGCGCGAAGCAGCAGCAAGACGAGCATCTATGAGTCATCTCCCAATGCTCTCACACGAACAACTTCTCTACTTATTTACAATGTCGCTTGCGAAGTACGTGGTGGTGTCCGTTTCTTATCCCTTTGCCTCTAAATGCGTAGTGGCTTGACAGGAGTCCAAGCAGCCCGCAGCTTCAACTATCGACATTTAAGGTTGAAAGCGCGGTAAAGACGGCTTTTGTGAACGAAGTTAAGCAGAACAACACGGTCATTGCCAAGCTGCTGGAATTTGGAGTGGAAGGATGCGTCTTTTTGAGAGAATGCAAAACACCTGGCACTCGTCCACAGGCAACGGCAGCTGAAACAATGATCGCGTCTCAGGCTTGCGAAACTGAAACGCAACAGACAAGTCATTCTGACACTGGCTCGCTCCACGCAGAGAAAAACAACGACAAGCCTTTCTCCGTGGAAAGTAAATCTTTCTCGCCAGATAGATACGGAAATGCGAACGAAGCATCTCGGATAGCTCCTTTGCCTACTCCGTGGGGTGCACTACCTTGTGCAGCCTGTGGAATCTTATGCTTTGCAAGCATGGCTTTGGTGCAACCGACGGCAACTCCAACTTTTTCTTATCGCCAGCGCAAGCAGCCGCAAAAGTGCCGTACGAGTCAGGCAGGAGTTTTGCCACCTTCCAGCCTCGTGGACGTTTCCGACATTCCGAAGGTAGACACGGGGTCAATTCAGAAAAAACTGTCTCATTTTTCAGGTAAGCCCGATGTTCAAGTCCTTTGTGAAATTCATATCTTTTGTGTTGCAGGAATATGCCAACTAAACAGTGCGCACGAAGAACCCGATGCCGGGGACTGCGACATGCTACCCGAACTGAGCTCCCTCTCCGATGACAACATCCCAGATAGTGAAGCGCTCCAGAAACTCCTGAAAGTTAGAACCCGTTTGACTCGGCCTTCTCTCGAGCTATTAGCAGAGATGTACAAGGATGATCTGAAGGAAGACATCGAGCAGTGTGGACCCGATGTTCCTCCTGATGCGGTCATAAGTACGGATGAGGTGGGAACATCTGTCGACGCACCGTGGCTGGTCCTTCGAGATGAGCCATGTGTCGCAGACTCGGACCAGGAACTTCAAAACCAGGCAGTGGTGGAAGCTGGAGCAGGCCGGTCGCTGTCGGCAATATTTGTTTCGAAAGGCTTGTGGTTCGGAGAAGAGCCAACGAAGGATCTTGATATATTGGATAACGCGTCGGCCACTGCTACGAACGTGACAGAATGTGATAGTCACAGAGAAACGGAAATTCCTGTTGTTCAAGCTCCAGTCTGTAGCTTCAACTGTGAATCCAACAACATTTTCTCCACCAACGAACTAGACGAAGATTGTTCCGCGGTCGAGGTCGACGCTGCAAATCCGATCCTTTCTTGCTCAAACAACGAGGCAGATGTGGATAAGACAATTGGAGCATGGAAGTTCTATAGGGGCTCTGCCCGACCTTATGTCTTATGCCTTGAGCATGCGGTGGAGGCTGTGACGAAGCTACAACCCCTTGGTGGAGCAACTGTTCTTGTTATCTGCCATCCAAGTACGTTACTGTATTTTTTTAACTTTTGTTTCAAGTCTGTCTTTCAGATTATGGTTCCATTCAAAGAAAAGCAGAAGAGCTGGGTCAAGGAATGCACGCCATTTTCAACTGGCAGCAGATACCTTTGCGCGAGGCATCTGAAGCAGAAGTCGAGATAGTAAACAAGGCAATCCATTTGAAGATAGACAACAGCCTTGGCTGGAACTGGTGTGCGAAGATGGGGATTGGAAGCAGAAGAAATAGGAAAGGTACTGCTGGTATAGTGAGCTCGGAAGTGAGATTAGAACAGGAGGATCGAAAAACAGAAGCTGAGGCTGAATCGGAAATACCTTTAACAACGAAACCCGAAGCGGAAAAGAAAATGATTTGGTGCGGAAGGCAGTGGAAAGCAAGTCAGGTGCATCCACTGTTAGGGGGTGGAAAAAGTGCTGCACATTTACTGAGCCAAGTCTTACGAATCCAGAAACGTTTGCAGCCGGCTATGAAGATTAGAAATAGTTTTCCTGGACTATCTAGTCAACCATTGAAGAAGTTGAGGAAAGACGGTTGGGAGCAGCAGGAAAGAGTAATGACAGCAGCTATTTTGCGGAAGTCAAAACGAAATGCTGTCGCCCGGGAAGGAAGAAAGAAAAGACTAAAGTTTGATGGTTTACAAGCCCGGCTACAACAAGCTCAGCATGGCGTTTGCAAGCAGGCTGTGTTTTCGCTAGAATGCAACTCTAGTGAAAACCAGCAAAATGACCAAGGTACGCATTTTCTTTTTGATAGTTGCGGGCTTTCTGAAGGTTTTTTTTTCATTTTATTTCTCTAGATTCGACGAAGAATCACGGAGGAACGAACGTACAAGGGTGGCTACTTACTACTTGTGAGACCTCGTTTAATCCGGCTAGTTCCTCGACAGGGTGCCAAAGAAACTCAGATTTTGACTCGGCCGAGCTGGTTAAGTGGCACGATGTTCCAGTATCGTGTTCTCCGTCGTTAGGCCCTCCCATGCAAGCCTATGAATGGTCGAGTGACATATCTCCGAATGGCATATGCAGCACATCTCAACAGGACACCGGTTTTGACGAGATGCAAGAGTGGGATCAGAGGCCAGCCGATCGAGCTAGAAAGCTGGTTGCTCGTTTGAAGAGGAGGAGTGGCGACAGTCAAATGCTGGTGTTGTCGAAGAAAGCCAGGATAGAGTGCGTAGAAAACTCAGACGAGCTTAACAGTCTCATGGAGGACATTCCGGACAGCGTCTCGGGGCTAATTGCCACTGACGCGTATGCCGACGAGTCTGAAGAGGACGGCAAGGACGATGAGGTTGTGGTGGACGAGAGTGCTAGTGACATTGACGAGTACTTTCTGAGGAGCGGAAGTGCTTCCGACACCTCTCCTCCCAAGGCGCTGCCGTGCTTTGCTGCAAGCAGGAAGCGGTCTTCCAGCAAGTCGCGGGTGAAGCGTGCAACGTGGGAGAATCTGCTTAACAGGCTCGCTGCGCCAGCCGAAGAAGTGGCGCTGATCCAGAACCAGGACTCGTTCCCTCTCTCGTGTGTCACGGAAACGGGCTGGGAAGGAATCGAGTGTAAGTAGCACATATTGTTGTGGGATTTGCATGACTGATGGTGAGCATGCAGGTGGTACTTACCGGAGCAAGAAATCTGAAACGCCGCAGGGTGGTAAGAAAAGGGGAGGTGGCGGGAAGAGAGCAAAGGCAGCAGGAGCAGCGGCGGCGACGACGACAGCAGCAGCAGGAAATGGTGGTGGTGGGAACGTGGGTGTGGTGGCGGCGGACGAGATGGACGACGCAAACAACCCGTTCCCGTGCGACGTAGAGGGGTGCACGATGAGCTTCAACTCGGAGCAAGAGCTGGCGCAGCACAAGAAGAACAAGTGCACGTTCAAGGGGTGCGGCAAGCGCTTCTTCTCGCACAAGTACTTGGTGCAGCACCGGCGGGTTCATATGGACGAGAGGCCGCTCAAGTGCCCGTGGCAGGGATGCACAATGTCCTTCAAGTGGGCGTGGGCGAGGACGGAGCACATACGAGTCCATACCGGCGAGAGGCCGTATTCGTGCCCCGAGTGTGACAAGACGTTTAGATTCGTGTCCGACTTTAGCAGGCACAAGCGCAACACGGGTCACGCCAGAGCGTGAAGAACACACAACACACAAAAGGAAACAAGTCGCCAACTTTTTTACACATGCGAGGTAATGTTTCTTCCTCTGATCGTGGAGTTCGTCGATTTGTCATTGTTTTACTCTCCCATTCATTCGCTGGAAGAAAGAGATTCTTGGGAGCTGTGATCTCCTCCTTGTATACTAGCTGACGGGAAATATATAAAAGAGTGTCGCAAGGCACACACAGGGTGGCGGACAAAGAAATGTGGGTTTGTGCCTCCTCAATAGTTAGCCGGCGATATAAACAAAACACCACTATAAAGCTGCGGTGTTTGTTTGTAGGGCTCGAGTGATGGCTGGAGCGGTGATGGAGCTGAGCAGCGGCCACAAGATGCCGGCATTGGGGTTGGGCGTGTGGCGAGCGGAGCCGGAGGTGCTCAAGGAGATCATCCCGCGGGCGCTGGAGCTGGGGTATCGCCATTTCGATTGCGCTGGTCAGTCATTTTCTCTTTGTGGAAGAAGCTAGGCCTGTTTCTCAAATGTCTCGCCCTGGCAGCCGACTACAAGAACGAGGCCGAGGTTGGCGAAGCTCTGGCGCTCGCGTTCAAGCAGGGGCTTGTCAAGCGGGAGGATGTTTTCATCACAACCAAGGTGGGAAGGAAGAGCTCGAGCGCTGTATTTCTTAACTCTCTTTGTTTGCCGCAGCTGTGGAACTCCGATCACGGGCATGTGAAAGAAGCGTGTCTGGATAGCTTGAAGAAGCTGCAGCTGGACTATTTGGATCTTTACCTCATACATTTCCCGGTGGCGACAAAGCACACAGGCAAGATGGATGCTTTGCGTGAATTTCCGTATGCGAATCGTGTATGTATGTAGGTGTTGGGACGACGGGCAGTGCAGTAGGCGAGGATGGCATGCTGGAAATCGACGTGACCATTTCTTTGCAATCTACCTGGCACGCCATGGAGGAGCTTGTGGAAGCTGGTATCGTTCGCAGCATTGGGATAAGGTGTGTGATCCTTGCGCCATGAGTAACTCACGCTGGATCATTTTGCAGCAACTATGACATATTTTTGACGGCGGACTGTCTGGCCTACTCCAAGATCAAGCCGGCAGTGAACCAGATCGAGACCCATCCTTACTTCCAGAGGCACGATCTTGTCAAATTTTGCCAGAAGCACGGCATTGTTGTCACTGCCCACACTCCTCTTGGTGGCGGCGCTGCAAACGAGGAGTGGTTTGGATACAAAAGTCCTCTGGAAGATCCGCTCTTCCTGGTATGTGAAAAAAAAGCAAACCTTTGTTCCATTCTTTCTTCCAAGTTACAAACTTTGTGTGTTTCAGGAACTGGCAAAGAAGTATGAAAAGACTCCGGCCCAAGTTATGCTGCGATGGGGTCTTCAGAGGAACACAAGCGTGATACCGAAGTCGAGCAAGGCCAAGCGTTTGGAAGAGAACATCGACATCTTTGATTTCCAGCTCTCTGACGAAGAAATAAAGAAGATCAGTCAGGTGGACAAGAAGCTCCGAAGCAACCAGCCTGCAAGGTTCTGGGGGATCGATCTCTATGCTTGATCTCCTTCCTCGGCTTGTTCCAAAATTTTTAGTATACGCCGGACTTGTTTGAGCACATTACTGATGCCTTCTCGTTTCCTGAAAAAAGAAAAATAAAAACTTTGAGCACGTCTTTGAGCAGTTCATTCTTGCTTACAGTGCACTGATGCCAACAACAGCCGCTGCTCGAGGATAACTTCTGGCAGTTTGATCATCATCTTGCATGCTTGGGACATCTGGTACTTCCAGAATTCGTTGCTTGATCGCTTCTACACGTCCCTTTTCCTGTAGAGCCAGCATGTGTTTTTACGGCTGGAACAAGAGAATAGAAAGGAGTTACTTGTATCAAGTCGAGCTTGTTCAGCACAACAATGTGAGGTCTGTCCAAGTACTCCGGATTATACATGCGAAGCTCCTGCAATGAAAAAGTATTGCTCGTCAAGTTGCTAGCAAGCACCACTCGTGTACCTCACAGAGGACTTTGTAGTCCTCCACGGGATTGTCAGCTGAAGCGTCCACCACATGAAGAATCAACCTTGTCCTTCGTAAGTGGCGTAAAAACATGCGTCCAAGTCCCTGTTTGCACATCACTCGGTGAAACAACCCAAGGAAAGAGATGTTTTGAGCTTCGTACTTTACCAAGGTGTGCATCTTTAATCAGCCCCGGAAGGTCCGCCATCGTTGCTCCACCGCACAAACCTCCATCAGGTGTCTCGGGATCGCCTTGAAGTCTTCCAAGGTTTGGCATCAAAGTTGTAAATGGATATGCTGCAATGTCTGGCCTAGCTTGCGACACTGCAGCTAGTAGTGAAGACTTCCCTGCGTTTGGCAGTCCCTTGGAAAGGAAATTCCGACTTAAAAACAGTGCTCGTAAACCATGAAATTTATTACCACTAGTCCAATATCAGCAACGACTCGTAGTGTCAGCTCCAGAACAAGCTCTTCACCTGGGACACCTTTTATCAGCGTCTGCACGATAGTTAGCTCAAGCTGGAGATTGCATAGAATGACAGACCTTGTCCCTTGGATCAGTCACGATTGGTGCTATTAACTTTTGTGGTACTTTCCTGCTGACCGGGTTGTTCAACATGCTCATCTAAAGGTGCACGTAAACATAAGAAAGATGAGAAAATGGAAAAACTCACTCCTCCACGGCCTCCACGAGCTACAAGAATTTTGTCTCCTGGTTTGGTTAAGTCGGCCAAGAGCTTGGAGCCTGTTTTCTGCTTCACAACAGTCCCTGAAAAATAAAAAAGAAAAAAATGAACACTAGAAAACCATAGATAGCTTTCCTTACCAACAGGCACGTAGAGCTTAAGAGTTGGAGCAGCACCAGCATCGCGGAGTCTGGGAGTCAAGATTTTCACTGCACCCACATCGGAGCCCCGCCTCGCATTGTATCTCTTCTTCTTATGAAACTCAAGGAGCGAGTCCGCAGTCTCGTCGGCAGCAATCACGACGTCACCACCATGACCACCCATTGGGAGTAAAATCGAGCCGTCTGGAGCCTTGCGAAGAGGTCCCCAGTTGAGCTTCTTTCTCTTCTTCGCCTCCTCCTTATCCGCGGGAGGCTTTGGCATGCTGAGGATGGCTCCATCACCTCCATCACCGGAACGCACGATGATAGTTACTTGGTCGAAATACTTGTGTGGTTCTTTCTCCAGGTTTGCAGGGACCACTTCCTTTGTAGCCGCAACCGAGTAGACAACAAATGACCCTTTGGAACGCAGACGAAGCCCGACCCCTTGTCTCGTCCAGGCTCCTCCGAATTCAATCAACACTCGTCTACCTGAGAAAGTCTTCAATTAGCAAAGCTCAGCATTTGAAAACCCAAAGTACCTGGAAGCGATCGCGAGGACCCAACCGTAAACGATGATGAAGAAGGCAGGCCCAAGCTCGCCATAGCCGCTTTCCTAGCGAGATAGGTACAAAGCAGTTAAACAAAGATTACATTAGTATACACTCATCTCGTCATGCACAAAAGCAGGGGCGAGGTTAGTCTAGATTTCAGAACGTGTCTACGGTGACCCTCCTCCGCTGGACATTCTTTCCCACGTTTTGTTTTTGCAAGTCCATGAATTCAGATCCCTTGTTTGCAAACAGCCTGCGGAGGTTGATAATTGACAGTTCGTTGAAGCTGCTCACTGCAAGATCTGCTTGAGTCAGCTCGTAGCTGATTTACACGAGTCGACCAGTGAGATACATGTATGCAAGGAAATAAGAACTTTCAACTTACGCGGGATGCGGACCAATCAGTGCGACAGCTTTCATGGTACAGTTATGAGCAGCGGTGATTCCCCTTGGATCGTCTTCAAAAACAACACATTTTGCTGGGGGCCTGTCCAGCTGCAAAGAAATAACTTCATAATATGGAAACTGAAGCGGTTTTAAGTACCTTCACAGCAGCCGACAGAAACTTGTGCGCGATGGAGTCCATTCCATCCTCTTCTGTGACAACTGCCTGGACTCAACAACGATTGTATTAAAACCATGCACGTCTTGTCTAAAAGGCCTCACTCACCTGGAAGTACTTGTCGAGACCCATTCTGACGAGTGCATCCAACAAGCTAATCCGATCCAATGTGGACGCAACAGCACAAGGAACTCCCGCTGAATAAAGAGCTGCCAGCCATTCTCGTAGGCCAGCCATTGCCTCAACCTGCAAACAAGCACGGTGTTCTCATTCCGTTTCATGACAAACTGCGAACCTTGGATAGCTCTTCACAGTATATTTCTGATAGCCGATTCATCAATCGCCATATATCATCGCCATGCGCCGCCCAAGCTAGCTGGGAAAACAAAGTTACATTTCACCTCGTCAGACATTTTTCCTTTAACCCACCCTTTCCAGGACACGCTTGGCGCTATTACAAACAATCAATCGCCGCTTCTCCGGATCATCTCCAATAATTTTTCCTGCAAAAAAGCCGTTGTGGTGAAAACAAAAAATCGATATGAAAAAAGAGACCTTCCTCCTGCGCAAGTCTTTCCCAAGCTCTTAGTCTAACACTTCTCGTATCTGCCTGTAAAAACAGAAAAGTAACGTGAAAAAAAAAATGGAAACAAAATCATACATACCAAAACATTGTCCCAGGAATATATAAGTCCGAATGCCTGGTCTGGTTTTAATGCGTACTTTATCCTTTGGAGACCTCTCTCTTGCATCCTATCATTCAAATAATCCTGCACAAAGCTCACGAAAGAGCTGCTGAAGAAACATCACAAAGAAAAAACTCAAGAGGGAGCTCCTAACCACATCCACATGAAGAGGTGCCCGCGGCCTATAGCCGGAAAAGCCCTCGCCATACTCGGCACCGATTTCCTACACACACAACAAAATTGGAGCAAAATATCCAAAAATGCGGGCTCTCTACCTCATCTAGACACAAGGATCGAGCAAAATTTACTTGATGCCGGGGTCTCCTCCCCAGAGACATCTGCCACTGCGATCGTATTCTCTGTATGTTGCCACAATTCTCAATCTATTGGCATTCACTCGATGATCGATTCAATCGCTTACCGGATTGGCGCTGGAGCAAGCGGCTCCACATCTGCCGCGAGAGGAAGATGAAGCTGGAAGACACGATAGCGCTTCCATGGCTCCAACAAGCCCTAAGCTCTGAGCTCACATCCAAATAGAGCTAGAAATATTATGTAACCTTGTTTATAAATCAACGATTGGTGACTTTCAAACAACAAAGAGAGTTTGTTGTTTGTTCGTCAAATCCTTTATGGTTTGCCAAGCGCTGCGGATGCTCCCACGACGATCGCCACTACAACTCCAAATCCAGCGCCGAGCGCAGCTCCCAGCGCTGCGGCAGTGCCATTCCCAGATTTTCCATGAACAAAACCAATCCTTTGCTGAGGAACTTCTCTTCTCACTTGCTCTTCCAGCGTCGCTCTTTGAAGCTCCTGAGAGGTAAACACAGCCGCGGCGAAGTTAGAAAACCAAAAACGAAGAAGCTACAAACCTCGAAAGCGGCTTCTTCTCTCGTCAGCAAGACACGATGCACGAGAGCTCGTAAGTTCTTCACGCCTTCAACTGGAAGGACCTCCTCCTTCCTTCGAAATGGCATCTGGACGAGGTTTATGGGAGCGGAGATTATTCTCTGCGCCGTTCCTGGGACTTTGTCACCACCAGAGTTGCTTTGCAATAGGCTCTCGGACGTTCCACCACGGCCGTGAACAGTGTAGGGGCACGAGTTGACAACCACTGTCAAGTCGGGAGTGGACTTGTACGCATCCATGGCTGCAACGCTTGCAAGCTGACGCCGGTCGGCACTCACAGCGAACTTGTTCGTGAGAGCTAAAACGAAAGGGACATCAGCAGTAGTGATCTCGTCCAGGAGGGTGCCGAGAGCTGGTCGAGAGTGATCGACAGCCTGTTGTCGCAGCCTGGGAATCTTGTGAGCCAGATTGTGCACAAGAACTACCAAGTCAAGGCTTTTATACGGATCCGCTCTCGACAACTCATTCTTCAGCTGTTCTGATTCGTATGACAGGTCCTGCATGGAACCAATCGGTAAACCAATCAAAGCCAAGCAAGGAAGAAACTTTTACCTGCAAGTTAACGCCTGCCGCATCTACATATCCTACACCGCATGAAACGCCTTCACGCCACTCCATGTCTGGAAAAAAGCCGTCGGTATCAGTGTTCATGCTAACACCACCACCCTGGCCCATCAGTGCATAATATAGAGATGTCTTTCCAGCACCCTGTCGTGCCACTTGATTAATAACACAAGTGAACAGAATCGAAAACTACGTGATTTACCTCCAATCCCAAAAGTCGTACCCGTCTTAGTTTCATAGACACGCTCTTCGAAGACGTCACAAAGTCAGTGCTACATTGTATAGTAACTTGACTTAGACCTTCCACAGGAATATTGACGGTCTTCACACCCTCACTGTCCACGGCAGCCTCTTCTACATCAGGTTTTGCGGAGAGTGGTGCACCAATGCGTATTCTCATTGTCTGCAATCCTGTTTCCTCGACCACCGGAAATGGTGTTGGTGGAACAGGTGAGCTTTCAATTTTTGTAGCACACCTGCACAGAAAACCATTACCCGAAGAGAACTGAAGACGAAGATAATTACCAGCGGCCATTCACTTGTGCACGCACAAGAGTGCAAAGATGTAAACCATATCCTTGCACATCCACTTTTAGAGGTTCACATCCTTTCTCCCCCGGAGATCCCCGCCAACCGAGAGGAACAAGAGAAGTAGCTGTCCGGATGATTAAAGGTCCTGCGATTTTTCTTAGCTCTGCCATGCCAGCTCCATCAACACCTAGCCATTGCCGCAAGTGAGGCAAGTGAGGAAGGTGCTCCATCATAAAGACTGGAGATGGTGCTTCTGGACCCAGACAATGTTCGAAGATTCTGTAACAGAATTGCATGTAAGCTCGTACGATCATGCATCGGAATGGCGTACTTTTGGAACCGGGTGCGGTATGACTTCATGGTATGTGACTGAAAACGATCTCGCAATTCCAATAGCACCGATTGCACCTAAAAGTCGATACTGTTTAAAGGCATTGTCAAGAAGGAAAAGCGAGTAACATACCGAAGTCAGACGTGTGTATTCAGAAGCAGATAAGGGTTCCACAGATAGCTTCTGCAACAAATAAAGCTGCAAAAACTCCAAAAGTTCAGCCAAAAGAGAAAGTAGAAAGGAACAACAAAAAAACCTGCCCAAACGGTATGTATGATGGCAGAGGAAGTACTCGTTTCCGCCAATCGGGCTGCTTGCTGGCAGCAGATTTTCCTTCAGTAGAAGGAGAATCGTCTGGACGAAGAGGAACAAGAGAGACGCCTTCTGTCCCTTCTCGAATTTCAAGCGGCTCTACAAGTCGTGAATCATCTCCTGCTTTCGTCTCCATAGAGGGTGGTGCAGCAGCAAGGGCTACGCTTTTTTTCTTGCCCTTCAGCCACTGCAACGTATTTTGAGCGCTAACCAGGGGAACCAGCCTTGACAACCGCCAAAGTGACGTTTGAACTGGTCCTAAGCCCAGTGCCATACGTTCGTTGCCAGCGGACTTTTTCAAATCCGGTTCAGCTCTTACGGGAACTTGTTCTTGACCAGCTTCATGGTAATGCTGGAAATACGCTGGTGACAGTATACGAGGGACAACATCTTCAGGAATGCAATAAGTGTGAAAATGTTGTTGCCATCCACTTCGATGAACATAGCTGAAACGAAACACAAGAAAGATCAGACACCAAATTGAAGCTACAGCTAGAGACTCACTCTCGAAGTGCACGATTCCCAACTGGAGGTTGGGAAAAAGTTATACATTTAACATTAAGCTTTCCACCATTTCGCGATGAAAATACTCTCAAAATCGCAAGCGTGGTTAAGACAGCGACCTAAATGAAACGTAACACATTAGTTGTAACAAAAGAAAGACAGAGAACTTACAGCTCCTCCTAATGAATGGCCACACAAAACAAGTTTTTTATCTTTCTCCTGGGCAAGTCGGTAGATTTCTACAGCCGGGATCCCTTTCGCACGGCCTAAAAATCCCTGCAAGGTTGAATGTTCGCCTATGCTACGGAAAAGAGAAACGCGAAACTTGCTAACCTTGTGCGCAGCTGGCTTTGGGCTGAACTTTTGTTGCTTCACCAACGGTGATGCGTCCGCCCCAAGTCCTTTAACAACAGGCTCCGCTTCATTCGCTTCCTCATCGCCAGTCAAACTCGCCAGATCTTCTTCATGAAAGATTGCTCCCTGCAACACATTTGCATCGGCAATGACATCCCTGTATACATAAGTTCCTTATCAACAGATTATTTGTTGTATGAGAAACATCAAAGCTAGTGTATAGTACTTGAAGCATGCTCACTTGTAATGGTTGGTTCCCACGAAAGAAGCGTAGAGCGTGTCCTTTCCTTCCGCCAATAAATACCTGTAAGATAATGGCCGAGAGAAGTTGTAGCCAGCAGTACGAAAAGAAAAAAATAAAGAATAAGCTTGTTCTTGCTAACCGGTGAGGGACGTGATCCAAAGAAGCTTGGACTCCATCCAGCGACACCAATTGCCCACCAAAATCAGCCTTGAACTTGTTCACTGCTCGTACCACGTCGTGATCAGGTTTCTAGATCACAAGGACACGAAAGAAAAATCTATCTCAGAAAAGGAGAGCAAAAAAAAAGCACCTTGTAGACGCATTCCGAGAGCACCATGGCTCCCAGCAGCTCCTGCAACTCGGCTAGGGTATCCGCCTTGACAGTCTTGCACAGCGTCTCCACTTGGGCACGCCGCCGCTCACACTCCTCCTTGAGCCGCTTCCTCTCGCGCTCCCCATCTTGCCACGGCCATTTCCAGGTGAACTGGAGCGGCCATGGCGGCCACTGCTGCCATTGGGATTGCAGGCGCTGCCATGAATCCAGCTGCCGGTGGATCGCCCCCATCCAGCCCGCCATCTGCGCCACAACACAGCGATGCCAAGCGATCGCTGCTTCATTCCAACATAGCTAAGCCCTAGAAGAAAACGAACCAGAAAATGATTCCGCGAATCGAAAAAACATGCTCAAGCATATGCCACTGGCTAGGAATATACCACTTTCTTTCGAATTTAAACGGAGAGCTTTTGCAGCCTTTCTTGCTCCTTTCGGAGAACGTTTTCGGCGTCTCGGACAACCTTCTGCCGCCTCGACGATGCCTCCTCGACTTTAGCTTTGATCTCACACCCAAAAATGAAGAGAGCCTTTGCAGCCTTGGACCTTCGCGCCCAAAAGAGAGAAAGCAAGCGTTAAGTTACACAAGAAAAACAAAGCCCAGACCTCGCGTCTTTGGTATCGTCTGTGGCATGAATTGCATTTCCAATCACGCGAGAGCTAGCATCTCTAAAAACTTGCTCCACTTTGTCCCACTCCGATCCATAAGCCTGCAGTCATGAAATGTTTGATTCGTGAGAAGGCAGACTAGCTTCGTTTGTACCCGTGCTGTTGCTAGAACAGCGTAGTAAATGTCGTGAGCAACCGAAGTCCTGTCACTGTGCTCTTTGCCTGCCCGGCTCCGGTTGACGAAACTCTGGATGGAGATGGAGTTCTCCTTGTCAAAGTTTCCATACTTCCGAGCCTCCTCACGCAGCGTGTTCTCGAAGACCATCACCGCATCGAGAGGGACGCTGCTACTGTCCGCTTCGGTCTAGTGCTGCTTGCGTCAAACAGTTTCTAGCTACAACTTAAAACTAACCAGCCGCTTTCCAGCTTCCACTGCCGCAGCAACGAGCTCGCTCTTGTATCCAGCCATGTAGAGGAAGTAGATCCTTCGCAGCGCTGGAGAAGCAAAACAAAGATCTGATATATAGAACTTCTCAAGAGATCGTTAGTAGTACCTTGAAAGACGAGATCCACAACACTGACGCCTGTTTGGCGGATGTCCGCCAACACATCGTCTTCGTGCTTGTTGGCGTAGTCCTTGCGAGCTTTAGAAATGCCTTTGGAGAGCGCTGACACGCTGCTCTTGGTGGCGCTCAAGAGCTTTACCACGCCCTTGCGCGCAGTGGAGCCGCCGCTCGCCATAGCCACGGAATGAGCCGGAATGAGAAAGAGCCCTAGAAACGAAGTTCTAAATTGAAACGACTTTGAGAGGGAGCGCAACTTCTGTTACTGCTCTTTATTCTTCCTGTCTACCGCAAAAAAATTATATACAACCAAGCCCAGCACCAGAGTTGTAGCTCCTCTATACAGGCCTGGAGTGATTGAAACCGGGTGACCCAGCAACGGAAGTGGTAGCGTGAACATCCAAATCGACGCTGGCACTGCAGAGTTTTCACGATTTTCAGTCTAAGAAGCGAAGCGAGCAGAATGTAGCTCTAGAAGAACTAGTTTTACCTGCGAGAGTTGTGCACAAAGATGAAACCACGGCCGACGACAGTTTTAGAAGATTGAGAGCCGAAATGTTGAAAGCCAGGTTGACAGCGACATAGAGCAAAGGTATCAAAGGTGCGCCATGGCAACCTGTAAGGCACAGTATAAGCAACGACAAAACAGATCAACAAAATGATACCACTGCCGCCAATGTTGAAGAAACAAGCCGATCCATCAAGCAAGTATTGTGGAAGTTGGCTGAAAGGAATTCCCCGCATGTTCGAAAGCACCGGGAGCAGCAGAAACACGAACAGTGCCTGTAAACAAAAGAGCTTAATGAGGACATCCCTCAATGAAAACGTAAAGCGCACCTGGAAGCTTGAGCCCAAAGTGTTCACAACAAACAAATCCACGGATCTTCCTTCTGAATGGTGCGCAGCGTTCCGAAACAAAAATTCCTATGCACAAACGGTTTAATCTCGTCAAACAAAACTAGAGTTGGCTAAGAATTTCCTCACCTTGATGATAGAACCACCGGCAGAAAATCCAGATGATACGACCATCACGAGAGGCCAAAAGTATCCGGCACTTTGCACTGCCGATTCGCTTCCTGCTCCACTGCAAAAGAAAACGAAAGATCGCCAGCTATTTAAATATCGCTGTTGAGTGCGAGTATGTGAAACTCTACCTTGAAACGACAAGAATAACACCAGCAAGCACGAGAAGACAGCCAAAAATTTGACCGAATGTGTACTTCTTCTTTAAAAACGCGGAAGACAGTAGAAGTTGCCAAACTAAATAAGCCTGCATCAAGAGCAATCCAATCTTTGCATAAGCAATAAACACGTAATGGAACGAATACCTGCGCCAAGACTGGAATAATCGCTCCAGAAAGCACGGCTGCATACACACATATGTCAAAAACCTGTGAACAATTTCCTGCGACAACACCTCACCTGCGGCCGCCATCCCTGTCGCAAGGCCAAGTGCTTCCAGCGCTCCCAAAACTATAAACCAAGACTTTGGGAGAGCCAGCATTTTGGCTGTCACAGCTCCCGAGCGATATCGGGCGAGTAGTATCGACGAATAAACTAGCACGTACCTGAGACATCCGTGACAAAGTGAGAACAAAGTTTGCAAAAGAGAGTGATCTAGATAGGCTGCGTACGTACCCAAACGTGTTCACTTGTGCCAAGAAGAATGGGTACTCCCTAAGCGGAATTAGAGCCATCTTGTAGAGGACCTTGTTACTCACGGCCAGAACCACGGTGAGAATGCCAGCAGTGATGATCTTAAAGCTTCTCCTGGAAATGGATCGCCCGGCCATGAGAATCTCCTCCTCGTCTATCAAATGAGAATCGGCATAGCTAGCATTGACCTCTGCAATCTGGCTGTCTTTCCTCCTGTTCCTGTGCCTGGATTCATGAGAGAATTGAGAGGAAGAGACGACCAGCGCCGCTGATCTCTGGCGCCGTCGCACCGACAAGCTGCAAGAGATGATCGAATGGAGATTTCTCGGCGGTGGGAAGCACCTCCTGCACGGCGGCGCCTCCGCGATCGCTAGCTCACGCGCCATACTGAAGTAATCAAGCACAGGCATTTCGATTTTGGCAAGATTTTCCCAGACATTCACACTCCATACCTCCGATCAGCAGCGGCCAGCTTCGCAGCGCTCATCATCGTGCTCGATCCAAGAAAGAAACTTTCGAAATTTCACATCAACCGCGCCCCCCAAACCCTAGCAAATCAGAGGAACACACCAATGTGGCCACTTGTATACGCGCCTCCACAAAACTATAGATACCATACTTCCGGCTACAATAATTTGTCTAGTGTACACGTGTCAGTTAGTAGCTCCCATTCGCCAATCGGTGTCGTCCACGTGGCGGCCAATAACGTTCACGGAAGTATATGTTTTCTCTCTTTTGGCCGCGTCTATGGAGAATCTTCGTTGTGACATAGCTCGAAAGAACCCGGGACCAACCTGCAGCATTTGCGCCGAAAGGAGATCTAAACGAAACACAACACGATCAGCGTGTTTTTTTACAACTCTGCAATAGCGACAAAATATGAGAAAACTTACACGCGATGGAGTTTAGTCCGATCTCTCCTCCGATCCAGATCCCGACGCCGACTCCGACTCCTCCGGCTCCGAGAAAGAGTCCTTCGTTGACTCTGGTTGTAGTTCTTGGGCGGGTCCTGCTTCCTGTGGGACCTCGTCGTCTGAGGAGCTCTCGTCCTCCGATTGGAGTTTTTGATCCAGCTCGTGAGAGGAGCTTTCTTCCGCAGATTCCTCCTCCTGGAGCTCGAATGCATCCACTTCCGCGAAGTACTTTTGCTGCTCCTGGACGAAGTTCTTTGGAACCTTGGCTGGCTTCTGTGTCCTTGCTCTACCTCGACGACTTTTCTTAGATCTCTGTAGAATAATAGAGACGGAATCAGTAACCAAGAGAAGAAAGCGTGGAGAGTGACACCTACGTGACGAGTTTTCAACTCGGTGGAATCATGGTCTTGATCTTGAAAATCGTCCTCCAAACTGGTGCTCGAATGCCGTCGCTTCTTGGACCTGGAAGCAAAAAAAATCCATGTAAAAAGACGGAGAAAACCTCACGTAAACCTCTTCGACGGACATGTCGAAGGCATCCATTCTTCGCTCTTGTTGTCATCGCGAAGGATTCTGCGGCGCCTAGCATAGCATTTACTATCGCTTGCCACCGATCGCGCTTTCACTGACAAAACCGCCACAGGTGTGACTGCTTCATCTCTCAGCGGCCTCTTGATCGTTGCGCCTGCAGCCAAGAGCTCCGATCTACTCATTGGATTCGATCGATCTACATTGGCCATACCTAAGCGATCGCCATCGCCATCGCCCTTCATTCGTACACTTGTACGAATGAGGTGTCCACGACCTAGATTTTATCAGCTGAGCCCTCCGATTTTGCAGCACGACCAGGGCGGGGAAAGTCAAATTCGGCGGAGTGACGGAGCAGCTAACTCGCGAATTTGGCAATCCATGTTTGGAAGAAGTGGGATTACAGCATCCGTGTTGCTTTGGCAGCCCTTAATGCTAGAGGAATAAAAATACAACACCAAATTTCACTCCGAAAAGTGAGATTCAACCAAGTTAGTCTCGCTAGACTCTGATAAAAATGATTCCTGTGAGTCACGAAATTTCTGGAGGTACACTTGGGGTATCTACCCTTATTAAGGGCACCATTGCAAGTATTTTATTAAAATATAGTCAAACATTACATACAATATTTAAACTTTCTATTCCTTCAAATAAAACTCCTATATTTTTTTAATAATTGATAATATTTAATATAAAAAAATTTAATGTTATCATATAGGATGAAATTAATATGGTACATACACATACCTTCTCAATTATCAACATATATATAAAATATCTCAAATTAAATTCTAGACCTTTTTGGAGGTATTACAGTTATTGTAAGTGATGACTTTAGTCAAACACTTTCAGTCATTCCTCAACCATAGAACTATATTGTGTCAAGCTCAGTCAAAATGAATAGATTATAATCACTTTTCAAAACACTTTCCTTTATAGAAAATATAGTTCTTCCATTGAGTGTGTAAGGTAGGTTACAAAATATATTACTTTTGTAAAATGGCTTTTTAAAGTTGGAAACAGTGATTCAAGTCTATGAGATATAATTAAAATATGCTCTGCACTATGTAGTTTAACATCTATTATTGACTTTTTTTTTCTAAATATTAAAGATATTATTCTACATACATAATAGTATCAAAGGTCATTTTCACTCTACTCAATGATGACATTTTCAGAATAAATGATAATATCTTTCAAAGATTGCTAGGTGAACCATATATTTATTGAGGATTGATTCTGTTGAGACTACCTTAAAGAGTTTCAAATTGAATTTCTAAATTTAACCACTCCATCTGAACTACCCCACACAAACTGATCCTCAAATAAAATATTATTTTGATTTTGCTTAGAAATGTCATTACTAACAGGGTTTATGCAATGACATATGTATTATTATCAGGCAAGCATCCCAAAATATTGACAATTTAAAGGTTCTAGTTTTTATTCCACAGATCACCCTCAGATCTTCTGATGCTCAGATGCTTTTTAAAAATTTTAAAATAGAATTTATAATTCATCTTAGATATTTTTTGACCATTTCAAAAGCTCAAGGTCAAACTTTTGATCGTGTTAGACTTGTCAAAATATATTTTTACATATGGTTAACTATATACTGCTTTATCAAGATATATATCATCTGAATAACTTTGTGTGCAAATACTTTCTTCTCACAGTCAAGGTTATCTTATTCCAATTGACCAACACTTCTACACAACTTCTACACAATTAATATAATCTATATTGAATTTCAGAATAATTTATTAACTAAAAGAACCTTAAACACATTGACTTTCCGAGAATGTGTGTTTTTGCTAACTACTTAGCAATGCCAGACAAGTTCTGAAAGCAAAGCTAATCTTTGACTCCTAAAGGGATTACATTGAATTGTTTGATATATTTTATACTTCTTTTGGAACAAAGATTGTAGTTAGTGGTAAGCTTTTAACATTGTCTATGGTGACAAGACACTTCACAGTTTGAAAAGATTGGCGAGTAAGTTCCTCCATTTACTTGATCTCGCGAAGATTTTACACCTTGTTTTGTTTATCCAGTTCCATTGGAGCGTCTTCCAGAGCAACAAGAGGAGCGCGTTCTTCGTGGATCCGGACAAGTTTGATCCAGAGCGATTCGACTATTCGAGCTCCGGTTTGATCCCATACATTTACGTTCCATTTGGCGTGGGCCCTCGCAATTGAGCTCGCCAAGATGCTCCTTCGCGTGTTCTTGCACCATCTCGTCACCCAGGTCCAGTGGGAGTTGATCCAAATACCCTAGCACTCACCTTTCCCGGCTGTTCGTGCAGGGAAAAGCGAGTCAATTTCAGGGTCAATCTGTCTAACACCTCCCTGGGAACGTTAGAGCTCTCAATTACTACTGGAGTACTGAATGCTTGACGTTGCCACCTATTGCAGCGTACCCATAATCTTTGCTCACCGTAAAGCCCGTCACTCTGATACGTTCGTAGGCACTCACAATCTGTCAAAAAATGATACAAGACGTTACAAACAAACACTGAGCTAGGTTTGTCGTTCCGTCTTTACTTGGATGGTTCTTGGCGGTCCTCCTGTAGGCAGTGCGTACCTTGCAAAGAAATGTAGAAGTCGGAGAGGTAAAAGCTGAGCCTTGTAATGTGATACCTGGGATGCAGAAGCAAGAGTTGCATATGAGCATTCGCTAGCAGATGCTGCCACCTCCTCTGCATTGAAAGAGCTCCCAAGAACGAGCTCGTAAAAGTCGTTTGCTGGTTCATAAGCGTATTCCAAACTGGAAAGCAAATATAGAGTCACGCAAACTCAAACTCTGGCTGCTTTCTCGGATCGAGGAATCTGCCGCAAAGACACGGATGCTTTAGCTCCACATTCTGCAACTTCCCTTGGCAGCAACCGCATCTCCACCGCCGCCGCATGAGCCGTCCCCGCCACGCTCGAGCACGAGTCGAGCGCCTCCGAGAAGCCCAGCCAATCGGGGCGCGCGCCCTCGAGATCCATCTCCGCGACCCGGGGCCGAGCGCGTTGATCATCGTGTTCCACGACCCGGGGCTTCGCTCGGGCATGCGATCGATCTGGCAGGACTGGGAGAAGCCCGCGAGGAGCATTCGCGAGAAGATCCGCAAGGGCGAGGCCTAAACTTGTGGCTCGCAATGTCTCGCTCGGGCAGCCGATCGACCGGTGCCAGATCACCCCCTGGATCAGCGAGTTCCACGCCACGGTGCCGTTGTGGGGCACTCGATCCAGCACCGGGCGCCCCGCGAAAGATTTCCATCCGCGGAAAATGCTGTAAGAACTGTCCACGGAATGTAATTTCGCTCCCGCATCGATCCAAAGAGAAAAATCACGCAGGATCAAAGTCCCGGGCTACCATGATCAAAGTCCAGGCGACCATGTTTCTCTGCGGCATTCTATCAAACACGCTCTTGGCTTTATCCAAATGCCCAGACTGGAAAATTTCTAGGATTATTGCGTTCCAGCATAGAACGTACATCGCCTTGGCCGCGTCGATCCGACCGACCGAAGATCTCATTCGCCTCTTCGATCCCGTGCATCACGAGATTGCAAGAGACCACATCCTGCTGTGGTAGTCGATCAATCATTTCCCTGGCCTCTAGCATCTGCCCATTCCGGGCATACGCCGCGATCATCGAGTTCCACGACACAAGATTCCTCCGCGGTGCCGCATTGAAGATCACCCTGGCCTCCGGTGTTCTTCCGTTGTGGACGAGCGCTGCAATCATGTAGAGATTCGGCCGATCGCGCGTCCTCTACACTCCCACATTTGGCATACATCTGGACGAGCAAATTACCAGTCGAGACCGATCTCGATCAGCTGCGCGTGCAATCGCCTGCCCTCCTCGCAGAGATAGCAAAGGGAGCGCTCGAGCCACCATGAAGGTCACAGTAGCGGAGGCGAAAGACGGGCTATTCATGCAGCGCGATCGGGGCATTTGCTCAAACACTGTGCTAGGGTTTTTGGAGGAGCGCGCTATCGTCGGCGATCGATCGCAACAGCAGCGCCTTCTACCTCGAGAGCAATGCACGATGCGATTCAATCCGCCCTGGAGGTGCGAGAGAAGGAATGTGGGGTTTTATGGCGACTTGCCAGGATCCAGGAAGGGATTTCTAGGCGCAGGGATTGTAGATAAATTCCAGGTGGTGGTTTATTGCTGCGAGGAATACGACGTATCAATCATCCTTTCGACTATATCTCCGGGTGACTTTCCCCAAGCGAGAAAGAAAGAGGAGGTATTTCTCGAAGAAGCTCGAAGAGGAGGAGTCGGACAAAGGGTGGCATCCCGAGCTATGCACGTACGAGAGTGAGTTTGCCAAGCAGCATGCACTCTACTTCTACAATCTCTTGGCATTTCCGTGGGAGAAAGGAGCGTTTGAGCGGTTCGGGGATAAGTTGGAGAGGAAGTATTTCCCAGAGGATCACATTGATGCGTTGGTTCCACCGCTTGACAAGGAGCCCAAAGCTAGGAGAAAAAACTTCCGTCTCCCGACCATACACGGAAGAAGAAAAAGAAAAGAAGATTTTTTGACAGCATAAAGAAAAACACAAAAACACGACATGAGTGATTGATCCTTGTAAAGAATACGCATACCGTGAGGCTTGTCTATCAAAAACAACAATTCCAGGTCCGTCCCATTCTTCCGGCATTTTCATGCTCCGAGTTATCACATATGGTTTTGGAGTCAAAGTATCGGCCACTTTCTTATTTGGCGTCTCATCACAAACAGCCTCTGCGTAAGATCAAAGAACTTGTTTCGGGCTCCCAATCATCGGGAGAAAATTCAATGGAACCAGGAGCTGGACGAGTTGGAGAAGTTTCTTCGACGTCAGAATCTTTCTCTAAAGAAGACGCATCAGCAGCAGAAGCTTCAAACCTCGACTTTATGACAGATGCTGGGACTCTTGATCCTATGGGAACTGGCTTGCTTATGGTTTGTGTTGATAGGTGACTGATTTTTTCGTGTTTGTGAAGCTCTTCTCACCTGCCAATTGCTTTCCAGGCGATGAAAAGTTTTATTCTTGGGCACTGCATCTTGCCTTGCTTTTTCTTTACAAGATACATAGCCAGTTCAACAAGTTCCTGAGAGGCTTCCATGGGAGCATGTAACTGATGGGGACATATAAATAGTTAAAGAAGAGTTTGTAGGAACAGTAAGGCAAGTTCCATTGTTATATTCAGCTTAAGAGGTGGAGCTCTCGAGCTGTTTAGAAGAGACTTATATCCAAGAATTTAATATTTATTAGGTGCCTTTGTAAAAAAATTAAATAAAATAAGATTTATATATGCTTTCTAGCTTTTAAATATCATTAAATTTGCCATATATTAGTTAGAAGGGTAAAAAACAGCTATCGATATAAATTTATTGCATATAAAAGAAATTCTTAGTTCTTCTCTAGAATATATATATATATATATATATATAAAGGTTTAACATAACATAATATCTAGAATTTATGGATCTTCATTAATATTGTTATTAAAAAAAGAGAGGAAAATACACAGAAATGTCTATAGTTTTTATTGTTATAGTAATTTTAAATTTTTAAATTTTTCTTCTCATAGTAGTAATTCAAGGATTACAAGTTGTAATAGCCATCCAATTGCACAGTATAAATAAATCATATAAAAAATATAAACAAATATAATAAGGATAATGAGTATGAGTTTGAGATAATGTAATAACAAAAGATGCAATAAATTGAGTGGAGAAGATCATCCTTTTACTTGCCTAAAAAAATTATAATACTTAACTTTGAATAATTACCTATACACTCTTATGACAAACTGTAATATAATCACACCCTTGAAAGACCACCATAAAATATTTTTGAGAATAGTAAATATAAAAATAGAATTATTATTGCAAAGTGAATATTATTTCTCTCCCTTTAAGCTAAATTTAAATGGTCCAATGATAGTATATCTAAATCTTATCTCATTGATCAATGTAACAGCATCTCCATTTTATATATGATTTCAATTTAGAGGTAAGAATATACTAAGGGTATATTTTATTTTAAGTAACCATTAATCAATGGGAATTAAACCCATGTCATTTCTTCTAATACCATATATAGCATCTTTATCTTTCTCCTCTTAAACTAACTGGGAAAAAATAATTGTTTAATAAAAGAACCTTTAGTGGTTATTTTATCCCTATTTATCTCCTAAGGTTCTAAAGATATATAATAACACTATATCCAAATCTCATTTAATGATTATATATGCTAATCTAGTTAAATCTTTCATATAAAAAATTTATATTATTAATAAAGAATAAACAATAATAGTTTTAGCAAATGTCAAAAGTCTTTTACAATTCAACAATAACTTTTCATCTTTTATTTTTGAATAGCAATTATATACTCTTTACCTTTTAATTTTGAATGGTAATTATGTATTATTCACCTTTTATTCTAATACTGTACTCCTTTAGAAGTGCAGTGATGTATTTTATAGAGAATTTCACTCAAACATTTGAGTTAAACTTATCTTATTTTACTTCTACTTAGAGATGGTACTAATAAATTTAATCACCTTACCTTCTTTAATGGCCTTTTATACATTTACGTAGGAACAATATTAATTATGTTGCTCTTGTTTCTAACTTTCATCCCCTCAATATTAAAAACAAATTTCTTGAGATTTTCAATTTTATCTGAGGTGAGTGTAACCTTATTAATAATTGACCACTTTTTAGATATTGCATTATGTTCATCACTATAGTGTCTTTAAGCTGCCTCATATGGTTCAAATCAATGTTCTAACAATATAGTTAACACCATCTAAAAATCCTTCTTGCTTTCATTCGCGATAGAACATAGGGGTAGGAACAAAAGTACATTTATCACCACAGAGTCAGGTTTAGTATTTGCTTTTAGTAAGCATCCTTACACATTTTATATTAAATTTTGTTAACACTTGACAAATTACTCAATGCCTTGGCTCCACACTATTTAAACAATTTCAACTTTATAATGCACTATCTTCATCAGGCATTTGAGGTGATTTAGTATATGGATAGTGTGTTATAACAAAATAATATTCAACATTAGGCTTGTGAAAGTTTTTGGCTTCAAAGTCTATACCAAAACCTTCACTTTTGTGAATATAATTGTAAAAGAGCAATTAGACAAGACTAAAGCTAGTGTAAGAATACCTATTTTTTCATGAAACTTTCTTTGATCTATACAACAAAGTCTTTTGAAAAAAAAGTCTCTAATATTTTATTCATATTAATTATTTGTTATGTGTTTCTTACTAAAGTTATATATGTAAATAAGTAGTGAGCTTTATTTATATTTCAAATTCTAAAAAGAATAATATTTAGGTTTAATGACCATCTTGTACAAGTAGAGTAAACATAAAACTGGAAAACAGTAGTACCCTCTATTTTTTAAAATAAAACTCTAAGAAAACCTTAATATTAAAGAGGATTCTAAATTAAAACTAAAAATATTATATTAAAGATAATAGTTTATATAAAGAAATAATTTACTATGTATTGCATATAGCAGTGCTTGGTTTGCTCAATTATAATGTTATTCCTATTTATTAATCTAATTGATTTAATAAAGAATTAAAATTATAAATATGTTCATTATTTATAAACACATGATTAGTCTTATTTCCTATTAACCATTAAATGGTAGAATAAACTAGAATAAATTAGAAATATTTAGGAAATTTTATAAATTATAAAAATGTTTATAAATCATAAATATAGTTAGATATTAGAATATATGAGAATATCAAAGTTTTTTTAAGAGATTGACTACCACTGCTGTTCATCACAGGTTTTCTTAAGCAAAAATAAAATTAATAAAAAATAAAAATACTTTATTAAAAATTAATTATCAAATAAAACTTTACATTTTTTGAAATATTAAATTTATTACAGCAAAAAAAATATTTATCACACATATTTATATGAATCACAAAGTGTAAATAATAAATTTTTATGTAAGATTTACTTAGTAATCATAGATATTCCTCATAAAACTCTAATTCATTCTTTTTCTAAATTTAACTGTTAAATTCCTCTAATCAAAGTAAACTATAATATCTCCTCAACATAAATAATTAATAATAATTAAGGTTCTAAAGAAATGATAATAGTTTTATGTTGTATTTAACAAAATAATCTTTCTTTATATTTTGCTTAATTTACTTAATTTGTAAATGAAGTTTCAAGAAGGTTTACTTACACTTTTCAATTTTATTATCTTATAAGTGATAATGGATTTAATAGGAAAAATTAAATAATTTTATAAAATAAATTTATCTTTTAGTAAGTAAGCTATTATAATGTTGAAATAATTTAAACATATTTTTAATTTAATTTTGAGTATATTGATTCAAATTTACATACAATATAGTAGTTAATGAAAATTTATGTAATTACTTTATTATAGCTTCTGAAATACTATTTAAGGATTTTAATTTTTCACTTATATTTTGCAATTTACTTGTTACAGCATCATGTTTCATAGGATATATATAGTAATAACCTTTATTATTATATTCTATTATGAGGTCTAAGTGTACAGCTACGATGCCGTTTACTAATATTAACGTAGTGGGATTTTGGTAGTCATCAAATTGGTTTCAATCCAGACCACTCACTTCTGTATATAAACTATGGTTTTTGGGCCAATTAATATGAACATTTTCTGTATTCCCCTTTTATATTCCAAGTACTCACATTGTTGAAGATGAGAGGCACCTTTCATTGTCTTTGAGGAATGCTTGGATTTGGTTATTTTGGTTTAAATCTAACTTTTACATCATCTAAATTTAGCTTTTTCTATTTCCTTTCTTTTGTTCTTTCCTTGTTCTTTATTTTGTAGGGACATATCCTAATGATCTTTTACAGTTGGTGGTGCCTTCTGTCTTTATTCCATAGTTTCTTCATGTCTACCATGATTCTTTTGTTGGGACATCATTGTGTGATTGAGAAGTTGCATAGGTCTTTTTATTGACCGGAGATGCAATGTGATGTTATCCAGTATGTGCGTAGTTGCGTTTGGTGCCAAAATCGTAATATCCCCCTTATGCAATTTTTTATTTATTTGAGTTGGTAACATTTGATTTTATGGGATCTTTTCCACGATCGACTGTTGGTAATGAATATGTTATTATTGCTTCAGACTATTTGATTCGTTGGGTGGAAGTTGGTGCTCATGCTAGTGCCTTTGCAATGGCTGTTGGGTACTTCCTCCTCAATCAAGTGGTGTTTCAACATTCTTGTCTGGAGCAAATTCTTTCGGATAATGGTCTTGCATTTATGGTTGAGGCATTTCATGTTTTGACGTCTCGGTTGAAAATATGCCACAATTTCACGAGTGCTTATCATCCACAGTGAGACGGTTTGGTGAAACGGCTCGTTCAGACATTCAAATGAATGATCATGAAGTACATGAACTTTTAGCATTTGGATTGAAATGGTTATTTGCCGTCTCTTTAGTATGCATATGTCACAAAGGTGCAAAGTTCTGTTAGTGCTTCACAATATAAATTTTTATATGGTTATGATCCAATATTACTAATGGAGTTGGGTTTACCTTCGCAATTGTCACGAGTTACCGATGTTAAGTCATAGGATCAGTATTTGATAAATATTCTTCCACTTGTCCGAGCAGAATCTACTAAACACTTAAGCCATATACAAGTGTGACAATAATGGCGCTACAACTCCCATCATCGTTCACCTACAAAGTACAAAATGGATGACTTGGTGTTAGTCTATTTTCCCCATCTTACGGTACATGGTTTATCTAAGGGGCTATTTGCTCAGTGGAAAGGACTATATCAGGTGTTGTGGCAAGTTGGACTGTAAGTTTATGAGGTTCGGCATGACATTCAGTACATCAATCCTCTAGAAATTGTGCATGTGTAGCAATTAAAATGTTTCATACAAAGGGATCAAGAACAATTAATACCACCTACAGATCTACCGATGCCTCTTCCTAACGTTCCTTCAGATTTCGACCCATCTACAAGAGAACCCTGATAGTCTTCCATTATTCTGAGAAGAGGGGGTAATATGAGGTCCAAGTGTATGGCTACAATGTTGTATACTAATATTAGCGTAATGGGATTTTGGTAGCCATCAGATTGGTTTTAATCTAAACCACTCACTTTTATATATAAATTAGGGTTTCTGGGCTAATTAATATGTACATTTTCTATATTCCCTTTCCATATCACACTACTAAATTAAGTTTTATGTTTTTTCTAAACTAAATTTATTTTAATAATAATAATCAATGTTTTTGACTGTGTTTCCATAACTCAATAAACTTTCACTTTGTTCCACTTGAAGTTAACTTCAAAAGGCAAGTAGACCAAAAGTAAAAGATTTTTTTTTTTACTATCTTAATCAATAACATGTGATTATGAAAGTTTGTTTGAATATACTATTATTTTAAATATTTAAATAATTGGAAATATAGCTGGGTTTGGGGATAACTATGATTACAAAAAATCAGCTTAACAAGTCCATTGCTTTGATACCTTCTTCAAAATAGCACTTCTAGATTTGTTGGTCTCATGCAATAAACAATATATCATTATCATCATCATGATATATATGATAATGAATGATGATATCTAGATGGCTTCACCAGCTTGGGCTCTTATGCATTAGGTGGTTCAGGTTCTCAGCAAGCTTTGCACTGAAGTAGAACGGACTGGCACCAAGAACTTGCAAGCAAGCTTGGTTTGCTCCAGTCACATTCCTTTGATCCCAATCCATTCATAAACCGAATATTTTTCAAGTAATTAATACTGGAAAGACTCCTTTTGACACCATGCACTTAGCTTGCACTCGCTGAGAATATCCGTCACACCAAGCACACTGTGGGAGATTGTCTGAAGCTCACCTAGTTTTTTATCAGATCAAGCAGCCCAATCAATTCTCAAGCGACATCCTCCTCTCGGCAGACGCACAGAATGGCGACATCCAGTCCGCTCACCAGATCTTCAACTTGATGCAAGGAAAGAGAGTGGTTTCGTGGAACTTGTGTATAGACTCGACAATGCTCCAGGTGGCGAGGATACACGATGATAGGATTTTGCACTTTGACAACAGCCCGAGATATGGTGTCTCTCAACGCAAGCATTTGAGCATCTAGAAGTCCTTTTAACATTTGGTTTTGGATCTGGAACTAGTGATCGTTTGGTTTTGTTTTGGTCCAAGGTGAATGCTGTAATCTCAGTGATAATGATCATTCAGCTTCTCAAAGACAACTTCTAGAATTTTTAACAAATATCCTGTTCCATTCAAGTATTCTTTTGCCTTAGGTGGCAAATACATGACACAATATGCTCTTTAGGTGCTTCATCAGCACTCTGACACACGTGGTATGCAGTACACACACATGATCTACTCCGATATGTTGGGGACATGTTGGGCTGGCTACATTAGGTCTGTGTAATCTTCATATGAGTCGTCCCATTTGCTATTTATTTTAGACCAAGGCATTTGTCAACTTTTAAGGTGGAGCAAGTCTTACAATTGCAACCCAGCCTTATACGTTCATATAAGCTATTCAATCTCCTCAACTTTTAAAGTCACATGGTAAGCTTTGTCACAGTTTTTATCCCAGGGTTGGGCAACAAACGAATTTATGATTTACTAAGAAAGAGGCTGCCTTGTTAGCTACTTGAGGGATGTGAAAGAGGCGGATGTTCATTAATATTTTGAAGAGCCATGGTAATAAGCTCCCCATGGAACTCAGAGTTTTTATTTTGCTCTGTATTAAGAAAAATAGCATTAAACCTTAATTAATAATGAATTAGAGAAAAGTATAATAGCGGAAAATCTTAACCGTTGGATTGAGGAGTATTCTAGATTATACTTGGATATTCTAGGTAAATTTCTTACTCCTATAAAAATTAATTAATTGCAACATTATTTAATACAGAAATATTTTTAAACTTTCAATTTTACTTTCACTTGATTTTATTTATATTAATTTTACTTTTAATATTTTGTTTTAAAAAATTCACAGCCCTCTAAACTTCACCTAATTAAGTGTTATTTTACAAATATTGTAAGTTAACTCCTGATTTTTAGTGATCTTTGAATTTTATTTTTTATTTTTGTGAAAGAAAATTAAATTAAATTTTTTTTACAAAGTGTTTCATTATATATGATATTATTGTTTCATTATTTATTATTTTACACTAAAGGAAAAATGCCAGCACAAAGAATGATATCATGGGCAAAAACTAATGATTAAAGTATAAATTGTTATGTTACAGTAATAACAAAGTTTACAAGAAAGACTTTGCCTCAACAATCAAATTCACTAATATTTTTTTTTTCTGTTTTTTGGTATAAAGAATGAACTTGAAATAATTTTATTTCTCTTTTTTGTGTAATTGATTTGAGATTCATATAGAATAAAAACACATTATGAAAACAGAAAGATTATATATAACTTTAAAGAAATGTTCAATGAAATTTTACATGAGTGTAAAATTCATGATTTTGTGAATCATGATGCTAAAAACAAACTACTGCAGATGAATGAAGTTCTACCAAATATTTACAAGACAATTAAATTCTAGCTCTTCTATTTTTTTAAAAATAAAAAAAGGGTTTTAGCAAGCTATTAGCCATTTGTCCCAGTTGCTATTGCAAAATCTCCACTATCATCTAGCAGTTACGGCTACCTGAGGTGTTCTTGGGACACAAATCACAAGAATATTTTAAAAATACTCTATGGCTTAGCTCTATGGCCTAGCTGGGCTCGACGTCATGATGTAGGTGCTGGACAGGAGAGCATACGGTGACGACATGGTGCTGCCGAGGGTGGAGGCACTGCAAGCAGCCGCTGTTGCTCGTTGTGAATCCTCTTGGAGCCTACAAGCAGCGAGAAACGCCATCCAAGTGACTCCATCTGGGACGTAAGGCATGCTGGAGATGAGATCCTCGGCCTCGGCTAGCTGACCCGATCGAGCACAAAGATCCACAAGGCAGCAGTAATGCGCTCCCAATGCTCGGACACGATGATCGTCGGCCATGTTTCGAAAATAGTTCCATCCCTGCTCAAACAGCCCGAGCTGGCCGCAAGCACCGAGAACGCTCACAAACGCTGAATGGTCGGGATCAAACGCCTCGAGGAGCATCGCCGTGAAGACATCGATGGTGTCTCGTCCGTGATCCTGACACTGTGACAAGGCCGTGATCAGTGTGTTCCAGGCGATGAGATCTTTCTTCCCGGGCATGGCAGCAAACATCCACTTGGCTTTGATCGTATGCCCGCTCCGGGCATAGGCTCCGACGATGGTAGTCCACGAAACAACGTCTCTCTCTGCCATGGAATCAAAGAGAGCTTTGGCGTTTGGAAGGTAGCCGTGCTGCGCGAAGGCCTGGAGAAGCGCATTGCACAGCACGATATCACAGTGAGGAGTAGCGTCGAAGACGTGCTTTGCCTCTTGCAAGCATGCGTTTTCGCCGAGAGCTTGGAGCATGGAGGTGGACGAAACGAGGTCTTTCTCGGGCATTCTCTCGTACAGAGCTTTGGCCTCCTCCATATGCCCCCGCCGGGCATACCCCTGGAACATAACATTCCACGACATTGTATCGTGCTCCGGCATCACATTGTCAAACATATACTTGGCCTCCTCGAGCTGGCCGGTGGCGGCGTAGCCCTGGAGGATCACGTCCAGAGCAACGAGGTTCGTCTCGTGCATTCCATCCAGGACCGTGATCGCGGCCCCAAGATCTCCAGAAGCGACGTAGGTGGAGATCATCGCCGTGCAAGAGATCAAATTGTGCTCGCTCATACCAACGTGAAAGAGCAATACGGCAGACTTAAGGTTGGAGCTTAGATCGTAGGCGCGGATCATTGTCGCCATTGTGGCCATGTCCCAGCCTGGCATTCGTCGAAACAAGCGCTCGGCCTCCTCTAGATCTCCGGCGTTGATCCAGCCGTCGATGAACGCGTTCCAGGAGATGACGTTGCGTTCCGGAATAGCATCGAACAGCCCTCGTGCCTCGGCCATGTGCCCGTTCTGAGCGTATCCAGCGATCATGGCCGTCCATGACACCACATTCCATTCCGGCATCCTTTCGAAGATGGCTTTCGCGTTCTGGAGCCGCCCGATTTGCGCGTGGCCGACGGTCATTATCGTCCAAGAGATCTCGTTGCGCTCCAGCATGGTGTGGAACATGGCGTCGGCTTGAATGAGGTGCCGATGCTTAGTGTAGACGTCAAGCATACAATTCCACGTCACAATGTCGTGCTCGGGCATTCTTTCATAAAGGTCGCGAAATTCCTGGAGATGCCCTCTTTGTCCGTACGCTTGGATCATTGAATTCCAGGGGAAGATGTCCCTACTAGGCATCGAGTCAAAGATCAGCTTTGCTTTTAGCAAATGCCCGCATTGGGCATATGCCGTAAGGATGGCAGTCCATGAAACTCCGTTCTTTTCTGGCATTGCATCGAACACTTCTTTCGCTTTTTTAATATCTCTCACCTGATTGTAAGCCTGGATCATTGTGTTCCAGGCTACAATGTTCTTGTCTGCCATTTTGTCAAACAGTTCGTTTGCTTGATCCGCATAGCCGTTTTGGGCATAAGCGGCGATCATGTTGTTCCAAGAGAAGCGATTCCTCGCAGAGCCCATGCGATCAAAAATCTCTCTTGCTTCTTGCAAGCTCCCGCATCTTCCAAACATCTGGATTGTCAAATTCGCGAGATAGCTGCTCGCTGCACAGTCACCACTCCGCCGAACTTGACTGTAAATCTCTTTTCCCCGAGACAGATCCCTGGTTTTGCTGCAAAATCGAAGAACCGCCGCGAACTCCTGCTCCTGCTGGTTGATGTTCCGCTGCATTTCCTACGCAACGACCATTTCACTGGACAATTCAGCTGAAATGCTGGACACGTGTCTTTTGTGGTCCTAAAGTAGACATGGCCAGATTTTCAAAGCGCAGGCCGAGAAGAAAGTCCGGCTTGTCATCCAGGTCGATAACATTTGATACCGGCCTTTGGTGGTGACTATGACTAGGACAGCTTCCTCTCGATTGCCAAGAGCAGCCCTGCATTCTCCACGACGGGCTCCAAGACCACCAAGAACAGAGCGAGCAATAACAAAACGGCCTTGTAAAAAGGAGTTCCTCGAATTGAGAAAAAGTGCATTGGTTTGACCCATTTTGCTCTGTTCATCTCTGACCTGCGTGATGTTATCTGTTATCATACTCCCTTATTTTTGGCATATAGCATTTGGAGTTTTTAATTCCATTTTTAGAATATTATTTATGAATATACTTATAATCTAACGGTTGATATGTAAAGACTTTGAAACAACAGCCTAGATTTAAACACATGACAACGCTTTATGATGCTTAGCCCTATTATGCACGAATATTCATGCGTTATCTCAGCAAGTTCAATATGTCGAACTTCTGGATTCTTATTCTGCCCATGAGTGAGCTTGTAGGTGCTTGTGTGTTGCCTGTTTTTCGTATTGCAAGTCTCCCTTCTTATTCCCGGATCATCACCTTGAATGGTAGAAAAGCTGGAATTTATTTTGGTTGGAAGCTACTGATCTCAATTCCCCTCCCCCCCCCCCCTGCACGCTCTTTTCTCACTCTCATAGACACATATCCAGGGGACAAAATCTGTGTTTGGCTAAGGTGCATGGTTGCTATTTTGTATTTGGGCTTCAAAAAAACAAAAAGTTTGCCATTAGAATGCAGCAAATGAGAGTCCCGGAAAAATCTTGATCATAGTCAAATTTTCCATGTGTGCTTTTTTTTTGCTCTCTTTCCAGGAGCCCTCTTCTTTGGCAGTTGAGGCTATTAGTAGAGACAAACATCATGGTAGTAAGCCTCTGGGTAAGTTTTTATAGCTGAACTATGTCCCTCTTGACACTTCTTATTAAAGCCACCAGTCATTATAGCAGCTAGGTCAGAGCTACTGCAAATCCAAAAGAACCATGATGAATGGGATCTCTTCTATGCCATCCTAGCCTCCGGCAATACAAGGTGTGTATTTTTTTCATATTTTCTTTAGCTTTGTGCTTTGTAAACTAACTGGGTTAATTGAATGAGGCTCAAGGATTAAGGGACATTGAGGACTTTCCTTTTAAATGTTCTGATCAGTACATTTCTATTGATAGGTAAACTTTACATGTTTGTTTTCATTTTTTTCTTTCATATGACACTATCTTTCCCCTTTTTTTCATAGTACCATTTCTAGAAGGTGATGGAAAATTAGGTGATTCAAGCAACATGCTGGGCATGGGAAAGATTGAGCATAGTGAGTCATTTGGTATATTGGGTATGCAATTTTTTTCCACTTTATATGAAAAGAAACTCAGAACTTGTTTGACAAGTGAATTAAGCCATTTGCCATTTTCTGGGCATAAATTCCACTTAAATCCAAATCTAGTGAATTGATAAGTTGTCACACACATTTGATAACACTAGAATGCAATGAAAGACCAAAATCTTTTTGGCAAAGAAAGTCTCAATCAGTGTTGAAACGAAAGACATGTAAGACATAACATGCTTATGATCAAAGTATTCATTTTCTTTTGTGGCTATTTAATAGTCTTTTGGTTTGTATTTAATCTTTGGTTCTTTCATGAGTGCACATTTAGTCCCACTGTAAGGTGCTGGTCCTGGTTCAATTCTGACACTATTGATGCATTTGAGAAAAGAGAAAAGAACACTCCGATCCAGCCCTTCTTCAATGACACAAGCTACGCAACTAGATTTTCCAGGAGCTTGTGGAGCCTGGCATCTTTGCAGCACAAGATTAGCATCCCACAAAGCGTGGACAAGGAGTGACAAGCGTGATCTCAAGTGCTTGCCTTGCAGTTTTAATCTTGTCTTTCCTCACTTCCTGGAGCTATGATCTAGTTGTTCAGAATGAAATAACCAAAGTCTACCACTTCTAGGTCAGTTTGCTTAAATATGCATCATCTTACCTCCGCGACAGTGGAAAGACTGTGAGAGTCGACGCAGCAAACGTGAAAGAAAGTGTGGAGAAGAGCTTGCTGCGCCTCGGGACGGAGCACATTGATTGCCACTAAGATTGATGGTTAGGAGGGTGGGAAGAACAAAGAACATTATTACTATCAATGGCGAGCTCCCAGGAACAACAATCTGTGCCAATGACAGTGATAGGCTTCTTATCACAGTAATGAACATTGACAAGATGTCGATCCATTGGTGATGAGCAGTCTCAAAAGTTCTAAAACATTCTGTGATTTGATGTTCTATCACAATATGGAATCTGGCAATTTAGGAAGCCCTGGTTCGATGCCCCGGCTATGTCATGCAATGTCCTCTCAAGAGAAGCTAATTGTTCCTCTACAACTTCACCATGGATTCACACATGTGAACTCTCTTCTGGCATGCACACATCATGTGGCTTCGAGCTACTGTCTATGGAGCCATTGGCAGCCTGGCATAAATGCAATGAGGGACCACTTCAGTTGCAAGGGGATCCTCTAGCCTTGGAGACTCACACTTCGACTTGGCTGTGGAAAGTTTTGGTGACAGCGTAAGTGGTGCAGCAAAACTGGTTTGCAATTCTACATGTCTGGCGTTTTCCATTGCATAGGTAAATCACATAGTATTTTATTCTGTTCACTTATGTTATTAATCAAGTGGCACTACAAGGTGCTGGAAAGACATCTCTATATATAGCCAGGGTGATACCAAAGTTTTTTTCCAAACATGGAGAGGTGTTTCATGCAGTGTAGGGTGGCAGGCATTAACTTGCAGGTTAAAGTTTCTTCCTTACACGTATTTGATTGGTTTACCATTTGATTGGTTTACCAATTGGTTCTATGTAGAACCTATCATATGATTATAGTTTGGTTTATATTTTGGTTTAGTTGGGATATTTCAAGAAGATCAAAATGTTATAGAATTGTCTTCACAAGATATGTTTTATCCTATATTCTAATTTCATCCTAAGTAAGTTTTTCTATTCAATTGAGCATCATTCTCTTAAATATTCAATATTTTTATATTTATTCATCTTCTTTTTATATTAAATGCCTCTTTCATAGCCATGCCAACAAACTATGGCATTAAACTCTAAATTATTCAACTAAGAGTTTTTAAATTTTAAGCAAATTAATTCCAACCCATCTAACTCCAAGCTATCCAACTTCAAAGTATTCAACTATAAAGAAGAAGAAGCAAAAAAGGAAAAGAAAAGTGATGTAAAAAGAATTGAAAAAAGAAGTGAAAGATAAAAGAATGAAATAGACTTAAATTGAAGGACCATTGAGTGTTATAGCTAGTTTATATTAAATTTGAGATGAAAATAAACTTAAAAGCCTTAAAAACATGGAGTACATATTTGGGTTAAATTTTTTATTAGGCTTATGAGTGTTTATCCAAACTTTGATAGAGGATTTTATAGCTTGTAAGAACTAATGAAAGTATATGTGGAAGGAGTACATTTACAATAACATTTTTAGAAATCATAGATAATTGATTTCCTTTAGATCTAATAAGGATGGTTAAGATCAGGATATTTGGCAAAAATGGTTAAAGGGATTGCTTCCTTTTTTTTTTAGGGAAATTATTTTCTTAACTTAGAGAAGTTGGATTGCTAAGTATTTTTTTCAAGCATTCTATATTGTGAGAACATTGTTTTTTTATTGTCTATTGTTCATAGTGGTGAGAATTTTATTTATTTATTTATCTTTCTTTTATTTTTTGGTCACACAAAAATACATAAAAGGAACATTAGATAGGTAAATAACCCTTCAAAGGGGGACCCTTGCCCGCTATAATGTTTTAACTTTCTTTTGCCTTGTAGTGGGTTCATTTAGGCATGAAAAAGAATCTTACATTAGCAAAAACTTATGGAAGCAATTTAATTTCTATTCTTGTATAATATCTCTTTCTCTCATATTTTTAAATCTAAAAATTATCAAATTGGCATTATTCCAATGAAATTTAGATGGATTGATAGTCTTTATTTTGATTGGAGGAAGCTATCAATTTTGACAGAACATCTTAGGTTCCTAGCTTAGCAAGCAACACAATTAATTGGGAGCTCTCCTTAATTCACACCACCTTTTTTATTACTTTCGTTTGAGAGGAATGGGATTAAAGAATGAGATAATAGAAGAAAAAAAGCTATTGAGCAGCATATTTGAAGTTGTTGGAACCAAAAAGTTGCTAGCTAACTACTTAAATTACAAATTTAGCCAACAACAATCTCTCATTGAGATAATAGAAGAAAAAAATCTATTGAGCAGCATATTTGAAGTTGTTGGAACCAAAAAGCTGCTAGCTAACTACTTAAATTACAAATTTAGCCAACAAAAATCTCTCATAGGCACTATGCTTTAACAATCCATTTTGCTTGGAGAACAAAATTGGATTGATTAATTAAGTAGGAGCTAATATACTATCAAATCACACTAATCCTACTTCTTCCTCTAGAGGAAAAAAAAGAGGTAAAGTAGTGCATATGGTGTCAAGGATAAAATTGTACTTTTCCTTTTTCTCCTTTGTTTCAGACAAGTGTTGGGAGTGTACAGCTAGAAGGAAGAGATGCATTAATTGATGTGAATTCCTGGGACCAGTGCTTGTGTGCTTCTTCACAAGAATCATCCACTTAAGAATAGAGCCCACCCCTAATAACAGAGCCTATTAATTTATTTCTGTGCCATTTGGATATTATAGAAGACATGCTCAATGTAATGGGAATTTCTATAAATATTAAATATTTTCTTTTAAGGGCTATTTCTAAATGAAACTCTTAATTAGTATTATAATTTTATATATTTTTGTTCTACAATGCCTTGGTTATTCAAGTCCAGCTTTAGAAAGATGTTATGATAGAGAGCCACATAGAGAAGTTTCCATGGGTTCTGTATGTAATTCTATACGTCAATTAACTTTACAATGGGCAAGATCACCTTATCGTATTACTTATGTAACACAAGGAAGAGTTATAGAATTTTGATGAAAGTACAAACATGGAAAGCTCATGATCAAAATATAAATATTACTAAAGATGATATTTCTGAAGCTTTTAATTTTATTATTAGTAATTGCATATCTCGTGGCTTTGGTGGAGAAGTTATTTTCCAAGATCAATCTATTTTTATAACTATAAATATATTGCCAAGAGATGAACTATCTATACTATTAAATAGTTTTCCAACATCAACATTGAGTGTTTGTAACTTTTAAGTGGTGGTGTTTTACTATTGAT